TCAGATAGAAGTTCGCATCCTACTTCCTTAGGTTCTACCGCTCTACTCGGCCCCGCTACTGGCTCACTACAGCTCGGGGTTTCTAGTTTTCCGGATCCTTAGCCTTGCCCTTGTTCTTAGGACACTCAGGATCCGTAGCTCGATGACCAGGCTGCTCGCACTTAACACTAGGACCGTTAGCTAACTGTTCCCTACAGGGAACATTTAATAAATTGGGAATTACGCAAAAAAGATACGAAAATGCCGGTTTTTCCCCAAAAGCTTTCCGTGGTATCTTCATGTAGGTGTTTGCTAAATACTAGTTGCCTGGAATCTCTTGAACTTAGTAATTTGGGTCGCCCACGTCATCGAAACCATATGGGTTGTCCAGCAGATTTTGGGCTCAGAAGCCCAGTGTTCCCGAAAGGGAACACTTAGCAAATGATGCGTAATATACTATCTACGCATTAAAAAATTGCAAAATCGTTATGTAGGGGCTTCAACTAGGTCCTTAAGATAAAATTTAGACACTTACATGATAGTCATGGTAAAAAGTCATGATTGGGACCAAGCCATGTGTTATCGGAAACCATTTTTATCTGCAGATTGACTAAAAACCAAGCTTTGTGGTTCAAGCTAGTACACAAGGACTTTGTTTGAACCACCGGGCATCTAATGGGTGCAAGGCATACATACAACCATCAAACAAAGCCAAGGGCCGCCTTCAATCCGTTCATTTGGTATGGCTACATAGCCTACTTCTAGTCGTCACAGCGCCAGAAACTGGGAGCTTTTTGGTTATGAAAAGGCATCAAAAGACCTAGGCCCTCATTTTTCTTAGGTTTTATGGGTGGAATTACCTTTTTATGTCCCCTGGGGTAGCCTTTTATGGTTAGAGTGCCTAACCCAATTTCTAGAATACCGTCTTGCTTGTAATCCTTGTTTATCGGCTTGGTTAACGCAACTGTTTGATAACCTTTGTTTCTTAACCCAAAATTGACGTGGGTCACGAATTTCTTGTTGAAATTTATTCACAAAGTCCCCAGAAGTGCTACGGGAGTGACACTTGGCAGAAGTTCGGCCGCCTCATCAAATATATCGACGGTGAGAACGCCCGTCCGCTAAGTGTTCCCGAAAGGGAACAGTGTTCCCGAAAGGGAACACTTAACGGTCCTAGTGTTAAAGCACTTCCCAGCCTTCTTAAGCTCAAAAATCTGCTCCCTGGTCAGTGCGCGACCAGAAGGCCCCTCGATGAGCTTCTTCTTCTTGTTCTGGAGCTCCCTCTTCGCTGGAGCTGACGGGCCAGAACCGCTCTTCTCGTTCCCCTTGCGCTTCTTGGAGAAGCTGCCGTTCTTCTCCTGGGTGAGGCCTGAGGAAACACTTGCCTGCGAAGGGGTTTTCGAAGCCATCACGTTGGCCATAGTCTGAGGCCACAGACTAAAATCCTCTACACTCGTCGCTCTTTGGAGCGCGCAACTTGATTCTGAACCCCAAAGCGCATAGAAGGCATGGGATACTGTTAAGGAGTGGATACTTGTTGGGCAAGCACTTGGTCCCGCACCCCGATGATGCCGGCGCAAAACAGTGTAAAACATTGAGAAAATGTCGTTCAAACATCTTAATTCCTGCACCCCAAAGTCACACCCACCTGCACGGCCGCCAGTCGGATTGTCCTTGGTGACTTCTGACCGAGCTGCAGCATCTGCGTCAAAAGCCGCCGAAGGGGCCCGGAACTTTCCCCCGAGCCGTGCATCTAGGGCCAGGAGAAGAGGGAGGGGTGCAGAAATGTTGCCAGCACGGATGACGTCACGCTGACGCGGCGCTTGCGCAGGTCGGCGGTGGCGGCCCATGCGGATCCCACGAGAGGTTGCGGCACCTGCGGGGAAACGGAAGCAGGGAAGGTTAGATCGTGAAACTTCTTTCTATTCCCTTGTCGACTGAGACTTCGTTTTTGCAAGGATTGTTTGAATGGAGAATACCGTCCAAGATTCTTGATACCGTCAGAAATAAGTGAAGCGGGTCGATGGTTCCTTTTTTCAATTGGAGTCCTCAAATAGAGCTGTTGAGCAGTACAAACACAAGTTCCGAAGCACTCAAACTGTGGGGGCCTAGCATAGGTGATCAACATGTGCGCTTTCCTAACGCTCTCACCTAAGCAGGAATGGCCAAGTACATTGCTGACAAAACTAGAAGCCCAGCCCCTGAGCTTCTCCAACCTGCCTAACCAATTCAGAGCGTTCGATGCTGAGGAAAGACATGAAGGACACACAGAATTTGCCCAGGCGTTTAGAGGGCCGGGCATAGATTGCATATCAGAAGGGGAGGTTCTGGGAACAAGCTGCATAACGCCAGCAGTGCTCGGTTCTGAACCTGACGTCCATGTGAGCATTTTTTGGGGGTGTGAATCAGTTTTAGGGTCAGCATTCACTCTGTAGCCTCCCAGACGCAAGAGCGCAATGTGTGTGGCAACGCGCAGCCAACTCAGCAAGACTACTCCGTGTACACCTTGGAAATGCATTGAGCGTAAGCGGCTTCACACTGAGCATCATCGTTGCACAAAGCTGCGAGCCTCGACCACGAAGAGAACACAGCTTCCAAGAGATGGCCCATAAGGAGCCGGTCTTCCACGCCTCTGATTCGGACAAGTAAGCGCTCACCAGCACGATCGCAAATGCGGAAATTGGCGCGCCCCCCACTCGCTGCAGTTCCTCCAGACCGCAGCTGCAATGCAGCTGTCCAAAGCGCCCTCAGAGTTTTCCAGGAGGGAACCTGCATGATGCATGGTCACGATGCAGAATGATCCACCTGAACTTTCTGGCCTCATGTCTTGCGTCTTCTCCCCGCACAATTTCCTACCTAGGTACCATTTCCTAGTACCGGTAGATTTACTAGATGTGTTGGTACATACAAAAGTCCAACTATCTTCTGCAAAATTCGAGTCAGAGTAGGTACCTGGTATCAATGGCATGGTTGCGACGGTCTGATCGACGGCGTCTGATTGGTGACGTGGCACGACAGTCCACCAGGTGGAGGCACCTGTGCGCGTTTCTGATCGTCGATATTTGGATTAGGACGGGTGGATTGCGAGGCAGTCCATTTCGGCCGGCCTCGCGATCAGCCTCGGGCAGAAGCCTAAGGTGTAGCTGCGTGAACGATTGCCCAAGCCTTTCATACATCATGCGGGCATAACACTAGAGAAGTCGACATTACCTACTTGAAGGCCGCAGAGTGTCTTGCTACTGTTCAATTGATTGTTCTCGTATCACTCTCAGATCAGGTGACCGATGAACCCGACTGTCTCGGCGGTGCTCCGGGATTGAGGCCAAGACTAATGCATGATACTTGACCGTGGCACTGGGACATGTGAGTACCTATCCGCCAGTCCTCAGTCTGCTGCAAGAGATGCACTGCTTGAGAAGGTCACCTGTTATCAAAGCTGCTGCAGGCTACTATGTCATGCTGGTTGAAAAGCTGGACCCTCTCACTTCGTTACTTGTTTGACCGCCCCTTCGATTGAAATCAGGAGCTACGGGCAGCCAGTGGGAAGTGCGCGCAGCTGCATCGGTCTGCAGGTGCGTGATCTGTTTGGGGTATACAAGGTCTTACCCAGAAGAGCGCATCAGCGATATACAAAGCTAGGAGTTCAGTGAGGGTAGTCTACCTGCCTTAAGAACCATCTCTGCAGCAATGTCCAGATTGAATCAGACTAAGTCGAAGGGCCAGCTGCAAAACAATGGAGCAGCTTGACCCTGGACTTTCTTCACTTTGGACTCTCTGACATTCTCTCAGAAAAGTGAGCTCAACTCAACTTCAAGGGATATTTTAGCTTTGAAGAGCCTTCAAAATGAGACGAGACTTGTTTGGATTGTTGATTCAAACACCACCAACTCCAAAGACTCGCGTCAGGGAAAGAAGCAAACCTTGTTCCTTGCACTTTTGTTTCTTCTTCCCACGCCTTTCTCAAGCCAAACTTCATAAGCTCGCCCCAGCTATTCTCTTCAAGGCTTGAAAGTTTCCAGCATATTCCAGCTTGAACAGTCTTCGCATATGACATATCACACCTCAACCAGCCTGCCAGAAGCCACATTCTTCCATAGCATCATTTACATAGCAAGGCTGACGCAAACTTAGAGAATCCCTATGCACAGCTGACCCGGAGAATGGAACGTTTGTCGAAAAATTTCCTCAAGATTGGTGGTGTCCGAAGACACCAGTTTGGTGGTGGCCGAAGCCGAGAGGATGTTTCCTGCCTGCTTCTCCTGATCCTGCTCCCCTCTTCGTTCCAACCTTCCCCACAGACTCCTCTAGTTAGAAAACCTGACAATCAGCTTTAGGAAGCAGTCCTGGGCCAGCCACAAGCCCCAGCCCAAAAGAAGTGATGCGAATGCCGGCCCCCAGGTTTGCCAGCCATCCGCCCGGTCAAATGTGAACACAAACAGCAAGAATCCCCCGATCGCAATGGATAGACCCATGAACGCAGTCCCCAGCTCCCGGCGCGTGAGGCGTGTTGCACGAACCACGGCCGCAGTCTGCAAGTAAAAGTCCAGCATTAATTGTCTAAGCTTATGGGAGTCACCCAGCGCTGAGGTCCCAAGCCCTTGCGAAGTCTCTATGCAAAGCAGAATATCCTCCCAAGTAGTGCACGATTCGGCTTCAGTATGCGGCAAGAAGCAGGTTCAAGGACTGTGGCTCAAGTGCTGGTTCACTTACTGCTGCTGGCGGCCGTGCTGTGCCGTTGAGGCGGCGAGTTGCTGCGACAAGGCCAGAGGAGAAAAGGTCAGTTGTTTCCGAGGCTTGAGCTGGCTCCAAAACCAACTTGGCTTCTTTCTTCTGACTCAGCATCAAAACAGTGCTGCAGGCCTCTATGGCATGACTCAGCATCGAAGCAACGCTGAAGAAGCCTGAAAGGCATGATTGCTTGCTAGCTTAATCAGCTTCTTACTGAGGCTAACAATGATTGACTTGATTCAAACAGATCCCTGATGCGAAGGCTTTCCTAGCAAGAGCCATCTCTGTGATATTGTAGTGTTCAGATCAGCAGCCTCATTCTCATGCCTCAGGAAGAAGGAAAACTCGCACCCCGCGGGCGCTGCAGGGTGTGCTCCACGTCTGCTGCTGCATTGCTGAGGCCAAGGCTCAGCCGCTGGAGCCTCCTGCGGACGCTTCCGTTCACGTTGTTCTTCATCAAACCCGCAATGAAGTTTGCTGCGTTGTCCAGGCAGTTGATTGCCTCTTCTCCTCTTCTATTGATGTACCTGCAGGGTTGGAAGGGGTTTTGAGCCAAACGATTATAGAGGAAGTTCCTGACAGCACATTACCCTCAGCAGGGATTCATATACTATAAATCGTTTCCCTGTTTAAGATCCTCTGCTGAGGCCGTTTTGATCTCAAAAATTCAGCTTTCAAGATTAAAATGGTCTGACAAAGAGTTTAAGACCAAAAAAGCGCCAAAAGCTGAATGGTATTAAGATCAAAGTGGTCTCACAACGATCTTAAATTTCATTCATAAAGATATAAGGACTCCTTCCCTTGGATCCTACAGATTCCACCTGACGACGGTTATGATCAGCAATATGTGAAGATGCCTACACGGAGATCGAGCGTACAATGGGAGCAACTCTTTAGCTCACTTACCCTTGGACCTCGTCTTCGCTGGGAGCTCCGGCCATGTGAGCGGAAGTAAGGAATTGTGAAAGACCTCGGAATAATGCTGGAGATGGTGGAAAGCCGAGCTTGTTCGGCTGATGAATGGTTGAGTTGATGAGCAAGTCTGACAAGTGTGGTAGTTTTATACGTCTTCCTCTCTGCTGCAGCTGACTGAACGCTGAATGGTCACCAGACTCATACCCAGACTCGTGATCTGATCATGATCCTTGCGAGACAACAGCTTGCAATCTTTTGGACTGACTGCGAAGATTGTTTGCTGACTGGGAGCAGTCCAAGGACAATTTTGAATTTGAATTGATGTGATTTGGGGGGCCATCCGTCAAGAGCACAATGCTTATCGTGTGGTTCTCGACCTTCCGACCTCGGATTTTGTGCTTCATCACAGCTGGCCAGGCCTTCCACCACTCGTCTTTGATTCGCAGCATGCAACTATGCTCAATGGCCGTCCATTGTGAGCACATTGCTTATCGTGTGGTTCTTGATCTTTCGAACTTGGATTCTGTGCTTCTTTACAGCTGATCAGGCGTTCGACCACTCGCCTTTACCTGCAGCTCATGCAAGAATGCACGGTGACCGTCCATTGAGAGCACAGTGCCAGCTCATCGTGTGGTTCAGGATCTTTCGACCTTGGATTTGTGCTTCGTCACAGCTGGCCAGCAGGCCTTCGATCACTCGCCTTCGATTCGTTGAGAAAGCAAGCTTGAAAGTGCATTCTAAGTCGGACTCGAAGTCGAAGATCTCTGCATACCAAAGTCGGAATTGCCGCACTTCAGGAGTCTGGTCTACTAGGCAGTCTTCAGCTTCCAGTCAGCTCCGGCAGGAGCAGTATAAAAGTAGGAAGCATTTTCACTTTCATCAACCTTGCTCTCTCACCCCTCCAGCTTTCTGTCCAGCTTTCCTTGTGTTGACTTCCCTTCCTTCACAATTCCCTTAGCTCAGTTCCTCAAAACCAGCTACCCCGAAGGCCCTCACTTCGGCTCACAGCTGAAGCCTGCTCGCGAAGCGGAAAAATGGCCATGCCGCCGACGGCTCAGCAAATTAAGAAGTAAGATCAAACACCTATGGCAAGGTCTGCTGTGCGTTTCGAAGGCAAATCAAGTGTCAGGAGATTCGTGACCATTTAGGTCTGTCCAATTGTTGAGGTATTGGAAGGTGCAAGCTGAAGTCGTTCGACAGTGAACTTTCTTGATGTTTCTCCATGAGATTGTGTTCAGCACAATTGGTTTGTTGAAGCAGATCCCTCAGTACCGCTTCGTATCAGCTCACACGTGCATCTGGACCGTGCAGTTTCTTCCAAAATGAAGACTCCTCAAACGTTGATGCCATCGGAAACGCTATTGCATTCTTAGTCGAGGAGCAGAACAAGCAGAGGCGGGACCGGGTGGGGAAGCTCCCCGACACGGAGCTGGATCCAGTTCACGATGAGCTGCTTCTGGCATTGACGGTCGTGGAGAGTCTCTCGCGGAGGCCTCCAGGTAAATCAGCATGCTCTAGACTCGGCGAGGCTGGTCTGGAGCTTCTGAACCGCTCATTCTTGTTGCAGAATGCAGCCAGTTTGTCGGACATTCATAAGCTGCACCTCGTGACCTCTTCGGCCTATTGTGTAACAAACATCGGTCCTCAAACACGTCCTCCACTGCTTTTGACAAGTAGCTTACTTTTAGCCTGCATTCTGTTCGCTCTCGTTCCAACTGTACGGATGCAGTAACTGAGGTTTGTTCTTTCTCCTTCCAACAGTGGCAGGCCCCTCCATCGAGACCACCCCGCACCTGCTTGCAGCAGCCTCGAGGGTAAGAAGAGTTCAGACCTTTCGCTGCGTCGGACGTCAGGAGATTGTGCTGCACAGCATCGAGCTGGCACGAGTGCATTTTCGATCTCTGAGAAAATGCTTTTTGTTCTGAAATATGTACGGTGTCCTTGTCCAGCTCCTCGCGAATCTAGCTCCTCGCGAGATTCGATACGATTGTCTCACCTTTTGCTGATTGTGTCTTCCAGGCGCGGCTCCGCATTAACGCCGGTGAGACACCCTCCCCGCGGAGGCCCCCCTTCAGTGGCTGGGAGTTGACGACCTTCTTCACGGGCCTGGCCAGCTCGGGCCTTGGCGTGTACCTTCAGCGGCTCGTTCAAGGCGACGCCCGGCAAGGGTTATGGCGTGGGGGCTGCTTGGGGGCAGGTGACGAACAACCTGGGCACCTGGTTTATGGGAGCGGCGATGAGCAAGTACGGGCAGCGCGCCCGCCACATACTCTGATGAGCCTTAGCAAGCTAGGGGGAGAGCTAGCAAGGCATAACTGAGAGCTGTAGCAGAGGACGTGTCAATATCAAAAGGGAAAAAAAAAAACAAAAAACAAAACAAACCAAAACAAAAAACAAAAAACAAAAAACAAAAAACAAAAAACAAAAAACAAAAAACAAAAAACAAAAAACAAAAAACAAAAAAACGGTGTTCTTCAACACCGAGACCTTTCTTAGAGATTTTACAATGTTCTCGGCTTCAACGGCCGCCTTTCACCGTTGAACCGTCATCCTTTAGTGTCGGAGCACAATCTCAAGCTGGATGGAGCGATACTGACTCTTTGAATGTAACGGAGCTGAGGACCACACTTAAATCTCGTCTCCTTTTCACATCCGACAATCTCAGCGCTCGTGGTCTGTGGCTTGCGGCTCAAAGTGCTAGCTGAGCGGCAACTTATATCGAGAATCCCAGCTACGTCGATCTTAAGAGCAGCCTCATGCACTGGCACACTTTCTCCACACGTCAGAAACGTCCCCTGAGCTTCAACTGCCACTCAAACTTGGAATGAAAGGCCGTGCTTTCCGTTAACATTGACTGGCTCGGATGCAGATGGTCATAGTCGCCACACTGACAGGATATGTACGCACAGTCAGAGATTGCTCAGCTGGCTAAAAAGCTCACCGTCAATCATTCAGGATCCTAGCTCGTTTCTTAAAATCTACTGCGCACTGAGCGCGAGAATGTGCAGCACGTCAAATATTCAAATGTTTATGGTTGTTTCTCGACGCGATCACCTCGATATCAATCTGGTCTCCATGATGTGGTTCTTCCCGCTCCAATGTGTCTCCCGCTCGCCGGGAGCTCTGAACTTAGTCAGAATCTGCGGCTCGCAATGTTTTATAAGACGCACTCCTACATCTATTATAGTACTAAGTCGGCCGCGGATTGGACCCCGCTGCATTTGTGAGCTCCGGCGGTCAGAGGCATACTAATGATTTGTATGCAACAAGAGACCGCGGGCCGTGCCTCGTATATACGCTTAGTATGGATGCAATTAAGTTGTGCAGCCATGCCACAGAATTCGCATGCGCACATGCATGTACCGCCCCGTCCACTGAACGCGACGCCGGGTGCTTGGCCCGGCGTCTGGCATGGGGCACCCCACCTTCCGGGCACTGCATGCAACAAATTGTCTCAATCTGGCGCAACATGCCATGTACTCAAACTAATTTGAATTGATTTAGAATCACACGTAGAGTAGAGGGAGTGGCCGTGCATGATGGACACGTGCAATGTGTTTTGAAAAACGTTCTATATTCGCATGGGGAAGCGTTGTGTTAACGACTTGATATGTATTCAATTAGAACTTTTCTTCTTAACCAGTCTCCTTTTCTCCCCAGGCGAACGTAAATAAGTTGACAGTCTCCAGCCTGAGCGCGCCTATAAAGCTCTTGTGAACGACCATCTATATGTCTATTTTATGTAGGTTAAGTATGTTTGAATATGACCAATTAATTCCACTACACTATAAGCTTGTATGTTGCAGTATGCTTATCACGATCTCTACCATCGGGAAAAACCAGGATATCTAGGACTAAGCAGGCTGGACTTTGATTGGACGTTCGTAAAGAACGGTCCAATTCGCCCTCCCTGAAGAGACCTTCCGTCAAAACCCTCCTCGTATCCTATGAATAGCACAAACTTATGGATCCTTGTTGATCGATCTCGGTCAGCACATTCTCTATTGGCTTCTGCACTCTCTTAACATGAGCCGACTCTCAAGGAACAATTAGCGAATCTACTCCTCGTCCATGAGGTCGTCCATATCGTCCAGTCTCATCTTCTTGACCGCCTTGGCAGAACCCCCCGTGCTCGCCTTCACCATATTGTTCTTGTTCTTCTCCGCCGCACTCCCCACTCCGCCGTCCTTTCTAACGGTGAAGTGCAGCTGGTTGCCCCCGGGTGCCACGTCGATGTAGACGGTGGAGTTCTCGTCGATCTTGCCCTGCACCAGCATCTTGGACAGCTCCGTCACCACCTTGCGCTCCAGGTAGCGCCGCAGCGGCCGCGCGCCGAACGCGGGGTCGTACGCCTCCTGCAGAGAATGAAAGAGCGGGCGTCAAAGGAAATTTTTTGCTGGTGGTTGAATGTTTAGAGAAAGCTCAGACGTTCCAAATGGAAGAGCCGACTCAAAAGAAGTCTCAGCCTTTTGGGGAGATGCGACGGACAAAAGAAACTGACTAGCCAGAGCTTCTGCTCCAAAATTCTTCGAACAGATGCTGGCTCCACATTCTCAGACGCCCACGCTTTCAGACGCCCACGCTGACACCTACATAAGCAACACCCGCAGGGTGACAAACGAAAGACACCAGTACTTCTGTCAGCAGCAAGACAACCCTAGAAGCAAAGATCTGAATCACAAACGGTTGATGATAGCTGAGGCTCCCGTAAGCGTCCTCCCTCAACTTTCCAACATCAAGTCCCAAAAGACATCAAAGATACACGTATGAGACCCTGAGCTCTGTGGCGGCACTGAGAAAACCCACCTGCAGCACGAGGTCGAGGGCCGCGTCCGTAACGGAGAGTGCGATGCCGCGCTCCGCGAGCCTGGCCGCGACGTCCGCCATCTGGAGGCGCGCCACCTTGCGCAGCTGGGCGTGGCTCAGCGGGGTGAACACCACGATCTCGTCCAGCCGGTTCAGCAGCTCAGGCCGGAAGTTCCGCCGGACCTGCAGCGGAAAAGAAGACATTTAGCACCAGAAGGTGGTGTATGCTGAATTTCGGAGCAGCAAACAAACAAAGACACATCGACGTTGCTGTGTGCCTGAAAGCAAAACAACGACACCTTTCTTCACCATAGTAGTACCTAAACCTGCTGCGATGGGATCACAGGATCAGTGTCCGAATGCATCAGGCGAACAAAGAGAGTGGACACCCGAACTTTTCAGCAGATTCATCGTCGTCCTTGGGTCCAGCAGTACACTTTGTAAACCGCACCGTTCGGTTAGCGAATCCGGATCTAAATATACCCGATGATTAGTAACAAGAGCGCCAAAGAACACGCTCCCCTTACCTCCGCCATGACCATCTCCTTGGCCTGCTTGAAGGCCGGGCTATTGGCGCTGACGTCCTGCGTCACGGACAGCGTTTGCAGCAGGTACTCCGCCCCCAGGTTGCTGGTCATGATGATCACCGTGTTGGTGAAGTCCACAGTGCGGCCCTGCCCGTCCGTCAGCCGTCCGTCGTCCAGCACCTGTCCACAAATGGATACTGCTTGAGCACCAGGCGAGGTCGGAGAAAAGTGAGATGGAAAGGAAAAGCAGTCTTTCGTTGCTCAGCGTGGGCACAATTGAGAGGATCAAAAGAGCATAACCTCTATTCGCACCCCGTCGAATTAAAGCCACACGAGGACGTCCGCTCGCCATATTTTCGGCGGCCCGCCTGCCTTCTACAACTCGTTCACCGCCTAGGGAGCCCCCAAAAAACTTGAACCTTTTTGTGCGTCTGTCAATAATCTTGTCGAGCATAAAACATTATTTTTGCCTCTCCGAAGTCCAAGAAGATCAACTAACTGAGAGTAAACTCGGTGATTCGACTGGATTGAGGGTGGACAAGCAGATTGCAGCCCGCACGCTGGGTGGCTCACCTGCAGCAGCACGTTCCAGACGCTCTGGTGCGCCTTTTCCACCTCGTCGAACAGGATCACGCTGTACGGCCGCCGGCGCACCGTCTCCGTCAGCTGGCCGCCCTCCTCGTAACCGACGTACCCTGCAGCACCGAAGCAGGACGCGCGTCAGGATGGCATCCTAAAGGCGCTGATTGACAGCAACGACAAGTGGATTTTAGAAATCCTGCTCACTAATGGAAGGCTGTGCCAGAGTAGTCCTAAGAGACAGCAAGTGACGTCTCGAAGTCTCGGACCATGATAGATACAGCAGAAACCGTTGGCGATAGGCGTCCGCAGCACTTCACACAAGCGACACCACAAAGGCAAAAATCATAACGCCACGTAATTCTTTGCAGTGATTAATCCCAGACCGATGTGCCTTGCCAATCTTTCAATCACGGTCCTTTTCTCGGTTGCCACTCTTGAAATGTGCTGTTCTACCTGCAATCTTTTACATTCTGCTGTCTGATCCACACAAACAGCAAACGCCCTTACCTGGCGGCGCCCCGATGAGCCGCGCGACGGAGTGTTGCTCCATGTACTCGGTCATGTCGATGCGCACGAGCTGCTTCTCGTCGTCGAACAACTCCTCCGCGAGCGCCTTGGCCAGCTCCGTCTTGCCCACGCCCGTCGGGCCCAGGAACAAAAACGACCCCGTCGGCTGCTGCGCCCGGCTCAGCCCCGCGCGGCTGCGCAGCACCGCCTGCGCCACCGCCTCCACCGCCTCGTCCTGGCCCACCACGCGCGCGTGCAGCCTGCGGAGAAGAAAAGAAGGTGACGTCAGCGGTAGGCTCGATGCTTCCGATTACAAGCGTTCATCTGCGGGCAGAACGAAGCCCAAAGCGCTCGACGACGTTGTCTCGAGAGAATCGGAGGAAAGCCCAACCGAAGATGACCTACGGAGAAAGCAAGCGCGGCTGCTTCAATCAACTTGCGGAGTCAAACCTGAAGGGGCGTCGAGAAGCCAGGACCTTGAAAAGCTGGACGTGAATTGCCCAGCAAGGCCACAGAGGCTGGAATAGAAGGAACTACGGAGAGAGTCGGTATCGGGTGCCTGAGATACTCGATACGTACCTCTGCGCGAGCGACATGAGCCGTTCCTTGTCGGCCTGGCAGAGCCGCGTGACGGGGATGCCGGTCCAGCGCGAGACCACCTCCGCGATGTCGTCCGGCCCCACCACCTCCTTCAGCATCCGGCTGCCCTCCTTCTGGAACTCGCCCTGCGGAACGGAAACGGAACGGAAAGTAAGCGGAATTGTTGTCTTAACACGCAGGAGCCCAAAAAAAGAACCAAGCAAGCAGTTGTGAACGAACAAAATACACAAATTGGTTACAGACGAGCTTTACAAACGTGGGCACTGTAAGGGGCACCGGACACGGTATTTCAGATAATGGTAAAGCCCTCAAAGCGGTGCTACCAGGAAAGTGATATTGACCGGCGGTACAAAGCGCCGTTGGACAAACAACGGGTGCTCAGACCATCTTCTCCATAAAAGGATTTGAAAACAATGCCAGAGTCTTTTTTCAAATGAAAATAAACAAAACCCAGGGTTTACGCCAAGGCCAGACTTGTGCACTAATATATCTGTGATATTAAGAACACGGTTTTTTTAGAATAGAGAACTCAAATGATGAATCAATTTCCCATGAATTAAATGGGAAAAGGTGCTATTCCACACAGGCTGCAGGAGTCGACACAGCCTTAACCGACATCTTCCCACTGTAAGCAACCATGCAAACGCGCTCCACCTACCTCGAGCTTCTTGAGCGTATCCTCGATCTCCTGCAGCGCGCCGTACTTGAGGTCCGCGGCGCGCGCCAGGTCGTAGCGGCTCTCGGCCTCCTGGACGAGGCGGCGCACTTCCTCCTGCTTCTGGCGCAGACGCCGGATCTCATCCACGCGCGCCTTCTCCGCGCGGTACCGCATCACCAGCGGCTGCAGCTTGTCCTGGATCGCCTGCGCAGAACAGGAGCAGATATCACTTGAGTTGAGAGCCCAGGTGTATGAAGGGAAGTTATGCAGGAACGTGCGACAGCTTCAACAGCTGTGACCCTAACACGAATACAAACTAAGACGGAACGTTGGGACATCGGAGCCGGACACTAAAGAGGTGGTTGCATTGGTAGAATAAATCAGGGCCAAAAAGTAAGTCGTTCTTTGGACGAGAATGCACAGCGGGTCTCTATTATTACAGGAAGAGGAAGTCGACACTTACCGCCAGCTCAGCCTTGACTTCTTCCAGCCTCTGCCTGCTCGCCTTATCATCCTTCTCCTTCTCCAGCGCGTGCATCTCAATCTGCATAGCAGGAAAGAAGCAGCTCAGGCATCTACTCTCGATAAAGTCCCACCAACAGGCCTCACAAAATAATTAAGCGTCAGCAATTCGAATACGAATTTGAAGCAGACTCGCTTGACGGAGGAGCTTACTGTCGACGCGCAAACCGGTTCCCACCTCCCGCCACTTTTCACATTTTGTCGGCCTTCTTCAGAGACGCTTGAAAGCATAATTGAGACTCTTCTGAGTGAACCACTCGTCAAAAGGTTTGGCTCACCTCCAGCTGCATCTTGCGCCGCTCTAATTTGTCAATCTCCTCGGGCTGGCTGTCCAGCTGCACGCGCACGTTGGCGCACGCCTCGTCCACCAGGTCGATGGCCTTATCCGGCAGGAAGCGGTCTGCACGCAACCGGATGACGTCAGCACCACCTCAGCAAGCCGTTAGCGGAACATTCAACCATCTGACGCCGGAAGTACGCCCTCGACGCACTAATCAGAGCTTTCGAAGCGAGGCTCGCCTATCATGCACACAGGGCCTCCAAAGCGCTTCGTTAAGCACAAAAGAAACACGAAGAAGTTCTGACCTTCACAAGCTAAACAGGGCCTACTCACCGGTGATGTAGCGTGCACTGAGCTGGGCCGCGACGACGAGGGCCCTGTCGAGGATGCGGACGCCGTGGTGCGACTCGTACTTCTCCTTAAGGCCGCGCAGAATGCTGATCGTGTCTTCCACGCTCGGCTCCTTCACCAGCACCTGCCACGTCACAACAGCGCGTGAGCAACACGGGGACGGGCCAAAGTGCTTGAGAGCGGGCTTCTGCCAGAAGCGAAGAATCTGGCTTGCCTCTTGCTATGAAAACGAAGCTACTGCGCCCAAAAAACAGGAGCATCGGACATTGACAGTCACGGTCAGCCCACAGCCGATGTGAAGCTAACGGGCAAAGAGAGCGGACCAGAAATGAACGCATTGCTTCTCTTCAGCAACCTGTCGCGCAATATACACTCAGGTGAATGCCTCGTGGTAGTATCCCTATCCCCACACTTGAAGGATCCTGAGTTCCAGTGCAGCAATTGCACTTCTTATGCACTTTACGAAGGGAGACCCAGTGAGACCCCTACGGAACGACTTCCAACCAGAAGATGGTGAACCGCACCTGTTGGAAGCGGCGCTCGAAGGCTGCGTCCTTCTCGACGTACTTGCGGTATTCGTCCAGAGTGGTCGCCCCCACGCAGCGCAGCTGGCCCCGTGCCAGCATGGGCTTCAGCAGATTCGCGGCGTCCATAGAACCCTCCGTCTTGCCCGCGCCCAGAACCAGGTGAATCTCATCGATAAATAGGATTCTGCGGAAAGGCAAACATGTTCGTGGTTGGAAGTCAGCGGAAGACGCAAAATCCTTGAAACACACTCTCATGACTCTTACTGAAAAAGAAATTTGGACTTTGGCCATGCGAAAACAGCCAGATTCAATGCATCATGAGACAGCACGGAAACAGGAAAGCAAGTTTCAGGCACAACTTAATACTACAAATGTGCCAGATGAGCGGACCGAACGAATACGCACGCCCCTAACGAATCCAAGTTTGCTTGAAGCAACATCGAACTTTAGCATACGATCCACCGCGAATGCTAATCCTGTACATAACCTTGTCAGCGTCAGGGCAGCGCAACAATGAAGAGTCCGAACTCACATCTTGCCATCCGAGTCGGTAACCTCCTTGAGCACCGCCTTGAGGCGCTCCTCGAACTCTCCCCGGTACTTGGCCCCTGCGATAAGCGACCCCATGTCGAGAGCGATGATGCGCACCTGCGCCAGGTTGCTGGGGACGTCCCCCCGCACGATCCGCTGTGCGATGCCTTCTACGATGGCCGTCTTGCCGACACCAGGGTCACCGATCAGCACAGGGTTGTTCTGCACGAGAAATGTGTGGGTTCAGACATGTCTGCCAAGAGGAACGGTCCGCCCGTAAGAACGAAAGTTGATCACAATCTTGGTTGAGATGTTTAGGTAGTCGTCTTTCGAACTAAATGATCCAAAAGAAGCTTGACGAAGGGAACGAGGAAAGGCAGTAGACGAATCAAACCGAGGAAAAGCACCTTCGATTGCAAACGGACGACTCCAAGGAGGGATCCAGAAAACTTGGCCAAATGTCTCCAATTTAGGTTCGGTTGCGCATTAGTTTCCAAGACAAATTGAGGTACTCTTGGTGGTGATTTGCAATGACGAAGAGAGACTCAGTCTTCGGCACCTTACCTTTGTTCTCCTGGACAGGATCCTGATGACACGCCTGATCTCCTCATCGCGCCCAATCACAGGGTCCAGGCGGCCTTGCTGAGCCTCCTCCACCAGGTCCCGCCCGTAGTTTTTGAGCGCCTCAAACGTCTGGTCTCCCATGGGGTTGGTCACTTTCTTGGCGCCTTGGCCCCCACCATCCTTTCCCCTGAGCGCTGAGAGGGCATCCCTCACTTTGGCAATGTTCACATTTGCCTGCTTGAGTGCATCAGCCACCTGCAATCCAGATGAAGTGTCAACAACGCAAAAGCTTGTCAATGTTGGTTGCTGTCACAAATACTGCGAGATGCTGCAAACCTACAGCGTAATAATCTGTCACTCTCTCTTAGAGATATATGGATCCAAAAACTTAATCAGCATGCGCTCTAAACATGAGCTGAAAGGTGCGAGAGTTCAACAATCCTCTGACAAGATTTTTGTTTTAACAAAAGCTGAGACTGGAATGTAGCTTTTCTACAATTCTCAGGAGTGATTCTTTTGTTATCTGCCCCAAACTTCATCGTACAATGCACCCCTTCATCTGTCGCTCTGTTGAGTGCTTCCTTGACTTTGTTTTGACCACTCTTGACATGAAGTGAGTGCTTCATTGGTTTTCTTTTGTACCACTGTTTGCAAAGTTTACACTGCCATCAGAAATGCATTCTCACCTGTGAGTCCTCGAGCATGCCCAGCAGCAAGGAATCAACAGCCAGGTACAAGTCCCCATGATCCTTCTGGAACTTCTGGGCCCGTTTCAAGGCTTTCACCAGAGCTGTGCTGGCAGTGATCTGCGCATGACGAGACATTAGATTGGTGAACAGCGTAACCATCTCAAAAACAGGCCAAAGTCAATCCAAAATGCTGATTAGTCTCAATGTGATCTCTGACGTTGTGTTTAAGCAACATGGTGGTGTAAGACAAGACGGTGGTTTGACAACATGCAGCTGTCATAATTACTTTTACGAGGCATGCATGAGGTGCCATGCGCCTCAAATGCAATCAACGCTCCACTCGTGGCTGGTTTGCCATCGCTGAATCAAATAAGGCTATCAGGAAGTCTATTGCAATAATGGTGGTACTAAGTGCTTTAGAAATCTTTGCGGACACAAACGGAAAACAGGAATAAGGAATTTTTAAAAGTAGTACATATTGCAGTCAGAGCAGAGACCCAGCAATTGCGGGTGTCAGCTGACGAGGTTCTCAATGCTAAGATTATTGACAGGCTCCCTACCACCATGTAGACAAAGCCTATTTTTGAAAAGACAATTGCATGCACGATCTCATGATCACCATATTTAACTTTCAACAGAAATGTCATTGGAATCAACCTCTGGACTAAACTTTCAATGATAGACTACTGAATTCTTTCTTACCTCGTCTGGAGCGGGGCTTTGAGAGGGCTGCTTAGCAAGGATGTTTTTGAGAGACTGCTCGACAGCCTCGACCGCTCCTGCATCCGCTCCAGCGGCCTGGGCTACTGCTTGTCGAGCTAATCCATTGGGATCCCTCAAGAGTGTCAAGAACACATGAGCCGGCAGCATCTGTGCATGGCCCATCTGCTCCGCGATCTCGCGTGCTGCCGACAGGGCTTCATTTGTCTTGTGCGTGAACGTCTCTGGATTCATCTTGCCTGAAAATGTTGTGGGTGATGCTGATGGTTTCTAAAAGAGCTTTGGAAGTGGAAACTGCTTTGTTGGAAGCAAACGGATGAATTATCACTGCTGAAAGCTGCTCCTTTTCTGCGTGCTTACAGCTTTACTTCAGCTAGTAGTGGCGCCAAGCCGCGACTTTGCACTAGAGCACTGCATTATTGAGCAAGCAGCAAAAGCAGCTGCGACTCCGAAATCTTCTAGAAGCTTTTTGCCAAGTTGGACACTTTTTCGAGCTTCTCGGACAATCGCGAACGTTCAATCTTGGGTTTTGGACGTTACCAGCCGTCCAATATCCTAACCCGTCCGACTCCAATGCCGACGCAATCATTGTCGCACTGCCAAGTGTCGATCAATGAAGGTGTCTTTTGCCACACGCTGGCTCCGATATGTGGCTCAGAAAAGTCAGGTTATCTGGTTTACCAGCGAGGTCATGGGTTTGCTGTAACCCAGGGGCCAGTGGCAGGGGGGCACGTTCCTTGCTCGAGTCCTCTCTTCAAAATTTGAATCACGTACAGAGTTCACATTCAACATTTCAAGCTTCTTGAAGCCAGAGAACCAATTTGAAACTGGGAGCGCATTCTAAAGGGTCCGTAGCCATGGAGCACTCTGATCAGCTGAAGAATACAGATTTGATGACCTTGACAAGATTTATTCTCAATGAGCAGCACAAGTACCCCGAGGCGACTGGAGATCTTACGATTCTGTTGAATCACATTGCACTTGGCTGCAAGTTTGTCCAGTCTGCGGTCAACAAAGCAGGGCTTGCAAAACTCATTGGGCTTGCTGGTGAACAGAATGTGCAGGTGAATACCGCCCATGGGTTTGGGTGGTCCTTCATTCTCACTGTACATCTGGGACAGGTTGCTCTTGTGTAGACCTAGATCAACACGGTGTTGTTTGACAATGTTGTCATCTTTTTGGGATTTCCTGTCACATTGGGGTCCCTCCTCGCATGCAACGGTTGCACACTCTATGGATTTTAAGCTTTCGGAAAGTTTTTGCTTGTATTGGTACATTGAAAATCATGCTTAGGGTGGCTTGACACTGCTGGACGCCAGGTCCTGCTCGGTTCTTGATGTACCTTAAGAACAGTTTGAATGGATTTACTGCTTGAAGACCCACACATGGTGATCTGCTTCGCTGCATTGTGTCGAATATGCTCATCGTTCTCAAACGGCTTTCCAAAAAGTTGACTTGTTGCTGCATTAGGGTTTCAGAGATTCCGTTCATGTGACAGGTCGAATTGTCCAAAGGACCCTGTCGTCTTTTCTGGGAAACTTTGTAATCACTATCAAGCTCCATTTGGTCTGGGCCACTCTTATCTGCCTCCATTTGTTTTCAGGGAGAGGACCAGAAGAAGCTCGATGTCTTGTCGAACGACGTTTTCATCAAGGCGCTCACGAGCAGTGGAAGGACCCGGGTGTTGGTTTCGGAGGAGAACGAGGACGCTATTCTGATTGAGAAGGGGAAGAGGGGCAGGTATGCAAGAGCTCGTCGTCTGAATATTCCTCGTCGATGCCTCAAACCACCACTCTGCTGGCCTTGGCAAGATACTTATTGGTTCAGGAAACACTGTTTATATTGGTGCATTCTAAACAGATTGATCAACAAGGACACCGTAGGATAGGTGTGCAAGTTCCAAAGCAGGACTCTGCTCAATGCAGGCCTCCTGACAGTGTGAAAGACTGTGGTATGTGATGGTTGATGGGGATTGGAACTGATTTGGAGCATGTTTGTTGATTATCTTCAGGTATTGTGTTGTGTTCGACCCTTTAGATGGCTCGTCGAACATTGATTGTGCGGTGGCGGTCGGGACGATCTTCGGCATCTACCAGGTTACCGAGCCTGAGCGCGAGGGCAAGATCGAGGACGTGTTGCAGCCTGGAACCAAGATGGTGTCCGCAGGCTACTGCATGTATGGGAGCTCATGCGAGCTGGTGCTCACGACAGGTATGGCATACTTAGAAACAAGGAAGGCTGCAACTGTACTGTTGAGGATACTTTTTTCCCTTTCATTCTGATGCCGTTTGAAAGAAATCGCTCTTGAAGGAAACTGCAAGCGGAACAAGCCAAGGTTGAGACTTTTGTGAGTCTGTGAGAGTACGGAATGTATCAGTTGATAAAAGCTCACAGATGTGATTTGCTGCTTTATGAGTGCCACGTATAGTTGATCTGCTGCTCTATATGCCCCTATGGTGCTGATGAGATTGATGCCACCTCCAACCTACGATTCTGCACCATGAACGACTTCACATCCTGAACAGGAAAGAATCTTGAATCAATATCAGCTGTGAGCTTGAAAGTGTCCCCCTCTACCAGCTCAATTGCTTCTTGTGTGCCTTGAGCAGCTCCTTGTGTACCGTCAAATACTGGTCGTTTTTTGAAGCTGCTCTGAGTACTTCGATTTGGCAGCCTCCTTCCTACCAATTAGTATGCACTTGTTTTGTATCCAGACCCCTCACACCTTGTGGCTCAACGCCAGAATGCGCGCTTAGGTGATCCCGTAGGCTGTCTCACATCCATTTGATCCTGTGCGTAGGAGAGGGGGTCACTGGCTTCACACTTGATCCTTCTCTCGGGGAGTTCATCTTGACTCGTGCGAACATCAAGGTAAGCGTGTTATGTTTGCAGCACCTTCTGTTAGCTCTGCTGTAATGCAGCTCGTCCAAATGTGTGGTTGCACTATTGTATTAGGCAAGTGGCGCACCTCAGAATGCTTCGGTGCCTCAGCGCTTAATTGTTGTCAATCCGTTGGTCCGAAATGAGGTATTCAGTTGAATCCTTACCTGGATAATCTGCCGTTCCGATGATATCTTTTCGTTGAATTTGCTGGTCAAATGGGGTATGGAAGCGACGGAAATTAGCAACCGGGTATCCTGACCGGAGATGTTATCCATCTTTCTCCTGATTGCTGCTTGCACAGCTCCTCTTGTCTCAGTGACTCAGAAGTTCCAACGTGCAGATTCCGAAGGCGGGCAAAATCTACTCTGTCAACCAAGGGAACGCTGTCAACTGGGATGCGCCGACCACTGCTTACGTTGAGGCATGCCAGAAGAAGACGAAGTCGCTGCGCTACATTGGAAGGTGAGTCGGATCCCGGAACAGCTTTGTCAATCGCGAGCGGGTGCAGATTGTTGGTCAGCTGGTGGTTGACAGCGTGCAGGCTTACAACTTCAGTAGAAAGGGCTTGACTGAGGGACGAGATTCGTCTTGGCCAAGCCACATGGTCGAAGTTTCTGAAAGTCGATTGCTGTTCTTTCAAAGTCGATTCACAACTGAAGCGTCCATTTGTTAACTTGCAGCATGGTCGCTGACGTTCACCGGACCCTACTGTACGGTGGCATCTTCTTGTACCCCGCGGACAAGAAGAGCCCCAGCGGCAAGCTGCGTGTTCTGTACGAGTGCTTCCCCATGGCTTTCATCATGGAGCAGGCTGGCGGCCAGGCCTTCACTGGCAAGGGCAGGATGCTGGAGCTGGTGCCCACGAAACTCCACGAGCGGTCCCCCATCTTTCTCGGAAGCTACGACGATGTCGAAGACGTCAAGAAGCTGTATGCCGAAAAGGCCTCCAGTTAAGAAGTCAACCCTGATGGTTACTGCAGCCACGATCCAGTCGAAGAACGTTTGACGGAGGAGAAACGGTTATGTAGCAGGGCAAAAGCATGCACAATGGAGAGGCTAAGGTAGGACTGAGGTTGACTAATGCGTTTGGATTAACGAGTGAATCGTTGAACGGAAGATTGACTGGCAATCGATTGGAACGAGTTTGCACCTGAAATGGGAAACGGTTTGCCGAGTCACGACCATGGAGAGAATTGTCAAGAAGCTGTGCCTCTTCGCTTTTTCCAGTCAACTGGTGAGTCCAAGCTGGGAAATCCCTATGTCTGGAGTGCCTGTCAGTAATCTCGAAGACGGACGTTCGATCTGTGATCAGTATCCAGTGTATGCTGATCCTCCTCAAATAACGTCAGCATACACGTCCAAATATAAGCGTATACATGTCAATCCTGGCACAACGACATGGATGCCGATCGACGATAGCACCCTTGATGACTTTTCGTGACAGGGTTCCGATACATGACGGGACATGCATGAAATAGGTGCATGTAATCTGCATGATGAGAAGTACCTCGGGCCAATCGGCCAGCAATGTACTTAATCAGGGTGGCATGCCAATCGACCATGGCCGCCCGTGATTTTTGCTCATATAGTAGTTATATATAGTTTAGGGTGCCTGTGCAATGCGTACATGCATGCATTTCTGCAAGAGCTTTGCGGCTGTCGCCCTCGCCCCCATATGGATACTGCGTGTTTTGTTGAAGCGATGTACCGGTGAGCTTTGTGGAGCGAAGCACATACCAAAGCATATGCATCACAAAGTTGACCACTGAGAGGCCGTCGTCTGTATCACTATTGCCGATTAACTGGCTGCTGTACATGGCTTCGTAAATCCGAGAAAATCCAACGGTTTCCCACTGTAAGTTGTAGATGGCACCGAAAGTACCGGACTGTAGCAAGACGTTTTAGAACATATCATCATCATCAGATTGAATGAGTTTCAGGCATAATTTTCTTACTGCATCGGCCAGCATGTCTTTTCTGAGCTACTAGTGTTGTGGTATTTTAATTATACCACCAAGTTGACTAGTACCCCCACTCTAATACTAATAGGTCTTGCCACAATGAAGCCCACTCCCCACCCCCAAGAAGAGCCCAAATACTGCTGCACTTCCTAGTGTTGTCTGCCCAATGTGCCGCACTTTAAGTAGGCCTGGCACCTGCACAGTGGACAATCAGGTGTGCGGGTGTCCACTTGAAAACTGGCACATTGAAGCGACAAGAAGGAAGGTACGGTACATGCTGACGTCACACATCCGTCTACAAAGATAGAATCTGAAGGCTTACCTTGTATCTAAAAGCTTCATATGTACCATAAACGGCGCCTGTAAGAAGCAGTGTTAGAAGTGTTCAGAGTATGCCTCAGCAGATTGTTCACTGGGTATGGAGGAAATACACGGTTTGAGAGGCCCTGACGTCGAAGGCAGCAAAGCTTTCCTTCATTCACAGAATCATGCATAAAAGCATGACTCAAAAAGTGCCACCCTTTATTCGCTCCTAGTAGAAGCTCCTGCGAAGCTCATGCTAAAAAAATCTCAAGTAAAAAAATCAGTCCAACCATACCGCGGTGAGCGAATAGAGGGCGCTGTGGGGCGCAACTGAAGTTCGCAGTATTACAGATAGAAGACACAACGAAAACCACAATTGTTACAAAGTTCCCATAAGCCGACGGACCTTCTTGTTTGTTGATTTTCCTCATTAGCATTGTCCGTCAAACTATGAACCCAGCGAATCAGCTAGCGCTAACAAGAATGGTGTTCTCAGATTGTCATTTCTGTCTTGTTAAACCAAATAATTGGTTGGTTTTGTTGTACAGATGGATCACAAACGACCACCGTCCCTGACAACATAACGAACAATCACAAGTTGGGTTTGAGAACCAAAAAGCGTGCTTCAAATACAAGTCCCGTCCGAGTATCACCTGTCAGAAGAAGCAACTATTGTTGTCTGCATTTTGAACCAAACCGGGAAACTCACCAAGTGCGCCGCCAACAGCCCCGCCCATGATAACACCAGACACAACCCTCGTCATGCACCGATCCATGCTACCTGCCATCCCGGCCACCAAAGGTTTGCACTTGTGTACAGACTTTCTAAACTAGCAGCACCACTGCAAACCGTTAAGGGCGGTCATAGGCTGACCTGCGAAAAACCACGCTCACAATCGCAGCTGCTGGGAAGTAATCAAGTAAAGACTGTACAAAGATACCTCATGAATATGGTGTATGTGCACTTTGCACCCTGCACACTTAGAAGATATGATGGTTTCAACGGGCACACAGAGAGAGTCGTGCAATTCTGGAACCAAATGAGCGCCCTGATCTGCCAGTGCTACTGCTGCATATATACCTTTCTTCCCCTGCTGCATGGCCTCTGGACCGTGGTGGCGCTGTGCTGTCAATAATTCTAGAGGAAACCGGACCAATTCGATCAGCAGGGGGGCCTTTTTGCAGTGAAGCGGGCCCCCTGACAGTGATGGCGAGAGTGATCGAGGTGATCACTCTAGACGGGGCCCACTGTTCAAACACCTGAGGCTGAAACACATGCTACTACTAGCCTCTAGGTATCCTGGATTTCCGTAACCGCCTCTTCAGACCAGCCCTGAGGCTGAACCTGAGCAGCTCTGGCAAGCTTCTCAAGAACTTCGCGGCTTGGGTCTTCGCAACAACCAGTTGGGAGCAGAGGCCAGCCGCCAGAGGCGCAGCTCAGCTTCATGCAGTGGACGTTGGCAGAAGTGTAGCTGGCTGTCGGCTTTTATTGAAATCCCTTCTCTTATTCGTGAGCAATAAGCAGCTGCAAATGTGATAGCAGCCCGTTGCTTCTTTGTTTGGGTCCCCTTGGGATCTGATTCGTATAAGAAGTTGCACGGTCAGGGCAACGGGGCCTGTTCAGAAGTTAAGCGCACAAAGTTGCAGTTTGCTCCTTCAAGTCAGAAGGACAGGCCCAACATTCTTGCCGCTTCGTCATCTGTCGCCGGATCTTAGTCCTTCGAAAAAAAAGCTGTGATACACGGAGTTTGGCTTCAAATTAGCCATGCATCTGAGACTCTGAGCCTGAAGTCATCCCCTGACCTCTTACACTAGAAAGCTTGCAATATTTGTGGTAAATTAGCATTCCCAGCTCAAAAGACATGATGGCTTCTGGCTTGGATTCCGTGTTGGAGCCGAGCACAAGCGGGGCTGGAATTGTGGCAATGGACACGGGTCTTTCTCATCAGAGATTTCCCTCTTCCAAAATGAAAATAGACGAACTCTTCATTCAGTGGCTGTCGCTACCAGACTCTCAAAAGTTGGTAAGTGGTCAACCTGCTCAGTCGTCCCTATTTCGATGAATATTCGATTTTGTGTGAAGCAGTCAGGGTGCTTATGCTTCAACAAATCTCACGGGCGAGGTTGTCCGAGATAGTCCATGAGATCAGAGCTCGTCACGGTTGACTTTTATGATGATTTGCAGTTCCTGCAGAGCGACATTTAGCTCTATGTTTGAGGTAGGTGTTGGTCCTAGTAGCCAGCTCTTGCACCGTACAAATATCAGGACAGGTTTTGAGCTTTTTGACTCTGGTTATATCTCTACAATCTTTGGGGTTGTCTATGGTGGAGGTTGAGTCTTAGCACAGACCGGAGGTTAGAGGCACCATATATGTCCAATCTGTGATGTAATTCAATCCGAAGGGTTGGTGATTATTAGAGCCCCTACATCTTCAGCAATCCTTGTGCTTCTTTGTTCCGCGGAGGGTTCATTCTCAACAAATGTCTTCTCAACTATCTCGGGTCTGACCTGTGCAATGACACCTGTGTTTTATTGTAGATGTCAATTCCAGAGCACTTATATCGAGCGCACTTGATTAGGGTTCTCTCTTTTGGATACTGTCTGCCTTCCCAACTTTACTTATCTGGCCCTGCACCTATGGGGTTCAGATGTGCACAAGCGGTTTTGGCAAAACTATATCTCCTAGTGATCATTTCAAGGCATGGCATCTTTGCAACACTGAAAAAGAATAGAGGTACAAGCAACTTTTGCAAGCAGCTACGTTGGTCAGCTCTGCATCTAGTTTACCGCCAGAGCTTCAGGCGCTGCTGGTTTACCTCTTGTCTTTCGATTTGAGCAGGTGTTGTCCCTACTGGAGGATGCAAAAGCCGGCCTTCCTTTGGTTGGCCCATCCTCGAGCTCTTCCTTCAGTCCTGGAAGCTCCACCCCCCTCTCCCCGTCATCAGCGCAGGCCCTGTTTGCGGCTTCAACCACACCCCCTCTTTCTCCCAAGAGCTCTGCCGGCTCCCCGCTGTCGCCTAGGTCGCCTATGCGGAGGGCACCATTTGGACATGCAGGCAGCCCTCTGAAGAAAGCGAGCGAGCCCCTACAGGAACGAATCCCACAGGTGCAATCGTCTGACTGGCTGACCGCCACTGTCTCCACATCCCTTCGATGTTGCAGCAATGTAACGGAAGATTAGGGTATGTATGTAGTCTATCTGGAGCAAACCCCTCTTTTAGCTGCAGTGAAGGCCACGATCCAAGCGCTCTGTTGAGGCAATTGATCACGACAAGAAAAAGTCAGATATTGGTTGGTCACCAGTGTGTTCGGTAAATGTTGTTCCGCATCATGACCCTTGATCCTGCACACGCTCTTGCAGTTCTATTTCCCGAAAGGTGCCCCCCTGACAGAGAAGCAGCAAGTGGAGTTGCAAGCAGAGATAGACGGCATCTGGATTCCTCATCCTGAGGGCCTTCCTCTCCAAGGTGGGGACCCGCCATTGCTGCATGTGGTCGGTATTCCTTTTCTCTGTTGGTGAATTATCTGCATCCATGAAGATTCGCCATCGTGGCTGGAAGGCAGGGCTTTCCCTCTGCAGTTACTAGTCGTTCTCAGGCACCTCTATCAACTTCTATGTTGGCGCTTTGATTGGTCTCACTGGTTGCGTCCTCGGGCCTTGTCCAGCGTTCATGGATGTCACCAAGAACGTGTGCCGCCTTCCCTCCTTCTTCAACGGCGTGCTCTTCAAAAAGCTCGAGAAAGAGGGCTCCAACGTGGTCACGAAGCAAGACTTCCTGCACTTCTGGGTGTCGGAGTCGTTGGTTGACGCCGACCAGAACACCCGGCTCTTTGCTGTCCTCAAGCAACCCGGAAAGAACCACCTCACCCAGGTACAGCCTACCCCCGGTTATATCCGCTCAATCCATGGTTTGACATCCTTGAAAGTCGACACCGTCGATTCAGCACATCACGTCTGCCATCAAATTTTGAGCTTGTCTTTAATGGTGCTTTATCTAATACGGAAGCCTCTGCTCGCCATTGCTCGATGTATTCTGCGTCTATGTCGAGCCTGTCTTTTGGCTTCGTCAGGACGACTTCAAGCCAGTGCTGCGGGAGCTTCTGGCGAGCCACCCGGGCCTCGAGTTCCTCCACGACACCCCCGAGTTCCAGGAGCGTTATGCGGAGACAGTCATCTATCGAATCTTCTACACCGTAAACCGCTCGGGGAGCGGGAACATTACGCTGCGGGAGCTCAAGAGAAGCAACCTGCTGGCGGCCATGCAGCTCGTGGACGTGGAGGAGGACATCAACAAGGTCTTGAAGTCAGTCATCGGACTTGCTCAGTGCCACCATGCTCAGTGCCACCATTCTTGTTTCTACCCGCAGTTACTTCTAAGACGAGACTGGCATTTCTTCTCGTTCTGCTACACTTGTGGTGCATGGTTCTTGAACAGCTGGGTTATGGTGCTGCATCATCGTTACGTAGGCCTGCAGCGTGCTTCAGATACGTTCTTGTTGCTACTGCACAATCAAGCTCTGGCCCGAGACCCTCTGCGTCGAATCCACTTTGAAGAGGTGCTTTCGTAGGCCAGCTCTGTAGTCCCTGCTCAGCGCATACCGGTTGAGCCGTGTTTAACCTTGGCGTTCATCCGGATGCAGATATTTCTCGTACGAGCACTTCTACGTCATTTACTGCAAATTCTGGGAGCTGGACAGCGACCACGACTTCCTGATAGATAAAGAGGACTTGCTACGATACGGGAACCACGCACTGACGTACCGAATAGTGGACCGGATCTTCGCACAGGTACTGTCACGCTGACTTTGTGCCTTGTCACGCGATTTTCCGAGGCTGATGTCAGCTTCGGTCCGGTCTGCCGTGCACGGTTTGCCAACTGGACCCTCCGTTTCCATGACCATGACGACAGCTTCCGACTGGTATCAGCGAACTTTTTTTCCTGCTTTTGCGTGTCAAGCGGACCTGCATAGTCCCAGTTGCTGGACAGTTACTTCTCGATTCCCGTCCTGCCTTTCCAAGGGCGTCAAGACCACTTGCGTTGACCACAGTGAGTCCATCGTCTTTTGTAGAAGTAAGCAAAGACATGCACCCCCAAGTTTGAATCTTTTCCCGAGTCTCCCTATCTTTCTCCTGCGGTACCAAACGTCGCTCGACCTGTCGTTTCCTAAGCCGGCCTAACTTTGGTACAACGCTTCAAAGCCATACACGTGCGGCCTCCAAAGCCTCTCCTCTTGCAACTCCGTCCCCCAGGTCCCCCGGCGCTTCACGAGCGGCGTGCCGGGCAAGATGAGCTACGAGGACTTTGTGTGGTTCATCCTGTCGGAGGAGGACAAGACGACGGAGCTGAGCCTGGAGTACTGGTTCAAGTGCGTGGACCTGGACTGCGACGGCCGGATCACGCCCAACGAGATGCAGTACTTCTACGAGGAGCAGCTGCACCGCATGGAGTGCATGGCGCAGGAGCCCGTGCTCTTTGAGGACATCGTCTGCCAGATGGCCGACATGATAAACCCAGAGGTGCGGATCCCCGCGGGACGGGGGCTCCGTTCATGAGTTCAGCTTGGAAATTGAACGTTGTGCAGAGCAGCGAAAGCCGGTTCGTTGGAAACGTTGATTACAAGGTGTATCTCCCTGTTGGCTCAGATGTCACAGTTTCTGATTGCTGGGGTCGTGTATTCTGTGGCCACAAAAAGCGTCTCAGGCCTTCTGATACAGTTTCGTGCCTTGTCATCTTACGTGGGGCCAATTTGATGTGCCGAGCATGTTCATGCTGGCTGCTTCTTTTGTAGTTTCTAACTCTTGGCACAGACACTTGTGATGGTTCTGATGGAGGCCTTTGGATTCAAGTCAAATGACGTGGTACTGTCGTTGTCTTGCAGGTGGAGGGCGTGTTGACATTGAGGGACTTGAAGCACTGCAAGCTGTCCGGAAACTTCTTCAACATCCTCTTCAACCTCAACAAGTTTGTAGCTTTCGAAACCCGGGACCCCTTCTTGATCCGACAAGAACGAGAAGACCCGACATTAACCGAATGGGATAGATTTGCACGGCAGGAGTACATACGGCTCTCCATGGAAGACGAGGGGGAGGAAACGTCGAATGGCAGCGCGGAAGTCTGGGACGAGTCGCTAGAGGCGCCTTTTTGAGAGTGAACAAGAAGTGGCTTTGCGTAAGACCACTGCGCAGGCTTGTTCGGAACCAGCTAGCAACGCTTATGCCCTACTGCAATGTTCTTATGATTCAACATGCCGGATGAGTGATGGCCGCTAGCATGCAGCAAGCACTTGAGGCCTTTGCTGTGTTCTGCAGAGAGCTGTGCTGCATTGTGTGATGCTGACATGGATCGACCGTCACTCTCAAGTCCTTCAACTGTCGTCAGTTGTCGAACAAGGTGTAAGTGGCATTGCCATGGAGGTCGATGCATTGCAAATGATTATATTATATTTCATGCGCACAGCTCATCTTCAGGTGTCACGCAACAATGATTGAAGTCGATGGGCTTCTAGCGGTTGTTGCGATCGAACATGCACATGCTCAGTTGAGCGACTAGTATAAACGTCTGTGCGCTACTTTGCACGCATATATGATATGATTTTGCGGTGCATGCGGATCATGCTTATATGGATAAGCTGAAAAGGTCATGTGCATACGCAGCAACGCGGCCGCGGCCCTCATGCAATTAACCGGGTGCCGCTGCCGCGTGCAGCAATTTTGTATACTGTTGCATGGCTGCAATCGAGAGTTTTACCCAGACTAGAGCTTGCGGATTGATCATGGGCACAATCTCGATCGAATGTATAGGCGGCTGCAAGAAACATGGTTCATGGTAGCTAGCTCGATGGTAAGCAGGAGCCCAGCAATTAAACAGTGGCGTCTCTTCTCCGAAGAAAAGGGCATTCTATCATTGTGATACCATCGAGAACCACAACTCAGTTTGACAAACCTGTTGCATGATGGACAAAATTACCACTCATAGTACCATCCAGTATCCAGTGAGTGCACGAGGTCGCCGTCTGCTTTCGTTTGCCCAAACTGCCTATGCGCGGCCATTATCTCCCACACTATGCGTGCCCCGCTCGCCGACCCCGCAAACACAGCATAATCCGCCTCCTCTGCCGCAAGTGTCAATTCTGCTACATAGTGTTGCATGATCTGGTTCCTCTGCGGGCATGGCACGTTCAGATGGCTTTGGTGCACCGTGATGGGGTCCAGTTCCACCAGAGGATTGTACATCACTTGCCGTTCCGAGTCCGTGAAGCCGAGATCGGTCGCGTTTGCGGCCGCCTGCCGGAGAACGCTCGCGGTGTCGGTAAAGAGGAAGACGCTCGGCCAGTGGATGCCCCAGTCCGCCTCGAGCTTTTCCACTGCCCTGCCGTAATCCCCCAGGTCCCGGAACCGGTGATGCTCGCGGAAGAAACCGTCGCCCCACCCCCTGCAAAGCGCCAGCTGACGTCAGCTTTGGTGCATCACCAAACAAAGCCAAACCTACGACTTCGCGGTGTCCGAGGAGAAAGTCAAGGACGGACGAGGTTTCCGTTTAACCGGCAGACTGCATCACCTCCTCTGTCCGGATGCAGGAATACACCGACTGCTGACAAGCGCCAAGGCATCCCCCGACCTCGTTTCCTTCACGATTCGTAAGAGCGACAACTCCTCCAATGCGCGAGTGTCCGTCCAAGAGCAGACCGAGGCCATTTGATTCTTCCGTGCCCACAAACTTTCTGCTGATGTGCGAAGCAGGGATAGCCGGAATCAACACGAAATCTCGTTGGCGGACGCCTCACCTGTCCGTTCTCCTGACGTGCACAGCCACGGTGGGCTCTCTCCTGTCGGGCCACGCGCACTTGATTGCGTCAGTAATCTCGCGTACGCGCGCCTGCGGCCGCCACATCCACTGGGTCGTGATGGACCACAGCATGAAGTGCAGGTCCAAGAACGGGGCCCCGTGGACGTCGCCCCCGCCCTCCAGCCGCAGATTGCCTGAGCCAGAGTAACAAACACGGTAGAAACGGGGCCTCTGAATAATGGGCATCGTTGACAGAACCCATGGAAGGGGAACGTGGGCTCCAGTTTTCGTGTCGGACCCCCCATACTAGTTGGTCCTCTGTGCGCGAGCGCTCCTCAAAAGACTAGGGCTGCCACGTGTAATTCGTAATTCCCCATGATAACGTAACCTCAATTGGTCCCCGGTTGACCGACCGATCGGACGATCCTAGGATCCTAACCGGGGGCTCGGCGCCTGACAGACGTCTAAGACCGAGACCCCCGGAAAGAGACAAGAGACCGGCTGACCAGGAAAGTTAAACCACTCTTCTCATTCGCGCGCTGAGGGTACTAAGCGGTGTGGGGGTCCAGAATGAAAACGGGGGTCCAGAATGAAAAATGGAGTCCACGTTCTCCTTCCACGGGTTCTGACAATAGGAGCCAGGGTCTGAGAAGGTGGTCGGAGATCATAGTCTGGTGGCTATTGGGGTAGATTAGACGACGGAGGGAGGTTTAGTATTCTTGCTCGGGCTTGCGTTTCAGCGATGCAAAATTACCGTAAGGCCAAACTCTAGAATGCAGAGTTTTTAACTCACAGTGCCAAACGTATGGCTGTCAATGATCCCGACTTCGTCAAGCTCTGGCTTCAACACCGGCTGAGAACGAGAACTTACTCACACTCCCTCGAGACTGCTTCATAGTGCTCACCTGCCACGATGAGATTCTCGAGGAAGGCCTCCCACCACGTGGGCTCCACCCACGACTCCCCCCGGTCGACAAACCCGCTCGGCGTCGGGACGACCGTCTCCAGCCGAACGACCCGCTTCTGCGCCGCCTCCGCTGACGTCACCATTGCCCCCTGCCACGTCAGCGTGACCTCGGAGTCGCCCACGCTCGGGGCATCGTACTTGCAACCGGAGAGGGGCTCGAAGAGCGTTTCGAGCGTTTCAAGGACGCAGGCACCGCTATCGGACGGCTGCTGTGGAGCTTCCGAAGAATCGACGACGAGGGTGCGCCCGAGGGAGACCGCCAGGAGGAGTGCCATTTGATATGAGTGGAAGTTGAGGGCAACGCCTGCAGAAGAAAAGATCGGGAATTACAACAAAGAAGTGGCAGAAGGAATGTAGCTCAGAGCAGTACGACGAAGTAGTTCAGAGCAGTAGGAGAGTAGAGCCAAAGAGTGGAGGGCATGCAAAGGGCGGGCGTGAGAATCGAAGAACAAACGCTTGTTTGTTTGATTGTATGGAGGTGGACTCAATTTCGGTAGTAGGAAAAAGTACCAATCGATGCCAAAGCAAGAAGTCCCTCAGGATCGCTCATGAACAATGAAAGAAGCATTAATCAACTGCCTTACAACATTGGCAGTGACTTACAACTACACATAACAATTACAACAATTGTTCTACGGACTCGCGAGAGCCAGGCAATCAGATCTACTGACTGACTGACTCATTGACTGACTGACTGACTGACTTGACTAACTGACTGCCCTTGATCAAGAAAGTGCACTGACCCACCTTGATTGTGCGGCCTGGTCATCAGCCACCGAGCATTTTCGCAGTCCTCTGGGAACTGCGTCCGATCTAGTTCCTCGTACACCAACTTCTCGACCGTGTTGCTCCATCTCAGAGTGCCACCTGGCAGCCCGGGGCCCGCGCTCGCGCCCAGCGGGTTAACCAATCCACCCCCCGTGGTAGAGTGCACAACCGGCCCCAGTGGCCCGGTTTGCGTAACCCGCTTACGGGCGCTGATGACCTGGGCGGCTAACCTGCCTACGTTGGACCGTGAGGAGATAATTGCGTAGTCGGACAGCCGTGAAAGGATGAGCGCGTTCGCTAGCGCGCGGTCCTCGGCGTGCCGGCGAGCCTCGGGCCCGGACCAGTCCTGGCCGCTCTCCGGACGTCCAAACAAATCCCCCGTCTCTAGTTCCTTACTCGCGCCAGCTTTCTGGAGAGGAGAATCTGAAGTTTCTACAGGCGGCTTGCTGTCGACGGCGTCGACTTGGCTCAGCTTTCGGCGAGACGCAGGAAAGCTTCTCAGCCTCGCATGATCAAACGGAGTCGCCATCTCTATTGCTGTTATTAGACCGAGACCCTTCTTAGGTCCTTGAACTCTATCAATCAATTGGTGGCCGAGTGAGGAAAGTACTCGGCACAAGCGGACTAAGCTCCTACAAGTAACAGAGTCGTTGGAGCTCAGACTCCCACAATGTGTACCGCTAAACGCCTCTGACACTCTGTTGTACAAAGTAGAAAGTCCGCTTCTATTAACTTTGTCTCTCTGCCCTACCCCTGCATCAGACACCCCACTAACTGCACCGTTTCCAGGTCGGCTACTCGACGACCACAACTCTCTCCGACTTTCATCTCCGCCCGGTAAGCCTCCTCCGAGCTTCTGCCGTAGCCGCCTCTGCTTGCCAAAACCGCCCAGGGGGGTCCCCCGGCCTCTCAACCCCCTTCGAACGACGACGTCACTCTTGTCCGCCGCTAGCTGGTCGTAAAGGATGTTAGAGGCCGCGGCCACGCCGAGCGTGTCCGATTTCTCAATCAGCTCTTCTAAGAAAAAGTCCGAGTCGGTGATGACGAAGGACGAATTCCAGGAGTGGCCCGCATTGTCGGCACCGGTTTTAAACGCCCACTGAAGCAAGACGAGAAGGAACTCTTCAGAGTTTGTTTCGTCTCCACTTGTTGTAAAAGCAAGCTGCATCTACAGTGAATTGCCATCGCCGAGGATGGCATAAGCATTGCGGCCCAAACAAAGGGAAACAAACCAGCAGCTGTGCCAAGGACAGTTGCGAAGGGCAGTATCCAAGCTTATAGAGCATCTTGCAAGGAAGGGAAGCGCACAAACGCAGCAAAAATAAAGCAATGCTCAAGTCAGCCTCGGAAGACTTTTACACGAACGTTGCCAACCCCTGATCTGCTTGCAACAGTACCGAACGTTTCAGTCTGCCGGAGTGGACTAGACAAACACAAAAAGAAAGAAAGTAATCATTCCTTGTGCATTCCTCACCCGCAGATCCTTGATGAGTCGCCCCATCTTCTTCCCGTCGTACGCCAGCACGTCTACCTGGCCAAGGTCCCCAAACCTCTCCGGGCCCCCGCCATACCCGGTGCGCATCTCCAGGCCCAGAACGGGGTACTTCGTCCCCCCCTGCTGCGCTAAAATCGCCGCTGCCTGATCCTCAATCCTCCCCACCGGCTTGAACATCCAGTCCGAGACAACGCTGAACACCATCGCTTCGATGTGTTCTGGGCTGGCTTGGCCCCCCCCCACGACCGTGACGTCGCCTGTGGCGGCAAGACGCTCCCACAGGGCCGAGAGCCACTCATGTTTGTACGGCTGTTCGTTGGGGTAGTCTGCACACGAGGGAGGACCTACGAAGTTATGACAAAAGAGCCGAACATGACGGAACTGCTTGTGCCCCATCGGTACTTCATTCGGAATGAATGCCTCCTGACATAATGCGATGTCGATACCTCAGTTTGCATCCAACCAGAGACTTGGTACTTAGAAACAGCTCGCAAGCTGACTTGCACAGCACAGATTGTATCAGCAAAGCTTTCCAGAAGAAGTTTCCCACATTCGAAAGAAACTCTATCCCGCTTCCACCCCCGCACCCTCACAATACCCCGCAGAATACTTGCTGCGCACAAGATACTATCCAGCGGACACAACCCAACTGAGCGGATGTCAAGAGCGACTCACGTGGTCCATACGGTATGAGCGTCAGCAACTGGTCTCCCCAGTCCCCTCTCACCACCTTCCCCATATCACGGTGCAGAAAGTCGCGCCCGTGTGTGTACTCATAAAATGCGTCCCCAAATCGGACTAGACGCTCCGGTTCATTGTATAGGGAACACTTCGTGAAAGGCTGGAAGTAACAGTGCAGGCTCTTGTCGCGACAGGTGGCATAAGGCAGCATGGGGCTGTCATGGATCGGAACGACTGTGTAGCCGAGCGAGGCGCCAAAGACGAGGAGCGCCAGGAAGTTCTGGTACTCGTACAGGACGTCTGGGGGAGGGACAACGAGCTTTTATTGAGTATCGGTTTCTCCGGACGGAGCGTGAACTGTAGACAAGATCTCTCGAGATCGATGATGGTGACCTGCTTAATTCCTAATTTGGAGATGTTGAAAGAAGTTCTAGTGTGCTGACATTGATCACCTCTTATCAAATGATGATCGGTACTACTTCTCACGAACTAAACGACCTCACAACCAACTACTGATTGAAAAGGCTTGACCACTGCTGGGGAGCCCTGCTGTTTGCAAACTGACTGCAGCTATCAGAGTTCGTAAAGGGCCTCTTAATGGGTAGCCACACGATGGTGACAAATCCGTACGCAGGGCCCAAAATCCCACCCGGCCAGGCGGCACTTCAGTTGTCACAACCACCGGTCCAATCTTGAACACGGAAGGGGGAGACTTCCAGTCTGTTGGAACTCCACCGACTTGCTACCGTACTCACGAACTTCGTTGGTCTGCATTGATCCAGTCCTACTCCAGCTAAAATCTGAGCAAGAGCACAATCAAACACAGGCCACCTTGGTGGCCTGAATTTGCCGTTTGAGGGCGACCAAAATAACGGAGGCACTTGCTCTCAGACACCTACACATATGAGTTTAGGGTTTGGCAGAACTAAACCTCACCATCGCTCAGCTGCTGGATTGCTAGCCACTTGGTGGAGCTGCAGTTTTCAGGAAACTGCACCCTCACAATCTCCCCGACGATGACGTCCGCTGCCGCCTGAGTCCAGGTAATACTCCCTGCCTCCAGCTTCTTCGCATCCAACGGCACCGTCTGTACATCCCTGTACCACTCTGGACCGGAAGCGACATCGTTGGCCCCACATCCTGGCCCCGTGCACGTTAGGAGCTGCTTTACAGCGTTCTGGAGTAGCAAGAGCTCCTGAGGTTTCCTCGTTGTGCCATAGAAGGCTAGAAGAACGGCCCCGACCACGATCACCAGGGCCGTCGCCGCCCAACGAGAGCCGAATTTATTCATGCCACTGTGCACATGCACCCAAGCAAACAACTACTGCATTGTTCTCAGGCAATCAAGCACACACATGCAGCTTGCAGCCACTATCAAAGCCATCAACGACTTTTTGTCGAATCTGCCCTTCCAACCAGTTTCTTTATTCTGATATTAAGCAGAGAAGCGGCGGCCTGAAGCCTGAAGCCTACTACCGCAGGTGTTGAGGAGAAGAAAATGGCAAGAAGTCGACATCAGCAAGCCTCTGGCCAGTGGCAAGGAATCACGACTCACCCGATCCGATCATTTAAACTTGAAGTGCAATTTAGTGGTGCGACGGAAGTTAGAAACCCCGAGCTCGCCGTCGCCTCTAGTTCGCTTTCAGGGCACAATGGGGCACATCGAACGGTTTGGCGTCTCATCGGACGGTGCCAATCCTCCCCAGTTTCCTGCGCGCTTAAATCCAGGCAGTAGCTGGGGATACCGAAATTCTGCCCATGCTGCTCAACTCATTCCTGATGCATAATGCATTTTGAATTTGGCTTCAACATTGCACGCGCTGAGCGCTGGCACTGGCAGCACGCTTGCGTGAACAGCACAGCCCAGCGCGGCCCAGCTAAACGTGCTTGCAATCTCTTCGGAAGTCAGATTTCAGAAGATAGAACTTAGAAGACATACGCATGGTTCAGGCAGCCGCATGAATGACGAACACAAACTTGGCATACCGGGCGGCGGGTACCCTCCAGCGTCAGAAGGCTGACATATCTGGCTGGATGGGGGCTGGATGTCCGAGCTTTCTTAGAGAATAGTGTGATAAACAGGGCCTTTCCTCCAAAAATATCGAGGCCCATCAACACATTGACGCGACTTTGTCATAAGTTGTCCTGAGGATCCATAACCTTAAAGATCTTGGGATTTGAGCGCAATTGGGATGCCAAGCATTCAGCAGCTCGCTGGCAATTGTCAGCATGAACAGCCTGGGCCCACGGCAGCAATCAGTCGTCATTGTTGCGGTCACGGTGGTGCTGCTGGGCTTGACACTCGCGCTCACCTTCTCAGACTCCATCAAAGGGTACCGAGTACTAGACAGGCTAAAGCGGGCTGAGATTGCTGGACTACTGGACCGGGTCTCAGTTCTTTCAGGCAATGCGGCAGATCGACCCACCCGTTCAGCTGATTCCAGTCTGATTGGGAGCGAAAATGATGACCTTAAGTATGCAGAAGCTCCTGCAGCTCTGGACTACTCGTGGCTCAAGCGCCTGCCAGAGAAAGTGCCAATCGACCTAACCACACTCCAGGATGGTTCAATTAGTTGGACCCAGGAGGCGGAGGATACAATCATTGCGGAGATCGAGAGGGTGCAGTTTCCGACTTCGTGCAGCAAAGCAAAATGGCTGGCGGTGCCGATGCACATGGGAGGTAGGTGCTCGCAACTACAGCTCAACCCTACACCTTTCTTGCTTTTGTATGTTCGCAAGGGCAAACGTTTTGGGCGTTCCGTGCTGCTCCTTGGTGGTACATGCCAGAACTTTGGTGACGGAAAGTCAATCCAACTTTGATATGAGTTGCTGCTCTCCCTTTGCAGGCCTCTTGTCGGACGTGCACCAGTTCCAGGCCTCTCTTCTGTTCGGTGTCAGCTTTGGCTACACAGTCGTCCCCCTCCCCAACTCGCACCTTGTCGCTTTCGCCGGCTGCACCGAAAAAAGTCTCCACTGCTTCTTCCAGCCCTACACAAACTGCTCGTTCTACGATAGCCCCCATCACGTGGCTTTCTACAAGGAAGCGTCCATTGGGGCTCCGCGGTACCCGGCGGGGGCCCGGAGGGGCGCGTTTGCGGAGCGAAACCTCCCGGCAAAGATGGCAAGCGGGGCACTCGGCGACCTGGTTGCGGTGCCCATCTGGCCACGTGAGCTACGAACGAGTCAGCTTATCTGACTTCAAGCCATGCTAAGAATAACATGAAGCCGTCAGCTGACTGGTAAAATTAGTGGAGCATCTCAGTGTTCTTCACAAGCATGTTTAGCCGTTTTGGGTGGCCCCGGACTTTGCATCAAGGCGGGACTTAGCGCACTATTGGCTTTGGACGCGGATACTGCCTTCATTTCTTGATGTCAACAGGTCAACCATTTGATCACTTCACATGTAAAACTTCTGGCATTTCGGCCGCTCAGAGGCAATCGCTTGAGATCCAGCAGATGGTACGAATGCAATTGGTACCGTCGTGAAAAGCTGATCATCATTACTTTGCAGCAACTGGCTCATCAATATGTTGTGTTGTACAAATCCTGAGATCGAGTAGCTCGAAGTACACCTTAACAAGAGCAACAAAATGTTAAAACCTGGAGTGTCTGACACCGTATCAAGCGTCAAGAATCTTGCAAGGGCTCCGATCTTCTTCCACCAACATAAAACATTCATCCCACTCGTTTGCAGACTATCGCGGAGCGCCGTGCAATGTGAAGTGGTTCGACGCGCTGTTTGAGCGCCTTCGCGCCAGTGGCAGCATCCAGATCCACGGTCAAGAGAGTTACGCGCATAAGGAGTTCATGCTGTACAGCGTCCTTTCGAAATGGACCATGCGTCCAATAAAGCGGATAGAACACCTGGCAAACAGATTAGCAGCCGAGTTTCCGGACGTCCGAGGCCCGGTGCTGGGTTTGCACGTCCGGCAAACGGACAAGACTAAAGAGGATCCCTTCTACGTGGCAAACGGGCGGTATCGGACAGCAGATGAGCTGTTTGAGGGGGTCAAGCAGCTTGCGGACGCCCGAACACCCCGGTGGAAGTCCGCCTTTCTAATGTCCGACTCCCAAGCGTTCCTCAATGCGGTTGTGGCCAACCCGGGCTCTTTGCACCTGGGTCCCGACGTGGACATTCTTTACAACCGGTTGCTGAACCGGTCAGTGATGGAGACCGGGGGCCACAACCTGGTGCGGGGGCGGGAGGCGACAGAGCAGACAGACCACTTCGTAGCCGGGCTGTATGTGATGTCAAAGATGGCGGACTATGCGATAGCGACGTTCTCGTCGAACGTGGGCAGGGCGATAGTGGAACTGCTGGCAGCGGAGCGCCGCGTCACGCAGGTCAGTCAGGTCGGGCCGCTCGCGGACGGAGTGGACGAAGCCTGGGGAACGAATCTTTGAGTCGATGTACTTGCAGTCAAATCGGATGGAGTGCTAGAATTGTATGGGGCGGCACGCATCAAGTGTACGGCACAAAACGAGTTCATTACTTCACGTCCAAAAGTGATAGTGTTCTTTGTCCGAGTACGTTTCTTGTTCCCGGATCTCGGGCTGTGCGGGAGCTCTGATGAATTAAGCACACCATGTTCAGAATGGATGATCATGGTTGGTATGATGACGTACATACTTAATCAAGGCGTCCAAGAACGGCCCGTCCTTGATCTAGCATCAAAACGCCCTTCTCATACCCCAACCAAAGCCTTCTTCATATACACCGAGCGTCTAATTCAAACGCCGGGCCCATTGCGGCCCACCCGCCGACATGTGCCATGGTACGCCTTCATGGTATAGTCATGCGACATAAGAGGCAAAGTCCGCGATGCAGATATGGCGGCCATGTCAAAAGTTTCGAGGATTTGCATGGCTGCCGCGATGTGCTCACAGGCTGACTCCACATGGTTAATCTGCGCTGCAAGAGCTGGTCATGCTGCTGCACCAGCCGCGCCCAAAGGATTGCAGAAGCAGATACACAGGCATGGAGACAGCTTGGGGGAGCACGTTCGCTCCACGAGCCTGCAACGAGCTGGATTGTGACTACCGTGTTCAATCCAAGACAAATGTAACACTGTAACCGTCATTAATCAGATACACAGTCACCAGTCGTAGAACCAGTCTACATCTAAGGATTTCGTGAACGGGGACGCGGGCTGGGGATAAGCTATTCGTCTCCTCCCGGCCATCACTTCCGCCATTATTCTCCCAACCGACGACCCCATCGTCATGACAATGTACTCGCTGTTCTCAAGGGCGACCTCCATGGCCGCAACTAAATGCTCCACAATCTGGTTCTTCTGCTCGCACCCCAGCCGTTCGTGGCTCCAATTCGCCTCTATCGGACTAAGATCCAAAAAGTCGTCGACAATCAATTCCGCACTTTTGTCGTTCAACCCCAGCATACCGAGGCCCGTGTTAGGAAGTTCCTTCATCAGTTTGGCCGAGTCCGAGAAAACGAAGACAGTCCGGACGTCGGAGCCTGTCGCCTCGGCATACTCGGCGACAGCCGCTCCGTAGTCTGTCAACGGCCGATACTCGTGGTGCTCTCGCCAGTACGGGTCCTGCAAGGGCGAGAGAGAGTTGGTTCCTTGGAGAAGCACGCAGAGAGGCCAAACAGCGGAGAGTCTACATTCAAATGAAAAGATCATCGGCGAAGGCCAAGAACTTTTTCACAATCGCCGCCGCCTCATTCCGTCCTTCTGCAGTAAGAGGCCGGATTTTCAGACCATGACAAGGCTGCTTGTCAGCGGAAGGGTTGAATCTACCAGTAACGGCTACTCGATAGCTCAACTCAGAAACGCCTGCCCTTCCGTTCCAACAACCGGTTTTCTGTGGATTTGTGGGCGATCGAAAGCAGGACCCAGTACAGGACAAGCTGAAATTGAGATGGCCAAGGTCCCTCACGAAGCTCTTGCCCTCATTCTAGTGGACAAAGAGCGAGCCTTCAAGATCACGTCTCTTGATAATCTATCGGTAACCAAATTCGTTTCTTCAATTTTGGATCCTTCTTATGCAGCTCAAAATCCAATAAAAGTGGATTCATTTCATTTTCACTAGCTTCACAAAGACAGCCTTTGATATAATGCCACGTCCGTATTTGGGTGGATTGAAAGAACTATCAAGCCACCATGGTGAGTATCCATTGCCAGTCCTGACGTTTGTTGTCGGCACGTCAAATGAACACCCCCGCCAGGCGACTGCCCCTGTCAACCCGCCAACTTCGAGCAACGCAATCGCCGCCTCACCTCGACCTCCTTATCGGTTCGCCGGATGTGCACCGACACGAGCGGCTTCTGCGCCTCGTGGTTGCACAGGATGGTCCGCGAGATGCGCTGCACGCGCTTCGTGGGGCGCCACATCCAATTGAGCACGTTCGCCCACAGCATCATCTGCTGCGTCTGCATGCTCACTTCGCTGAAAGGACCGTCCCCAACGACGCTCACGCTTCCTGCAAAGTTTCAGCGCAGGTGGTTACGGGAAAGAATGAAGAGCCAAGGCTCTGCTTATTATCTGGGTTGTCAGTGGCAAGAGAATCATTTGTAGAGTGTTCGTCTCGGGTTTGTCTCAACAAGAATCCTGGTTGACATAACCAGTGCTTTGAAGCCAGCGAACTCCGGGATGTGGGTAACATCTCCCTTCTTCGGGCTCTGTATTCAATCGTCATATTATCTCCGTCCCTTAGAGATGTCTCATGCTCCACCAGAAAAGATGGGAGTCGAAGGTCGTTGCATTTCTTCATCAGCACAACCAACTTACAATCTTGCTCCTACATGCTACCTCTGGATTACGAGATCTGTAACGTTCGAACGATTGGCAAGAGAACTTACCCGAATCGACGAGCTGTTCCCAGAGGCGCTCCCACCAGCCCTCCGCCTGCCACCGTTCCCACCGCTCCCAGGACCACCCCCTCGGCCGCGGCACCGTATCCGTCAGCCGGATCACATCCAACTCCTCCAGGTCCTCCTCCGGATTCAGTATCTGGCGCCAGTCCATTGCCGCCTGGGGCATCTGGTATGCCGCTCGCTTCTCAGGATTCGTTGCAAAGGAGCAGTGCGTGTGGGGCTCAAAGAGGGTAGTGATGGAGGCGGGGACGCAGCCATCTTGGCGAGGGTCGGGGGGCTCTTCGTTGATGACGAGGGTGCGGTTGAGGGAGAGCGACATGAGCAGTGTGAGAACGTACGTGTGCGTCGACGAGCCCAGACCTGCAGGGCGGAGCAAGATGATAAGGTCGCAAGTTGTTATTGTGCATCCGGCCCCTTGCCATAGCTCGAGGCGACACTGTGCAGAGCTGAAAGTCGAACATGATGTGTTGTCACCCAAACACGGGCCTTACAAGGTCCTGAGTAAATATGGTGCCCAGCTCTAAACGGGCTATTCTGCAGACAAACTGAATGGAGGAGACTACCAAAGCTTCACCACACCCACGCGAGAAGATTCTGGTGCATTTCTTGTCCAGACTCACCATGCCGGTGGGGGTCAATCACGAGCCACTTCTCCGCACCACAGTCCGCCGGGAATTGGCGCTCAAGGACGACATTGAGCAAAAAGTCTTCTGCTTCTGCAGACCAAGTCAGCGTGCCATTTTCCAGCCCCAGCTTTGGCTGAAACCCTGATCCAAGCTCTTCCTCAATAATCCTGGATGACCTGATTCCAGCATGGAATCCGGAGTCTTCCACAGGTGCCTCTGGCTCTGCACTCCATGGAAGGGAGTATTTTCTTCGAACCCTTGGCGCCCTCTTCTTGACTGGTTCGCTTTGCCTGCCAGTGACAGCAGCCAACGACTGCGCCAACGTTGCCCCGATCGAGGGGGTCTGTGCCGCTCGAGAGCTGGCACGTCTTACGAGCTCGATGCCCTCACCAGTCACATGCACTTCCCACTTAGATACCTCAAGAACGAGGGTCACAGCCAGAAAGAGCCCACCAAAAATGTACAAGCAGCCCTTCCAGGACCATATTGCTGTGGGCATCGCTTTCGCCATCGAACCCTAATGGCGCCCTAGCTAACCTAGAACTTAGAGAAGTCAGAGCAAGAAGTTTTGTGTCTTGCTGATGGCGTTGCTTGCACTCCAAGCTGATGTGTTCGGCTTTGCGAGAAGGACTCGACGGTACAGCAAAAGGATTGACACAGGTTCGATGAGAGAGTGGGTGGTGTCAGCTCATACCGCATAAGCGCTGCGGATAGGAATCACACACTCAGCCTTTTTGTCAGCGAGTGTCTGAAGCGATGCAAGGGCGTGGATCGACCAGAAGCAATGTTGATCGCTTGCTTCATCAACATGGTGGAAAACCCCCGGCCTGCAAACTTCGAACTTAGAAGGTGGCAAAGATTGGTCCTGGAGCCTGGGAGACGGCGTGATGCCATTGATGGTGACCCGTCACGGTGGAGAACACATGAATGGAGCCAAACGTGGAAGGCTACAGGACGTCAAGGGCTTTTGTAATGCCATCAATCGGAATTTGAAACACAATTGTAAGAGCGGTGCCAAGCTTTGAAGCAGATGGCAATGAGAGAACAGGCCTCTGCTAGGGGCCTACTTCGCAAATCGTTTTGAAAGGTATTGATTGGTGACTGAGTGCTACAGCCTCAGCATTCTGCCTGCTGTTCAACAGATGATCGCTGTTGAAGGTTGATTCACAGAGCTCTGTTGAGTGTTCGACAATGGACGAGGGAAAGTTGCCGGGTACAATGTCTCCAGAGGCCAGGGTATCTGCTGCAAAGGATAAGTCAGGCAGCAAAGGTAGCAAATCTCCAACCAAGGTTGGGAGCCCAAAAGCAAGTCCTGCTCAAGCGAAGAAGGTTTCACAAGATGCTCATGTGAAGACAGGAGCCGATGAAAGCACCTTTCAGGATCGCTGTCAGGTGCTTGAGGAGCATCTAACAAAAGAGAGGCTGGCAAAGGCTCAGGTGAGTTGCCTGCATGGGGGTTTCCCTCTTACGGACCAATTCATGGGCATGGTTCACCTAGATCACTTAGGTTTCAATCCTTCGATGATAGATTAGGAAGGTCCCTGGATGTTGGGCCAGTGTTGAAGGGTTTCTTTCCAGGTTGCATCCTGCGAGTATCTTATGAGAGTCTAGAAAAAGCAGCAATTGCATCAGAAGTAGGTAAGTGGCTTCAACCAGACACTCCAATCAAGACGTGGCGCATGCTTCTGTCAGATGAAAGGTTGACAATTCCGTTGCTGACCTATGAATCTGTATCCTTAGTTGGTTGAGCAAAGGAAGGAGAAGGACGCCACCATTGCAAAACTGGAGGCGGCTGAGAAGAAAGCAATTGGAAAATGGGAGGAGGAGAAACGCCGAGCAGAGAATGCTGCGGAGAGGGAGCGGAAAGCAAAGCAGGAGCATGATGAGATGAAGGTGGGTTCGTAAATTTATTGTAGATACATTCGAGAAGTGGCGCAGGATGTGATTCCCTGAAAGGTGGTACTTTTATCTCCTGAGTCCTGAGCCATGTTGGATGTGGTTGATGCCTCTTGTGGTGAAATTGTGAATGCTGTCTAGATGTGGAGATGTTTTGAAAGCTGTGACTGCTCAATTCCTTTAGGCAGCCTTGCTCTGACCGGTTCAGACTGAGGGCTCCAAATGGTTTGGTGCTTGTGCTCACCTCTGACAGTCTTTGGCGTTGGCACATGCTATCATCTAATTGCTTTCTGATCAGCATTACAGCTTCCCCCCAAGCGAGTGCATGAATCTTACGAGATTTTCTTCAATGCGCAGGGGAAAATCAGTGAGTACGATGCAAAGATAAAGCAGGTCCAGGAAGATGCAGAGCAAGAGAGGGAGGCGTTGAAAAAGGCGCTCTTGGAGGAGAGGCTTGCCAAGGAAAAGCTTGAAGCAGTAAGGGATGCTGGAATCGAGAAGGACCAGAAGGGAAGCGCGGAAGTCGAAGCACTGGTTGCGAAGATTCGGACTTTGGAGTCTGCAAATGCAGACCTGGTGCAAGAGCTACGGAAAGGTCTTGAGGGGAGCGATCAGGGCAAGGATGTTTCAGGAGCAGTGTCTGGAGAGGTGGAAAGGGTCAGGGAAGAGCTGGAGAGAAAGTTTGCGGGGGACAAGGGACACTGGGAAGAAAAGGCGAAGAAACAGAGGGAAGTGAGCAACAATGTGATTAGGAAGCTGAGTTCAGAGAAAGAGGCAGAAGCGCAGCGTGCCGAGGTGGCCCAGAAGCGTGTTGAGGAACTAGAGAAGGAGAACAAGAAGCTGGTGCATGACAACAAGAAACTGCACACCAAGAGTGCGGAAGCCGCCGGCATGGAGTCATCGCTGACGTTGACATCAGCAGCATTGGATGCCAGACTGGACAAGGCAGAGGCAAAGAACAGAGCCCTTGTGAAGGAGAGGGAGGAGTTGCTCCAGAAGGTGTCAAGTCTTGAGAAAGTCAGTCAGGAGATGGAACAGGGGCTGGCGGAGGAGAGGAGTGGAAAGGCGGCTGCTTTGCGAGAGAAGCAAGAGGCTTTTGAGAAGCTGGTTAACGTGGAGAAACGCCTGGTGGAGCGCGAAAGCGAAATGAAGAAGCTGCGGGCCAAGGGTGCGGAGGCGGCCGCTATGGAGTCGACGCTGACTCTGACATCAGCGGCCTTGGATGCCGGCCTCGAAAAGGCAGATGCCAAGAACAGGGCGCTTCTCAAGGAGAAGGACGAGTTGCTTGAGAAGTTGTCGGGTCTGAAGCAAGCCAGGGCAGAGGCGGAGGAGAGGCTGGCTGACGAGCGGAATGGAAAGGTGGCTGCTTTGAAGGAGAAGGATGATGCGCTCGGGAAGCTGGCTGAGGTTGAGACACGTCTGGTGGAGTGCGCGAGGGAACTCGAACGGGTCAGTATCGAAAACGGGGAGCTCAAGGACTCCACAGAGAAAATGTCAGCGGAAGTAGGGGAGTTAAAGGCAGAGCGGACTGCCAGGGAGGAGCGAAACGCGTTGCTTGTCAAGTCGCAAGACTCGCTCCAGGCTGAGCGACAACGGCTGGAAGCAGAGGTTGGAGAGCTTAGGGAATCAGTGGTGGCTCTAACGACAGAGATAGAGACCTTGAGGCGAGAGAATGTCAGCGCGCTCGAGCAGAGCACCAGCCTGGGAAAGGCGAAAGAAGCTGTAGAGGCTGAAAAGGAACAGTTGCGAGAAGAGGTAAAGGGGCTAGCGCTGGAGCAGAAGAAGTTGACGGCGCAGCTACAAGTGCTGAAAGAGGAGAAACAAGTGGTGGTGGAGCAGGGGACACGGCATGCCAAGATGAAGGAGGCGCTTGAGGTGGAGAAGGAGCAACTAGGGGCGGAACTGGCGCAACTGCTGGAGAGGATGCAAGGGCCGAAGCCGCAGGGCGGGCGTAAGCAGGAGGCGCGTGAGGCGCTCAAGAGCGTGGCAGCAAAGGTGGATGAGATTCATGAGAAGGTAAGAGGGGTCTGCCTTCTCATGACGTACTTGTTTTTTCTAGGATGTCAGTCATGCCAGTCCGAGGAACCATTCTATAGTCATGCGAATAGGTAGCGAGAAACGTTGTTGCCAGGCCCTATCAATGCTTTGAAAAGACAATCCGAGATTTTCGAGCCTTTGTTGGAGTTACAACTTCCTGGAAGGCCATCGTAGACCGGGTCTCACTGGAGTGCTCAGCGCCGTAAGTTTCCAACCCTCAGTAAGATTTGGCCTCAATTCTTGATTTTGGGCCTCACTTCCTGTCGGCCTTACTCTTTGATGTTGGCCTCAGTTTCGCAAATGCAAGGTTTGTAACTTTCGTTTTCTTCTGCTGTCCAGTTGGTCGACCTGGAGCACCGCTCCGAGCTCCTTGCCCAGGCGGAGGAGGAACGGGAGGCAGCCGTGCGAGCCAGTGCACACAAAGAAGCCGAGATTGGCAGGCTGCGGGAGGAAGTGCTGGTAAGGGTACTGGTCCCTCTTACTAACTTGGGTATGCTACCAAGTGATGGCCCACCAAGACCATCTGTCGTCGGGATCTTTTCTTGTTCCCAAGATTGACTATCTGTGGTGACTTGGTTGAATCGGAAAAAGGGACCGGGCATTGTAGACCCTTTCGGGCCGATGCTTTTTTGGTGTTTTGGCCCGACCTCAGGCCACGCTTGGGTTCTGGTTCAGGTGTTGATTTGAGTTCTATAGCTAATACAACAATGCCTCAGATATTCACCAGGACAGCTTGAAGGTCTTGCTGTTTTCGTAGCAGAGGGATCTAGGACGTGGAACGAATATCAATATGGTCAAACCTCATAACTCCGCTTATAACCATACTCTGCCTTGTGGCTTTCGCTCACAGAAGCTCACGTCTTGAACCCCTTTAATCTCTGACTAAGAATTGTTTACACCTCGAAATCCCCTCTACTGCAGACGCTCGAGGGACGGGCCGTCGAGGCTGAGGCCAAGGTGTCCGAGCTCCAGGAGGCGCTTCAGGCCGCCCAGGCGCAGCTGGCGCAGATCACGGGCTTCTCCCGAGCGAAGGACGAGGAGATTCGGGGGCTGTGGAAGCGCGTGCAAGAAGCTGCGCGCAACCAGGAGGAGCATGAGGCCCTGCGGCAGAAAGTGGCGCAGCAGATGGAGGACATCCTGGCAGCGGAAGCGCGGGGGCGGGAGAGCGAGGCGCACGCAAAAGACGCAGAGGTGGCGGCGCGGGAGCAGGAGGAGAAGATGTCGCAGGTACGGCGGAGCGTGCCTTTCCTTTTTCCATTTTTAACCCGCAATCATTGAGCGGTGAAGTAAAGATGGAGTGGGATCTTTGGTTGTGAGTGTCGAAGGAGAATCGAATCCATCTCGGAGTGAGCCTTCTCTCCGTGTCAAGGCAAGAGTGAGGGAAAAGGGTCCGTCAAAGAACCTGACTAGTTTGAATTCAGTGCGTGTGACCGTCCACAAGAGGTCTCGTTTCACTCCGTTCTGAATTTTGACCTTTTTCTTTCTACTCCGCAGAAGGGTGTCAGTCAGACGCCATAGTCCATGAATTTTTTTTCAAGTTGTCCTACATAAGGAGCGAAAGTGGAAACTGCGAAGGGTGTTTCTTTCTGCCATCGTACTCGAGAAGGATTCATGGCCGCTGCTTCTCATAGAAAGAGAAGGGAGTCTCCTTCTGCAAAACAGCGGTGTGATTCGATTCAAGTTTGGGTGAATGCCAACGTGCGAGGTGCTGAGATTGGAGTCTTCGACCACGCGAATTGATCTGTCCTTTTGCCATGCAGGTAGAGGAGGCACTCAAGGAGAGGGAAGAGGATCTTACGGGCTTGAAGGAAGAGCTTCGATCGAAAGAGGCGGACCTCGAGGCACTGCAGCAGCAGCTTCGGGCGCAGAAGAGCGAGGGCAATGAGGCGCGGAAAGAAAAGACAGCGCTTCAGTCGGAATTGCACCGAAGCGAGGAGAGCGGGAAGGAGGAGAGGGAGAGAAGCGAAAGCCTAGAAGCGGAGCTGCAGAAAGAGAAGCGGAGGACAGATGACCTGACTGCTGAGGTGTCTGCTGCAAGGACGCGGGAAGAAGAGTTCGCGAAGCGCCTGGTAGAGTTGGAGAAAGAGAAGGTGGAGCTCCATGAAAGGCTGCGATCGGAGGCTGACGCCCGCGTGCGAGAGCTCGCGGAGAAACTGGCAGCTGCGGAGGCGGACTTGGCCCAGAAACTGTCCGGAACGGAAGCGGAGTGGGCGCAAAAGCTTTCCGACGCGGAGGCGGCAGCGGCAGAGCGGCTCGCGGCTGCACAAGAAGAGCTGCGGACGGTGAGGGCGGATTTACAGCGAGCGAAGCAGGAATTGATGGAGCAGAAGGAGCGGTGGGAGCGGGAGAAGTGTGAACAGGCGGAGCGGCACGTGGAGGAACGAGAGCGGGTCGCACGGGAGCGTGCGCGGGCGGTGGAGCACCTGGAGAAGGAGGTGGAAGAGAGCGGGGGGGCGATCCAGAAGCTGCGGGAGGGGATCACTCGACGGGACGTCGAGATCAAAGACCTGCAGACGGAGCTGTTGGAAGCGCGAGAGGGTCTGGAGAAAGCGGTGCGGGTGAAAGAGGAGGAGATGAAAAATGAGAGGGCGCAGGCTGCGGCGGTTCGAGAGCGCTTGACGGAAGAGTTGGCAAGCAAGGACGCCGAATTGAAGGAGCTAAGGAGAGAGGTTCAGGAGATACAGGTGACGGTGTCCCGGCACAAAGAGGAGGACCTGGCATCGCCGAAGGGTGTTAAAGAAATCTCAATGGCTCAGGCCGGGCCGCAGGATGACGTCAGCAGGAGGAAGGAAGAGCTTAGGTTGATAGAAAGGGTAGTGCAATCGAAGGAGGCCTCGCCGTCGAGAGTCAAAGCGTGGGCCCGGGTAAGCGATCCGGGGCTGTCGGGGCTTCTAGCGGAAGAAAAAAGGGCCTTACCTGAGGGGGCGGGCAAGGCAGAGGCCAGGGTGAAGCCGCCCGCCCCCAGGGTGCGGGTGAGTTTCTTAGGGCGGCGAGAGGGCAGCCCGGGTCTGGCCGAGGAGGAGTGTGCGACGCCGATCCAGGAGAAGTTTGACGTCGAGGGAGACGAGAAAACGGCGCTGCAGGAACGGCTTCGAGAAAAGGAAGAAGCGCTTGAGGTGGAAGTGGTGAGAACGCATTTCTGTGTCTTTGCTAGCCGTTCTCGTTTGGGTCAGAGCTTTCTTGTGTCCGTGATCAAATCGTGCTGTTTCGTGATTACAGACTTTGCCTGAGTTGTATTCACTTTGAGCTGGCGTAGTCCAGGCTCAATCTTCTGTTTCGACTTCACGAAACTTGCTGCGTATCCTGGGGGGACAACCGCAGGCTTGATTGCTTTTTCTAGATCTCGCGAACCCACTATCCGTTTTCTTCCGCGTCCGAGTATGCAGGCACTAATGCTGACAAAGACGGACTTCGATTCGTTCTTCGAGACGCTTTCTCGAAGCGTTTTCTGGCTGCACGGAACGGCCACCTTTTTGAGCAACTTGTCAGTCAAGGTGTGTTTCTGAAAGATGTCACGCGCCCTGTTTGTGCAGTCCCGTCGCCAGAAGATCGAGAAGCAGCTGGCCGACGCCAATAGCTTGTTGGCGCTGCGGACCGCTGAGGCGTCCCGCCTTGAGAACACCCGGAGACACGTGGCAGCCCTAGAGGAGCAGGTGTGCACGCTGCAGCAGGAGCTCGCGGACGAGACGGCACGTGTCAGCGAGCTGACGGTCCACGTGGCAGACCGAGAGGTAGAGCTGGCGCGGCTGAAGGACGTCAGCTTGGGTGGGCTGAGCAAGGAGCCAGCTTACAGCAACGGAAGCAGAAAGGCGAAGAGAGGGTCAGGCGAAGAGGGGCTTGCGAGCAAACGGGATGCAGGACGCGCTGATGCGGAGATCCGGGCTGGCAGCAGGAAGTCGCTAGAAGGCAGCACGACGGCTGAACCCGCAGAGAACGGCGCAGGACAGTCCGAGGACTGGTTGCAGCGGGAACTGCGGGAGGTGCGGGGCCACCTGGAACTAGAGCGGGCGCACGCGGAGGCGGCCGGAAAGGAGCTGCACGAGAGGCTGGCGGAGCGGGAGCGCGACCTGGGCGAGCGCACGCAGGAGCTGCGGAACTTGGAGCAGCAGCTAGAGGACGAGGAGGGGGACAAGCGGCGCATCCTCAGCCAGGTGGGCGGCGGGGGGCTGGCCGGAAGATCGTGGTTCTGTGTCCTGCGTCCGTAGGTTTATCCCAACAGTCAGGCGCTTATGTGTCCGGTGTTCCTTTTCTTCAACCTCCAAATTGTGTGAATAAGACGCGAAGGTCAAAACTCAATATACGTGGTTCCTTTCACCTGGCCTTGCATTTGTGTGCACGGAGGCGGGTTGGACCTTGAGATGGGTTCGTTTCTGGCGACAGAAATAGTCCTCCTTGAGTAGCAGGAGCCATCGTTTTTGGCGTCGATAAAGGAGAGTTTCGTATTTAACATTGTCCAACTAGAAAACTCTGCTTTTCGGCCGTCCGTCCGTTCCGTCCGAAAAAAGTGATAAGAGAAGTATGCTCCTCCAATTGTTTTGGCGCGACCTCCTGTTTCATTACATGTCTTTGGGTCCATCTCGAATGTTCCTAGGGATTGAACTATGACGAGACGTGGAGCCGCCTTTGTCCCATTAAAACTCTTTATTGCTGTCACCACTTCTAACAACGTTCGACCGTTTCCTGCCGTCAGATGGACTACCAGCGGACCCAGATCGACCACCTGCAACAGCAGCTGTACGGCAAGAAGAAGAGCATGGACCGCCTCCTCACCCGCCTCTCCGACAACGAAAGAACCCTCGAGCAGCTGCGCATCTCCCCGGGCCAGTCCCCCCGCTCTAGTTTCTCCTCCAACGGAGACCGGAATAGCTCCCCCGGGCACTCCCCTTCGGGCACCGGAGAGCGGATCTCCTCGCCCAGGCTGCCGCTCACCACGAGCGTTACCGATCTGGAGAGACTGCGAGCGGAAGCCGAGTCGGAACACCGGGCGGAGTTGGTGCAGCGACTGGAGCAAGGCGGGGTTCTCGAGCGGAAGGAATTGGAAGAGGAGGTGCCGGCGTTGTTCAGCCAGTGCAAGGCGCTCCAGGCCGCGCTGGAGGAGAGTAAGAAGCGCATTGCGGAACTGCGCGAGCAAGCGCTGACGTTCCAGGGCGAGACGGACGCGCGGGATGCGGTGATCGAGGCGCTGCGGGAAGAACTAGACGTGGTGAAAGTGCGGGTGGAGTCCGACGCCGGGAAGCTGCGAGAAGAGGCCGCGGCGAGGGAGGGTGAGCTGGCGCGGAGCGTCGCGGATCTGAAAGCACGGGTGGCGGAGAAGGAGAAGCTACTGGACGAGGGAGACAGCAAGTTTGAGGAGCTGCGGGGGCAGATCGCGGGGGGAGAGGAGAGGATTCGGACGTTGCGGGGCGAGGTGGGTACGATCCGGGGGCAACTGTCCGAAAGGGAGGACTACTTGGAAAGGCTGGAGGGAGAGATTGGGGAACAGGCGGCGATGCTGGTGCGGATGCAGGACGACATCGCGGAGAAAGAGCGACAGCTGGCGGAGTGGGAGGGGCTGGCGGAGGCCCACGAAACGGAAGTCGAGTTGCTGCGGAGGAAAGTCGAGAGTCTGAAGTCCACGGAAGCGCCCTCTGTGGAAGCGGACGACGAGGGGGTGCCACGTCGCGGCCTGCAAGAGCAGCCAGACGTGCCGGAAGGGCACGTGGCGTCAGGAGGCAGTCTGGAGGAGCAACTAGAGGCGGCAGTCGAACGGCAGAAGCGGATGAGCCAGGAGCTGAGCGCGGAACGGCGGGAGTGGGAGTCGCGGCTCGTGCGGATGAAGCACGAACGGGAGGGGTTGGAGAAGCAGGTTGTGGAAGAGCGGAAGCTCAAGAATCAGGCGCTGAAAAGCGTCCAGGTTAAGCTGCGGCGGTTCCAGTTCGAGCTGGGGGAGGTGCGCAAGGAGAGGGCGGCGCTGCACGAGAGGGTTCAGGGTTTGGCCCGCGTGGCGCGCGAGGGCGAGGAGCGGGTTTGGGCCGCGGTTGAGGAGAGGCTGAATGGACAGTCCGTCGGCGTCGTACTGAGGTCGCCGAGGCAAGGGTGGCTGGGGAAGCTGACGGAGTCGACCAAGGGGAAGAGGGAAGTGCTGGCTCTAGATTATAAGGCGATCGGGAGGGCAGCCTCCCGAGACGTTGCGGCGTCTGAGGAGGAGGCAGACCGACCGGCGTCCGCTCCTGGGGTTGCTTCCCCAGACAGCGAAAGCGTAAGTCTAGCTGCTGTGGACAGAGAGGAAGAGGTAGCGGGATATCCCGAGATGAAGCGAACCCAGGAAAGCGAATCCGGCTTGAGGCAAAGAGCAGATGACATTCTTGGATCTCGAGGTGACGTCCGCAGTGGCGACGTTTCCCCATCTGATATACAAGCGAAGGGGGTATCAGATGATGGCAGTCGCCGATTGGGGAGGCGTACGCCGCGAAGTAGTTACAGGATGTCACCGCGCGGGTCTGGAGAGGTTGCTAGGGTCAGCGCACAAGAAGAAAGGGTGGTAGCGGAAGAAGAGCGCGATCAGGGCAGGTTGGTCTTCGTCGTCGTGTGCACGGTCGGAGTGCTGGCAGTATTCGTGGTCACCGCTGGGCGGCTAGGCCTACTTTGAAGAACCATTTTGCCTTTCAGGAAGTGAGTTGTCCGGATTCTTTAGAGATGATCGCACGTCTCAAACTGAGACACCGCAAGCGCAGATGCAGCTGCCATTGCAGCCGACCTTGGCTGCTTTGGACTTGCCGATTAGTAGGCAAGCCAAGCGTCATTGATCATCAAGGCCTTTCGGACATGAGGTGTCCCATGGAACTGGTTCTGAAGAGTAGGCTAAGCGTTGACCTTTTTATTTGAGCGCAGCACGTATGTTTATTAGCTGAGGTATAGACGATCAAGGAAAGAGTAACTCAAGTATGAACCCTTCAACTGCTGGCACATATTGACCGCCCGCTGCCAGTGATCGGATGTGGGAAAAAGCACATTGCATGCCAAGACACGCTGCTCAGCCAGCTGCCCAATGTGAGTAGAATCCAACGCGTGCTCCTATCAGGACTCAATTCCGCCACTGAGCTTTGGGGCCTAGGTGCGCTGCAAGCATGTAGCTAAGTTGAGTCTGACCGTACGTACCGCCCAGCGTTGCATGAAGGTTTCTTGTGTGCTGCATGTACTCCTTGACGCACCAACTTCAGCCTAGCCGCGCTTGTGATGTGCATGCATCATGCCATTGTACGTTGGTGCATCCAGTGAATGTTGCCAAATTGGCCGCATGGTTGCCGCGGGTAATATAAACCGGCGTGCATGCGGATGGATCGTTTAAGATTGTAAATAATGCATTTCATGCTTCGTGCAAATAATGCATTTCATGCTTCGCGCTGTGATATGCAAACCGCGGGCGTCTAAAAAATAAACTGTCACACACCAAATGTGCATCGACATCACATGCATGACAAACTTTTCAAGCATGGGCGACCAGTCGCCGCCTTCAATAGCAAGGCGACGGTTAATCATGCCTGTTCCATGCACTTGTCGACTGATTTGGGATCGAACAATTGCGTACAAACACATGACCAGCATGCTCTGTCAAGTTGCTGTAGCATGTAGCAAGTCTGTTCAGCGATCGCAAAGGCAAGGTGCGCTAGATTGATGTGGACTCTGCAAGTAGCTATCGGCTCGACTTTGGATAGCTCTAACCAACACATTTCCCCTTCCGGGTTGCAACTTTGCCTATTGTGATTGCGTCGAACTGTGCATACGTAACTGCATGCTTATTGGGCGACACTTACGGTCTGAATGGTCCCCGCATGACGGACATGTAACGTTATGACGCGTAGCATGACGTGGTACGACTGCCTGATCTTTTGTTTCGAAGCTCCAGTGCCGCCTCTGCTCCCAGCGCCTTGCATGAGGTGAAGCGAGAAAAAGGACAACCCTGAACGAGCTTTCCTCTTGGTCTTCCGCGGCGCTGCAAGGGAAGCCTTAAAGAGCGTGCTTAAGGCCGCAAGCTTAGCAGATGATGGGAAAGCGCAAGCTGGGCGCGATGGAGACAGTCAGCCCTAGCGCGCAGCACGGAGCGCAAACCCGCCTTTGTATCGAGACCGAAGCAATGGGGTTTCTGAGTAGGGAAGTCGACGAAAATGATGCAAGCGCAATGATTTTGAACCAGTCGCTTGAACGCGTGAGGCTGCAGGCGCTGAAAAACGCCGAAGCAAAGGAGACCGCCCAAAAGGCCCAAAAGCCGCGGCGCATTCCGCCGTTGGTCATGCCCCATGACCCGGGCACAACCTACGATTTCACAGACATAAAAAGGGTCTTAAATTCACCGGTCACGCTTCAAGAGTTCTCCGAGCCGGAACTCCGGAGCGCATTCATACTGCTCGCGAGCGCCCTCAAAGTGGTGCGCCAGATCGACGAGAAGGAGCGCATCATGCAGTGCTTGTCCGTGTGTTCGGACGAGCTGCTGGGCCGAGTGTCCGAAACGGAGTTTTGGACGGCCATGGTCCGGAACGGCCTGGCGGCGCTGCTCCTTGGCGTGGTCCCGGAGGAGGACACGTGGAAGCTGCTGCAGGCGACGATTGATGTCGTCAGCAACGAGGACTGGCGGTCACAGGTACGTCGCCACACCTTCAGGATTTTCAGGATGCAAAACGTTGATGTTTTTGGACCGTCGAATTACAGGTGCCCCTCGGAAAAGGCACTTCAGCAGATTGCTCTTAAGTAGATGGAAATTACTCTCGCTCAGGGGCATCATATTGGCACCAATCCCTCTTTCCATCAGATCAGTGCTACCGCTACGCTTTGGCTCTACTTGAAGTTTCAGCCACCATGGGGCGTCCAGAACGCTGCTGAAATATTAGCGGATTGCCTGCCCTCGTATTGGGAACCCTTTCTCTGTTGCCCGACTAAGAGCGGGCATCTTTGATCTGTATCGCAGGGCTTCCTACACGCGCTGCAAACTCTGACCCCTCTTCTCGGCAAGGGCGGCATCGCGTTCATCCAACGCCTCATCAGCTCGTCAGCCCTGGAGCGAGTCCTAGCAAAGTTCGTGGGCGAGAACCTCGCACTCGAAGACTTGCTGAAACCGGCGGATGTGAACACTTTCGGATGGACACTGCGCCTCTTCTTCTCCATCGGCAGCTCGTTCGACAGCGGGACGTATCATCTGCACACGGGTATGACAAACCGGAACTCTCGTTTTCTGTTTGAAAGGACGCGTGATTTCGTAGCAACGTACGGGGTCTTTTGTGCGCGGATCCAAACGGGGAAGTCTTTCCTTCTTATGTTCCCACACTCAATCTTTCATCGATCGGAAACCCCACACCAATGGCAGCCCTCACTTTTCTAAGATGAGAAAAGAAGATCGTCTTCCGGTGGTCCTCATCAAGGATGTTTTTGCAGCACGTAAGGATCGAAGCTATCTTCAAAGAATGATTTCCTGCCTATTTTGCAGCCTCGAAGGAAGCTCTTGAGATCCTTGTCCGCCGGGGAGCTGTGGGCAGAATCCTGGAAGCAGTTACTTTGCTTACAACAAGTGCCGAAACTGTCGACACAACCCGCCTAGAGGACCTGTGCAAGATGCTGGAGCTCTGCACAGAAGTTCTCGCCAGCTGCGCCGTTGGATCGGAACGCTTCTTGCAGGAATTGAAACAGAGCGAAGGTGAGAAACAACCTCTAGAACGCTACCCAAAGTTCGATTGCAGCAGAAGCGATTTGAGACCCGCGTTGAGATTTTCAAATGGTTTGACATGTAACGGAGAAAGATGAGGGGCCTTCACATGCTCTCCTTCTGGTCATAGAAAGTTCTTGATTATTCTAGCAAAGTCTCTCCCGACTGCCTACTTCATTACTTCATTACTCAGCATATGCGTGGAATCAGTTTTTTACACTTAGAAAAGCAATCTCTTTCGAGATCCATTTCATAATAGCCAACAACAAGTCAACGGACAAACAGAGAACTTTGCGCAACGGTTCTGCATCCGGCCTAGTTTGATACTCCTGCGGGTGCGCGTTCCGCAAGACGAGAACGTGTCTTTCTCGCTCGCAGGATTCGCGGACAACGTGGCTTGGTTCATCAGGCACTGACTACAAACCGACCAAGCTCCCTTCTAAAGGTTTCTATATTCTCTATGATAGCCATGGGGTGTGACTTTGCAGGAAGACAAATTGTGCCCTTCCTTTTGCAGGATTCGCGGAAAACGTGGCATGGTTCATCAGGCACTGGGACTACACCCCGACTGCAAGCCACGCCTCTCTAACCCTTCTTTGGAAGATGTTCTTCACGGGCCCGAAGTAAGCAAGACCATATCCGTCGCAGCATAAGCAACAGAGAAGACAGCTGTTTCTTCCCTGAATCTCAGTTTAATAAGAGGAATTTTCAGCAACCTCAAATCCACGCCCTCAACATGTCACGGGCACAGAGGAAGGTTCACGTAAAAATTCAGTGTGCTTCCAAAACGTTCACTATCCAACAAGAGAGAAAAACGTTCCGTCAATTGTACTAGTCGTTGAGTCACATTCTTCAAGGTAATTTTTGAGGATTAAGTCGCTCTGAGGCCCATTAACAGACTGTCGTGTTGCAGGTTCGGGGACTTGGATCTGCCTCTGTCCCTGGCCTCACAAGAAGGCCTGCTTGAGCGCCTCGCCGCTTTCGTCGATTACGTCCCGGAGTATCGGACCAGAAACCCTATTGCAGACGTTTCCGTAAGATCAAAAACAAGGATAAATTCTCTATCTGACGATTACCCGAGGGCCGTAAAGGAGTAGCTCAAAGACAAGCGTCAAAGATTCCTTGAGGATCGGCCTCAGCTGCATTCAGTACATCATTCGCTTTATTTTCAAACGGGCTCTAGAAATGCGTCCCACTAGGGTAGAGTCTGGTGTTGGCTGCTTTTCGTTCCGCGTATCCTAAAAACGTCGATTGACGTTGTCTTCAAGCCGCGAAGGTGTCACCCGAATGCAATGCCGGCCAGCCACGCATAAGCTGAATTCTGATTATAAATCGGTGCTTTGGTTCCGGGTTCGCCATGAATAGGATTATACTAGTGAGCGGCATGCGTTTCGACGATGACGTTGCGGTGCCCTTGCAATGAACGGCTTAATTTGGTAGGCGGTATTGCTGCGATCCGTGCTTCCTGGTGTCTTCAACGCTTTACTCGTACAAGGAAGGTGACGCACTGAGACGTCAACTCAGCCCAGCTCGTTATTTCATGCCTCTGAGCCTCCTCAATACACTTGTTTGAATTTTCTCCATCCCAGGTCATCGCCGAAGTCTTCCTGGGCTTCCTCTCGCTTGAGCCCCTTCCCCCGGGCGCTTTCTCTCCCCCGGTCGTCCGCGCCCTCTGCAAAATAGCGACCGGGGCAAACTTCCCGGGGTATGCTTCCCAAGCCACGGGCCTGATTCGCCACTTGGTCCCGAAAGGAAGTGTGTCGGTAGATGCCGTCAGGGGCGCGGCCGCGGCCGCGGCGCTTCACGGCCTGGTGGACTTAAAGTGCGATCAGTGCGGCGCGGCGAAGGGGCAGTGGGAGCTGAAGAGATGCTCGCGCTGCAAGTAAGTGCTACGTTTTTTGATGTTTTGAATGCACGGGAATGTGGTGAAGCACTTGAACGGAAAGTGTCGTTGAAAACACACGGCGCGACATAGTCGAAGCTGACAGACAGGAAGAGAAAGAGGTCGTGCAGAGAACACGATGAGAAAGAGATCGTGCAGGGAGAGAGTTTTCAATCAGCTTTCCAAAAGAGGAGTAGAAAGATGTCCCAAGGGAAAGACTGGCATCGATGAAACCCTGTGGATGCACTAACGATTCGGCTCAAGATATGCTTGTCATCATTCTCTCCCGCTGATTCACCGCCAACACTGAGCTTTCACGCCATGTCTTTGCGCCCTAATGACCTCTTTCTTTGCTGGATTGTCTGTAAAGTCGGCTCGGAATGAGCTCGCGTTGTTGAAAGCCAGAGACATTCTTACCTGGCGGTTGGCTCTTCGCAGGGGTGTGAATTACTGCAGCGCGGAGTGCCAGAAATCCGCGTGGAAGGAGCACAAGAAAGTCTGCATCGTCACTGCGGCTGCTTAGCAACTTCTTACACCTTAGTTTCCAACTTCGTTTGCTTTTGGCAATCAGCAAGAGCATGTGGAAGTCGGGGTAGTCGAAGCACGCTGCGCTTAACCGGCTACATCGGGGATAGAATCAAGTAGGAAACGCAGGAGAAGGAACTAGATCTTGAAAGGTATGGATTTGTAAATGTCATACGAGCGACAGCTCTGAAGCGTCTGCAGTCTCACGGAGTGCATCGATCTCTCTGGTAGACCAGTCGGTTGCACCAGAACTAGGTGTGCGGCAAACATGCATGCCTACATCAGCATCACGCACGCAACTTTGACCACGGTGATGTCTGACCGCTTCCGTGTCGGCGAGTCTCGCCCTTGGGTAGAAGGTCATGCGCAGCTGTACATTTATGTCTTCATGGCCCAGCCTGCTAGGGTGCTTTGCAAGAGGCCGCATGCATATAATTAAAATCCCCACCACGATCAATTTATGATCAGAATGATTGCATTGCACGCGTCCAGATCATCCTGACCCTTGGTACGTGTCGACAAGTGCACCAGACCCGTCAGAACGCTGTTCATTTGCGCTTCCGTGATCCCCAAGCATGTGTGCACGCGATTATATATTGAATTAGCGCCTATACGCCATGAGCGGCCAGTACGTGAAGTCCATGTCACACATGCATGGACGTCAGTTTGACACCCGGCCCGCCTGTCCGCTAGCTAAATTTCAGGCGCGGCCGCATAGAGGATGCTTGTCATGCATGAGTTGGGCGTCTGAGTGACATAAACACAATCGGCGCCCGGGTTCATTTACCGGCCACGTTTTGAAGCAGCATGCATGACTTCTCATAGAAGCGACCATGGGCCTAGTAAATGCCGTACTACGGTAGCCGGTCAAACTTTGAGCGTCGCCCTCAATGCTTTGATTGCATGACCCGCCACAGGACATCGCTCTGGGGAATGAAACTTGACGCGGTACTTGACATTGTTCCGGCAACGTTTGGAAGGACGCTTTACCACCGCACGCGTGTTCCTCGTCTCAGAGGTCGAGTCCAGGTCAACACAATCCTGAATCTGACCGGAAGTCTGCACTTTCTCCTTGATATAAGCTTCCTCGAAAACAGATACACGTCAGACAAGACTGCTTTTTCTCCGGTGCCGCCCGTCTAGATGAGGCCTTGTCTCTGCAGGTCGGTGTACTCCTTCTTGTTGTACACGTTGCCCTGGCTGTCCTCGTACTCCTCCTCCACGTCGGGCTTCCAAACCGCCGTCCCCGACTTCTCCTGCATCGCTTTATGCAGGGCCAGAGCATCCTGCAAGCGTCAGCGGAAAGAAAATGTCAGCACACAAGGACTTGTAGCGAGCCCGGGGCCGTGGAATGCAAGATCATCGGACTGACCCAGGAGCAGGAAGTCGACGTCGGCTCGGCAAGACGAGGTTGGAGCGTCCGATCAGATTTACGGTGCGCTCGGACTTACGATTTGACTGCCAATATCTTTAGGGCGCAACCGGATAGAAGCGGGTTGTCCTCCCAAAAGAAGAGCAAGTGCAAAGGGTGTGAGAAATGACATATGGCAGGAAGAAACGTCCCGCCAAACAAAACTCCCGACTTCAGTGCAGACTTGTTGAACACCGTGAGGCTACCAGGCACTTCTGTTTGGTCCCCACAAGCAAAGAGAGATGGGTCCGTACCGCGATGACGGTGATCTCGTTGAACTGCTTGGTGTTGGGGATCCCCAGCACCTTCATGCCGTGCTGGTGCTGCCACTCCCGGAAGTGCCGCTCGTACGCGCGCCGGCCCCAGTAGCTCGCGTCGCCGCAGATCTCACACCGGAACTCCTGCGAAGCAAGATATAGCTGTTGATAAACTTCTGTGAGGCTCGTGTCAAAAACCAGGTGTCCTAAGAGCGGAGCTGTTATACAGAAAATATTGTCTGCCAGACATTTCAGCGCTCAGCCCATCAAGACCTACCTTCGTGTTGCACGATGATCGGACCAACATCCGCGAGAGGCCCACGTGAGCATTCCCGATCTCCACTTCTAGGACAAAGTCTCAAAAAGACTCCGCCAGCAACTTCAAAACGCCCGACCAAAGGGAGGTTACGCTGCGATGTCAGATCGAGTCTCTGCCAGAACCGGCATATAGCTAAGAGTTTTCTGCGAACCCTACACTGCGCCTTTTGGCATCCTCTTTGTCGACCAGCGGGACTAGTACCAAGTTGTTCGCACACTCGTCGAAATGAAACCGGTCAAAATTCCCAAGCACTTTTTACCCCCCCAGGTCGAGCGTCCTCCTCACCCGGTTGGGCCCGTGCAGCTTGTAGAGGCGACATCACAATCAGCAATAAAAGAACCAGCACATACTTCTCAAGCTTGAACGTCATGACCCCCCCATATCGACCGTGTCTCACCTGGTTGAGCCCGTGCAGCTTGTAGAGCCAGTACGGGATGGGCTTCCCGTCGGGCCCCATGGGCAGCTTGAGCGGGTTGTAGATCTGCTCGTCGTCCTCGTCGCTCTCCTCGCCCCCGCTCGCGTCCTGCTCCTCCAGGTCCTTGTCTTGCTCCTCCGCAGTCTGCGCGTACTTCATCTCCACGTGGCCCCGCGTGTCGGAGATCACCTGCGGGAGATAAAATGACGCAGATGCTTTGTTGGGTGCCGCTCCAACAGTTTGACACTCTGAACGGTTGATCGCCCATCCTTGCTTTATCGTTCGAAGCTCTAAGCACTGGATTGGCTTCCAGACGTCACTAGCTTTCTGGGGTTGCAGGTCCGCTTTGGAGGCGGCCAACTCCTCCAACTGCACAGTAGAATCCGACTGAAAGACCAACCAATCAATATCCGATTCTCGACAAGGCGGGCGTCTGTCTGTCAACCCTTTTAGAAAACCGCACAGCAGAAGCAAAGAAACGCAGGCTAGGCTGTGCTGCCGCCCTGGCCGCACAACATTCTCATTAGACACCTTGCTTGGTCTTTTAAGCCTACAAATCCGATTTGTAACTCACAAGACGCCGGAGTCTCAGTGCTCACGTGCGATACTGTAGCATTGGATCGATCTGTCCCGTGACAGTGTTCAAATCAGGCGTTTGAATATCAGCATCAACCCTGATCTGACAACTGCATGCAGTTGCTGACAGGCTAGCCCCGAGCAATCAGTGGGGGCAACCCCTCCTGGCGGGACAGTGTTGGCACTGTTGGTCTCTCTCAGCAAAGGTAGGCCAGACTGCTGATCAGTCAGCAATCTAGATGGAACTTTGCTTGTGCATCGCTCTCATATGGGCGAAATACGAGCTGGCTCATGGCCTGAACCCTGACCTTTTCCATACTCCCGGAAATTTGTCGTCAGCAATTGTCACCTGTTTCAGCAGCTCGCAGAACTTGCGCACTTGCGCCTCCTGCAGCGCCGTCTCGTACGCCCCCTTTTCCCGCCCCGCGTCGCCCCCCCCGTTCGCCTGCGCCCCTTTCTTCGGCGGCCGCCGCCCCTTCGCAAAGTGCTTTGCGTCCAACTCTTCCAGCGGGGTATCCTTCAGCAGCAAGAGCCGGGCCGCGCGCTGCTCGGGCGTCCCCCCCACTTTCAACCCGAAATGTTCCAGCGTCTCCTTGATCCGTTCTGTGCCCACTTCGAGCAGCTCCTGGACGGAGTCGTACGCTTCCACGTCGAGCACGTTTTCAGACGCTTTCGGCCCCGCTTCGGACGCGCCTTCCCATCCCGGGACTGTGCCGGCTGCCCATTGGTTTTGGAACTCTGCCTCAACCTTGGACAAAAGTTGGGTTACGTCTTTGAGCGGTTCCGTGCGCTCATAGAAGGAGCGGAGGTAGGCCAGGAGAGAGGAAAGGTAGTCGCGGTATTGCCTGCAAGGGGGGGGAGGGATGCAGCATACATCAGCTTGATTTGAAGTCCAAATGTCAAGTGATTTTCATTCACCCGGTTCTTCGATTATTGACGGTACTCACCGAGTGGAACACAAGGTCGGTTTAGTAACATAACAATCACGTTGACAACCATTCCGCTCAAGGTGGGGAATCGGAAGGACCGCTGCAAAGGACGCCAAAGCCAACACAGACCCGGAAAACGACAAGAGCTCATGCGCACTCACTTGCTCGACTTGAAGTGTCGTGGGATGCTATCCAATTGATGGAACGTGTCCAGGTACCGCATGTACTCGCGCTCCTCCTCGTCCCCATCCTTTGGTCCAAACTTGGCGTTGATGAATGCGGCGTGCAACTCGTGCAGATCCAGAAAGCGCCCCAGCGCCTCCTCCCCCGTGAAGTAGACGGGCGGCTCTGCTTTGATATGTGCATCGAGATCCTCCTGCTCAACCGTGCGCGCGCTTGGGTGGCGCCGGTGGTAATCACGAATCTGCACAAGAGAGAGGAGAGGTCCGATTGCAGAGACAGATGCGAGAGCAACGGCGAAACCGTAGACCCTTGTTCCGAGTACGGGTTTCAAGCAGTTCCGGACATAGGGGACTGCTGTCCATTGCAGTTAGCGAGTGGGTGGCAACAAACAGTGTCTTGGGTGGAAACTTGCGAGACACACCCGAGTTCCTGCTTACTCCTTGGTTGAGGGGGGAGAGGCTCCGTCATTTGGACACGAGCGTGCCGTTTCGTAGAGTTGCAGGGCAAGTCAAAGGCACCTCCTTCGGTCAAGCTTGCCATATAGCTGGCTCTTAGAATCAAGTTGTCAAAGGTGGTTGGGGATGCAATGTTTACCTCTTTCATACGATCATAGTAGGCGCTAAAGACATTCTGGTTTTCCGCTTGCAGCCCCCCGAGGGCAGCAATCTCCTCCTTCCTGGCGCCATCCGCATCCTCGTAGATCTCAACCTGTACCCATAAACACCGGATGAGGGAAGAGGCCAACACTCCGTTGGTAACACGTCATTCTCAAAGACCGTTAGTGTGTAGTAGCTTTCGCGACTCTGCCTACTCTGCAGAAAAAGCCCACACGATTTGGAAAAACTATTATGCCTGGATTACTGGTTTGTACGGATATTTGTGCACGGGCGATCTAAGCAAAAGTCCCATGCCCCGGCAACAGAACTCGATGCCTCCAACACATGAGCTTGAGTCGCAACCCATTCAGCGCAAAGACTTGCGGCTGCAAACAAGGCTGAGCGGAACGAGGCCAAGCAAAGGGATGTCAGAATCGTAAAGAAATGCACCCTAATGTCAGAATTGTAAAAGAAAAAAGCAGAATGAACGGCCGGGAAAGAAATTTTCCAGCAGCAAACAGAGACTTCATATGCAGCACAAGCAACATCTTCTGACTGGTCGTCACCAAACACGAGCAGATTCTCACCAGCTTTCCGCTCGTGCTCGCTATTGCTTCCAAGAATCCCTTGACTCGGTGCCCTTGGTATAGCTTGTCCTTGTGAGCCTGCGACTCATTTGTCAGCCAGTCCCGGGCAATTAGACGCTCTAGCTTCTCAATTTCCTCGTGGTGAGCCCGCGTCTGCTCCAGTAGGGTGGACGACATGACAAATGAGAAACCAGTCCAAAGAGCGTATAGCGTGCAATGAAGAGCTGATGAGCTCGAGAAAAGCGCCCTCCCTCATGCGTGTGCTTATTAACACCCTGACTTTTGCCCCTCCTTTGCCGGGCACCATATCATTATCCCCCCACATATTTTAGCTTGAACCTATCTAGAGCGTGGTCGAATCGGAGTCGACAAGCTAGATTGATCCCGGCGGTCCGACGCTTGATGGTATTGGTAGAAGAACCATTAACGCGGCTGGCCGCGGCCGGGCGGCCGCCCGCCAGCCTGGCAACCGACTCGACCGGTCGGATGGTCACCGGACGTCATCGTGCCGTGATCAATATGAGTCACGTAATTAATGAAGAGGCAACTTTTTGCGGGATGATGCCCGCGACATGATGCCTCCGTGAACTGCGGAAAATATGACATGGATCCCCAACGTCATATGAGGGACAATCTGAAAATAGAAAGGTAAAGACGACGACTGTAAAAGCCTGACGAAGAGAACTCAAAACTTTTAGATAGGACAAGATTTTGAAGCCAGGTACAAGACTGGGACTGGCAGAGCTCAATGCCCGGCGAAAATCGTTCCCAGCATTTTCGATTCGGACCCGTCTCGAGAGCATCCGCCGAGCTAGGAGCTATAAATTCAGCAGACTTTGAACCCCGCCTATATCGGCGGAACGGAAAATCTTGGGCCGATTTGGTGTCAGGCCATGGGCCATGTCAGATCGCCGGATTCTTCGATAGGTTGTAACTTGTACGGTATCCCGATTCTCGAATCCTAGGCTCACTCCTGAGCAGGGATGCGGACAGGATTTTGCCCCGGGGCGCTTCTGCGCCCCGGGCCTTTGCCCTGGGGCGCTGGCCAGCTTCGCTGGGGCGCAGAAAGTAGTACCGGGCTCCAAATACGCCCGGTTCCCTTATCACGTGCTATATTACGGGCCTGCATGAGACGCCTTATACTCCTCCAGAAGTTGAATTATCTATGGTACCTATTGGATCAAAACGCTACTGACTACATTTCGCTTATACAGGCAGTAGTTGCAAATATGTATAAGAAGATTTTCTCATCTGGCACAAATAGTCAGATAATGATCCAATAAAATGCTGGCAAGTAGGCACTTATAATACTGAGATGCTCATCCAAATCGTCAGCCAGCGCTTATGGCATATGTCATCTCACCTGTAGTATAGCCTGTTCAAATTTTACCACATAAACTACCGAATATAGTCCATATTCATGCTTAGGCCCAGATGTGCCCGGGGGCGCTTCTGCGCCCCGGCCCTCTGCCCGAGGGCGCAGGATATTTCCCGGGGGCGCTCCGCGCCCCATTCTGCGCCCCGCCAGCACCCCTGCTCCTGAGTCCTAGCGTGCCCAATTCCACTGCCAGGGCCCAGCAGTGCCAGCACACCGCCTGAGGATGTACTTGTAGTACTAGAAGGACGACTCACTCCAAGTTCATTCGACAGTCTGAGCGTCCAGCATGCAGCAACTGCAGGATGCGAACGATGTCGGGCAGAAGGGCGCTGCTTACCAATGCCGTGCATTCTCTAGCTTAGGTTGCAGCAGCTGAGAAACTAGCGAAGCCCCGCATTGCCTGGCTTGGACATGTTTGGCGATGACCAAAAGCTTTGGCCACAGCATTCATGGTCCGACTGGTTGATGTGACCCCGATTCTTCCGCGGATCAATTGGGGCGTTCTGCACACAAAGACTCTCATGAAAAGATAAGTGTGCCATTCCGAGAAGGCCCGTGGAACGCAGATAAACGCGAAGCTCCTGGGCGCAACGGCGGAGCTCAGAAGTAAAGCAATCACAAAGGGAGGGATGGCGCTGAAGGGGTGCTGGCCCATAGTAGCATTGCTGGTGCTCCTGCTAGCTCTTCGGGTGTGCCAAGCAATCACTGAGCCAGACGAAGGTGAGGGGAGATCAAGGCTGTTCTTTCGCTGATGTAGAAAACATTCTACAAACCTCTTGATCGCGAGTGCTCTTTGTTTCTGCACTTGGTCTCTGCTGCTGTACATTGTTTACCACCCTCAGAACAGGTGCTTCTAGTGACTCGACGTCGACCTTGAAAAGGGGATTGTCTTCCAATCTTTCCGGGGAGGTGGGTGAGCATTCCCGATATGGTCGACACAATAGTGAACATGGTGGTGGGCTTTTGCTTTTTCCAGACAATGTTGTCTCAAATTTGCTGGGAGCTTTCCCTGTTTGAATCCCTCAACCAGGGCCTGGAAGCCAGCATATCGAAAGTCCTGGCTTTATAAAATTTTACTGTCAAGTCAAGCTATATCATAACTGAACTGCTGACTCTTCGCAGAAAGTTGCAACTTTGCTTGTCTGAAGCCCTGACCAGACGTTGCAAAAGCCCATGTCTTCTTCGGTTATGAGCATTTGCTTCTGAGACTGTTCATGAAAAGATGTGTCTCAGGACACACTAACGTTCAGGATCAAACGCCAGCATTGAGTTGTTGAAGGAGGTTGGCAATAGCATGAAAAGTTGAGCTACGAACCAGTCCCCAATATACTGACCATCATCATGGTCAGATCTTTAAACATGAAGAAAAGTAAAGTTTAGATTGCCCTACTCAAAGGTGCTCAAACCTCAACACAACCAAGCACACGGCGTTGGCTTGTGCAATGACTTCTCTGCACAGTGGCCTCGTTGTCAGAATGCAAGTCACACACTCCAAAGCATTTGTCGAGCTCCGTTGGTAGGTAGACTTGATTTACTCTGAAATATGAAGACCTCAGCTTGCCTCTGAGCTCATGCCACTCCGAAAGCCTCAAGGCTTCCTTACGCGTCCGACAAGCCAAGCTGCAAACTTTGCCCTCACCAAACATTGGTATATTCCCACTTAGAGCATGAGAGATACCTCAGCCTGGGCCCTGAACTATTTTTTATTTTATACTCTGCCACAATTGTCATTATCACCCAGCTCTGTTCTTTCACCCTGCCTTTATTCCCCATAATCCTAAAGTCACGGAATGGTGCCCCGACCTTTCAAAGATTTCTACAAACTGTCTGCTGATCTTCCCAATCCTACTTTGTACCACTTTGCGAAATCTGCTGAACCCCGTCCCTACCCTGCAGTGAGCGCACTCCTTGCCATGAAAGAGGGCTGGGGCAATCCTGCTTCCCTGGTTGGTTGGAACTCCTCCTCCGACCCATGTGAACAGACGTGGCGAGGCATCTTATGCAGCCCAACATCACAGAGCGGCAACCGGCGCATCACAGGGATGTGAGTCATGTATCTTCAGTGGTTTGAGAGTTCAGAATTCTGGACTTAGCGCAGGCCCAAACGTGTAGACCTTCAGTTGCCCAAGTCTTAGAGGTTGAGTCATCCATGTATCGGCAGATAGCACAAGCTTAGGGTGGAAATCGTATTCTATCATGGGTTTGATCATGTAAAAATCTGTCGACAGCGATCGCTATCTGCCCTTGCTGAGTGTCCAATCTGCATCTTCTGCTTTTGCACCTTCTACTAACATTGTCATTTTCCCGGTCTTGTCTGTGCAGCCAGCTTCCGGGCAACTTCTTCAACGGGACGCTTTCATCGGCAGTCGGTGCCTTGACCTCCCTCACCCTGCTGGACCTGAACGGAAACTTGCTCACGGGAGCCATGCCGCCCGAAGTGGGAAACCTGAGGTCGCTTCAGGTATGATAGTCAATTCTGATTCTGGTCATCTTGTAACTTTGCTTTTGACGGTCTCTGAGAAAGTTTACTCGTTGGCTGCGAGGATCGAAACAAGTGCAACTTTGGCCAGGCAGAGCAAGTCTTGCCGGCCTGCTCTGTGGTGCAGTCCAATGTGTTGCTGAATTGACAACGAGGCCTTCTCTCTTCCCTTACTCGTTGCTCCCTTCACAGCCAGCGCACTCAGAAACCTCAGACATTGGTTCTGCCGCAAAGCTCAAACCTCTCTGTTGCAGAAATTCTATCAAGTTTTTTCTCGCCAGCATCAACTCGACCGTCAGCCGAATCAAAGGCTAACAACGTAGGCCTGAACACCGCTCACTGTTTCCACCTTTTGTATCCATGCAAGCATCACGACTCTCTTTGGAAATCCGCCCTGGGTTTCTACTTGATGATGCAGCCTAACCAAGACACACCTCTCTCGGTCCTGCAGCGTTTCGTGATCCATGGCAACAACTTCAGCGGACCGCTTGACCCGTGGTTACCCAAATTGGCAAACCTGCGCATTGCGGATTTTGGCATGAACCGATTCAGCGGGCCTTTCCCAGACAGCATCGGCAACGCCCTCAACACCCTTCAGAACCTGTGAGCCACTTTACACTGGACGCCCTCGATACGGTCTCCGCTTGCTGCAAAAGGCTACTGCGTTAAATTGCTGCCTTAATCTTAGAGGGTGTTTGGACCGGCTGCCCACGATGACATACGGCTGAGGGATCTTCCTTCGGTCTGAGAACTCATTTCAGCGGAGTCTGCTCTTCCAGTGCACTTACGTCGGAAGCGGACTCGGGATTGAACTCGGAAAGACGACTTCAGTCCCATGTTAGTCAGTCGCAGCTTCAGGTTACGTCTTGACAAAACTTTTGGGAGTGTCTACTTCCCCGCCTTATCTTCAAAATTTTATCATACCTCCAGGGACTGTACGCTGTGTTCGCTCTCCGGCCCCATTCCTGCCAGCGTGGGCCTCCTTAGCAGCCTCCAGATGCTCGGCCTGGGGGGTAACAACCTCACTGGAATCATCCCCCCCGAAATTGGGTCCATCGGCGGGCTACAGTTTCTGTAAGAATGACAAACGCTTTCTTTACACCAGTCCCCTGGAGCATAGTTCTTTCTGTGCACCTTCAGATCTCGAGGGTGCTATTGCCCTCCACAGCGCCAAGCCGCACAGTCTCTTTTTACAAGTTAACCATAAGTCGTTCAACAGATGATTCTGACGCCTTGCTGCTGTCCAGAAGTTACTAAAGGTCGGTGCCGTCTCAAGGGGTGTTGTCCGGAAGTCGGAAGAGAAGCAGAGGGAGGGCTACCTTTCTAAGTCCGGATCGGCGGCCTCCGCGTTCAACCGCACGGCACTCGATCGGATGCATTGAAGTACAGTGTTCAAGCAAGGATGTTCTTGGTAACTCTTTACCATGCTCCGTTTTCACGTTGTTCCGCTCTTCCGGTGCAGGAACCTGCAGAACAACAGCCTCAGCGGACCCGTGCCATCCGAGCTGGCCGCTCTCACCAACCTTCAAATGCTGTGAGTGCGCCAGACTATTGACACGTGGCAACATGACAGTGGCGCTAGCATGCTTCCGCCGCATGGCTAATGGCTTTACTGCGATGTTGATGTTTTACGGTCTTTGATCAGCCCTAGTGTCGTGGAAAGCGAATAACGATGTCGAGCTCCAGAGGACTGCTTTGTAACATCGCCTCACTCAACGCCGCTTCAAATTTTGGACAGAAAAAGCGTTCTTCTGAAAGAATACACAATCTGTTGGAAAGTCTAGAGAAGAGGGACGCACCCAAAACCTTGGCTTGGAAGCCAGGTAGACGCGTAGCCTTACCTTTTTACCCGCGAGTGTGTGTTCCTGCAGGCTCCTGGCATTCAACGACCTGACAGGACCAGTCCCCACAAGCATTCTGTCAAACCCGGCGGTCCTGGCACGGTGAGAGGTCGAGCCTAGGGCGTTACCGGAAAAATAAGGACCTAGGGAATCCGAGAAGGAAACTTTTAGAGGTCCTTACAGCGATAGGTTGAAGGTCTGATTGCAGTCTGCGGTAAGCGTCCAAGCAGTCCCGACGCTGGGTTGTTTCCGAGTTCTTGCTAGCAGTTTTTACTTGTCAGTAAAGCAAGGACCATTTGAGAGTTCGCCAATGTTGGGCTCAATGCAGACCGGCCGTGCATGCGAGACCCCCTTTTACCTTGCTTAGCTCTCCAACCCAGAACCCTCTGTAATCAGTACTCATGCCACCGAGCCTGTATGCTCCGGTTTCTCAGCACGCGCACCATCAAACCACTGCTCTACTTTGCAACAGGTTCGACGGAAACCCTCTGTGCTCCCTTCCGGCAAACGCGCCGGTCTGTACCGGCCCAAGCCTTCCTCCCCTGGGGATGCCCCCGGGGGGACCCGGGCCCGGCTTTGGGGGGCCCGGCTTTGGGGGACCGGGCCAACCGGGGGGTGGCCCCCCAGTTGGCCCGGGAGGAGGCGCACCCGTCGTCACTGCTGCTGTGAGCCGTGCTCTGATCGCGATGAAAGCTGTCGCAAAACTTTGTGCGTTTAGGACTAGAACTCTGTTTAGGAGTTTGGTGCTGACGATAGAAGCTGCGGACCGCGAGGCACGAGGACTACGGTTGCGCGCTTTTCCGAGCAGAAGCGCGAGGACAGCCCTCTCCTTGAACAACAGAAGTCGCTTCAATAGGATATCATCTCAGGATCCGGCACGGTTTCTAACGCGATACCTCCTATCGCGCAGCAGATCCCGTTGCTCGACTCCTTGAAGACCAAAGTGTGGGCCAAAATCTGCGCCTTCGAAGCACTTCGGGTGCTCCAAGAACTCTGAACCGGTTTTGCATTTTGCGATATCGCCCAGGCTCCAGCAGTCTCCCCGGCTGCAGCACCCACCCCCCTGGCAGCAGCACCTAGCCCGGTTCCATCAACCGGGGCCTCGACCGGGTCTGCAGCGGTGCCAAGCTCCTCTTCCTGGGGAGCCAACCAGAGCGAGCCGGCCAGCGCGGCGGCCGCGACTTCGACGACTCTGAGCAACAGTTTCAACCCACCCTTGACCACGGACAGCGGTGTGAATACACTCTTTGACTTCCCTCCGTCAAATTGCTCATCTCGTTAGACGTGCCTGGTGTTCTTGATTGTCTCCTATACGACGGCAGACAGACGACGCCGGTGCTGACATATTGGAGGCTCTATCGTTAATTGCGAAGCAGAGACGAGATTGGTACGCTAGACTCGCGATATTCTTCTGCCGAGTTCCTCAACCATTCAGAAGGCTTGGGTATGGAGCGACTCTTGAAAGCGAACAGCAACAACTGCAAAGACGTTGGCAGTTGGTATGTGAAGTCATCAGAAGGTTGTTAGAGGAAGTCGCTTGCACTTTCGCAAAGCGACTGCAGATGCCACCACATGACCAACTCGCAGGTGTCGACCACGACTTTCCAGGTCACGACACAGAGGAAACATCGCCATAAATCCTCAAATTCTAAGAATGAAACAAACAAACTCCAGTACGAATCCGAACAGCAACGCTCCTCCGCGCGCGCAGGTTCCTCGTTTCCGCTGGGTGCCACGATCGGGATCATCCTGGGCGCGGCTTCGCTGGTGGCGATGTGCATCTTCTTCGCGCTGCTAGTTGTGTTCCGGCGGCGGCAGGACAAAGAGCTGGCGGATAGCCTCAAGGGCGCGGCGCTCCTGGGCAGCGCCGGAACCGCATCGGGAAGCGCCGGAAGCGGAACCGCCCCGCCAGCCACGCCAACGTCAGGTGAGGCACCGCGGATACACGCGCGCACACCGTCCAGGTGAATTTGCCAAAGTACAAGAGCTTAAACTCGCAGCACAGCCGGCCGATCTCGAATGATCTGCGCTCGTGGGCAGCGCGAGAATCGCCCCGCCTGCCACGCCCACCTCAGGTTACGTTACTTAACCCTTAAGGTCAGTGCGGGACAGGTTGATTCATTCAACAAAACAGGTGGGGGCGGGTGCGCAGCGCGTAAGCCTTTGGTTTGGGGTTTTCCTTAGGTCGAGGTCTATTTTTCACGGGCTCACTGTTCACTGAACACTGAATCGAGAGTCGGAGGTGTGTCATGTTTAGCATCGGCCGGAAACTGCCCGGTCTTCTGTCCTTGTCTCCTATCAAAGTACAGGTAGGAAGAGTCTTTTCACAGCTGACAGCGTGTAAGTTCAGTACGTCCTGATATACGTTATTTTCATTGAAGGACCGCAGATGCGCTTTCACGCGCTCCGGTCGAAGTGAGGTCTAACGAAGTGCGCGACTTTTAAATAGGGCGCTTGTGTATGTTGGAGGCACAGAGATTATGCTTTCGTGCCACAATAAAGCCAGACCCCTCTCTCTGATTGGGGCGCACCCCTCTGCAAGCAGCACACGTAAGCGATCCCTCATAACCCGCCGTTGAATATTGTCCATCGCCCACAAAGCACGCGCACGTCCTTTCGCAGGATCCGACACGTGGAGCGACAAGCTCTTCTCGCTGACCATCGCGCCGGGCAGCCAATCCGGCTCGTCGCCGCAGACCTCCGGCGACCACGGCAAGCCGGAGCCCGCCAACCTGGTCGCCCCGCTTCTGTTTACATTCAAGGCACTGCAGAAGATGACGGACGGCTTCGACCCGGCGCGCCAGGTCGGGGAGGGCGGGTTTGGCAAGGTCTATTGGGCGCGCAGTAAGGACCGGGATGTGGCGGTCAAGCGGCTCGACAAGGACGCCGCTACGTCCGCGAAATATGTACGTTTTCCCTCTTTGGGGGTTGTGAGCCCTTGTCTCCTCTGAACGTGTTCACAATCGCCGACACGTCTTCGAGGTTTTGACTCCGTCTTGGGCACGGGCTTCAGCCCTGTCATTCCGCGAGATACACGTTTCTGTTTGTAAATTCTCGTGAAAGACACGCTTCTTCGCTTCTAATGTTTTGAAAAATGGTCAACATTTCCTTACTTTCGAAAAGAACAGAGAGCCTACGGTCGTTCGCCTTGTGGAACGATGCTCCGGCGATAGGTTTGATTCGCTAACATTCAGGAGCGAATTGACGCTCCAGCCCCACGAGTCTCGGACGGGCATTGCTCCGATTGGTCCTAGAACCCCTCCTAATCCACCAAGTGTCAAACAGCACATGACTTGCACTTTTGCAAGTCTGATGCCACGTGTCCCCTTCTCTGCAGGGTGAGAAGCAGTTCCGCACGGAGGTCGACGTGCTGAGCCGCATCCGGCACCCCCACCTGCTCGCGCTCATTGGCTACTGCGCCGACGGCGGCGAGCGCGCGCTCGTGTACCCGCTCATGCAGAACCACAGCCTCTTCGACCAACTGCATCGTGAGATTTCCCGTCGCTCTGATTGCCGCTGCATCTGAGGTTAGCGGCGTGCTATTTGGGTTGCCCTCGCACCGCTGCTCAGTGGGCTACGTTACACAAGTTCCGTTGTTTTTGCGGTTCGATTGATGCTGGTCTTGGCTCGTCAATGTAGCTGGAGTGACATGGTATCCAATCATTTGTGCTTCGTTAGTTTCCTTCTCAGCCGATAAGTCGGCGGGTTTGTCCAAATATTGAACTACCGCCCTCTCTCCTGTCACTGCCTCTTCGAAGCTGCTTCGTCTCATGCCCTCCCTGTTTTCAAATCATCGCCTAAGTTTGTGTCCAAGTCCAGCCCTCTGCAGCGCAATCATCACTGTACGAATGCGGTTCGCGCAACCCTCTTCAACAACTTTTGGAGCAGTACGTAAAGACCTCCAGGCGCTTGCTCTCACAGGGCAGTCGCCCCTCCGCTTTTCTGCAGGTGCCCCGAAGCCTTGCCCAGCTCTGGCTACGTGGCGCAAGCGCCTCACGATCGCCACCCAAGCCGCGAGCGCCCTGGCCTATCTGCACAACGAGGCTTCCCCGCCCGTCATTCACAGGTAAAGACCTAATCAGTCTTTTGGGTCTTATTTGAAGCGCTTCCGTTGAGAGATTAATCAGTCCACGGCCAAGAGCGCTTTCACGACCATCGAGCCATCGCCATCTTTGGAAAAGAAACGCTTTTGGAAGGGCTTAACTAGTTTCGCGGAACTCGGAAGGAGTGCCGCAGTGATGGGTATATAATTGCTTTGAATATCGACTCGACTTCTTGTTTCTCGACAATCACATGTGAAAATGAGGCTTCAGAACGGCTGCAAAAGACTTCCCCTTCCTTGCAGAGACTTCACCAGCAGCAACGTATTGTTGGACGGCGGCTGGACGGCGGTAGTGTCCGACTTCGGTCTGGCCAAGCTCATGTCCAAAGCGGGCACGCCCAGTATGGTGCAGTCGACCCGCCTGCACGGCACGCTCGGCTACCTGGCGCCAGAGTAAGCGCCGGATGTCAAAATTACTTCGTTTGGCTAAGTTGCGGTTTACAATTCTGGGTGCTTGTGTCAACTTTTGCTGCATTTATTCAGGCCTTGCAGAGTACCGAGTGGGTTCGGATTAGAAGTTGGGCAAAATCTGCAGAATGCTGTCGAGGATTGTTTCTCTATCAACGCTTACGAGGCTTGCGTTGTAAGCGAGTGCGGCAGAGCTGACTGAAAGGCCGCAGCACGGAATAAAACTAGATACGTGAAAGAACGCGCATGTTGACGACTATTTCATAACTGTGGCGCCAAGAAAGTCTACGTCGACATCAGTACCTCGGCGTGGCTTCATGCCCCGCCCATCTGAGCATCGGCCGTTCTGCTGAACTTCAAAAATGATACTTTCGGGACTGACGGTCCGTTCCCTCCCGACTGTCTGCTTGAGGTCGACGTCTTCGCACTCAGCATTTGCATCCCTCGCAGTTCTTGAGTCTTGACACCATCTTACTCTCTTCGATCCAGGTACTTGCGCGGTCACGTCACCGTGAAGAATGACGTGTACAGCTTCGGCGTGGTCCTGCTGGAGCTGCTGTCCGGCCGCCGCGCCGCGGCGTCCGAAGAGTTCGACCTCGTCCAGTGGGCCGCTGACGTCATCGACGGGCCGCCCCCGGCGCTCCCCAAGCTGCTGGACCCGGCCGTCAAGGTGTGGCCCGTCTCATCCGTCACGTCAGCAAGAGAGGCATGGAAGAGAGGCATGCTTACATGGTTACAACGTGCATGTGTCTGAGGTCGTTCTATCTCTGAAATGCCGGATTCGTCCTTTGTTTAGTCCCCCAATACCGAACCTTTATTTCGTGCTTTAGGTGAATATCAATTCATGTTATATGTGCGGTAAAATCTACGCAATTGCTGGAGTCCCTCTTTCTTCGAACACGCCAGCGCTATCTGAGAGATGTTGAGATAGGACAATCTCATCCCAGCGATGCTTTTTCTCTTCGCAGGACGAGGCGCCGGAGGAGCTCCTGACGGCAGCGGTGCGCGTGGCGCGCGCATGCGTCGAAACGGACCCCAAGCGGCGGCCGCGCATGAACGAGGTCTACACCTCGCTCACAGTGGCCCTTGAGGTATGGACTGTTTTCGGAAAAAGCATGTTCGCAAAGAAGTCTCGGGCTTTCCGAACTTGGATGTTTCCTCAAACAACACGGGGTTCGCAAGTCGAGTACAAAATGGAGGTCGACGATGCGCGTCCGATCTCGGACAAGAAATCTAAGAAGGGATGTGAGATCGGTTGCTATGTAAGAGCCATTGAAATAGTCCGCCAACTCTTCGAAAGTTTAAGCAGTTCTTGCATTGAGAACATCAGCATACCCCCGGTGAATCACACTGGGCGTTTGATTGGAACAATGGGGCACCGGTGGTTCCCCTCAAGGCTGCTTATGGCAAGGCTCGCTGCGAGACCCTTTTCTACTCGTCGAACTGTAAAAACATCAGCTCAACATACAAAGACCTTCTTGCAGATTCTCAATCGCGTTGAAAGTCGGCTATCTCGATTCGTACTGGACCTCAAAAACCTCAGGCCGGGCTTGTTGGAGCCATGTCTTCCCAGGCTGTCCCAAATCTGGGGCCATGAAATTGCTTCTGGAAGAAATTTCTTTGTCCATTACATATTGACCCTGAACCCATATTGACCCTGAACCCAACGACTGACTTTTGAGACCTTTGTTCGCAGGCGGCTTACGGCGAAAATTCCGGCCTGATTGTCAGCAAGCCGTTGGCGATCTCGAGGCCGGCAGCAGAGGCACACGCCGTGGTCAATATTCCAGAGGCGGAGTCAATCTAAGAAGTTTAAGACCTCCTGGCCGAGACTACTAAAGACTTCCAAAACAATGCGGACGCCAAGTCCGGACAGTCTTGAAATCAGCTGAAGTCGCCAGCTATTTATTGTCGTTATTCAAAGTCGTTTATACAGGGAACTCGTACCTTCGAAAGAAAGTTGGTGGGGGTAACTACATAAAGATCGTGCAGCATTCGGGCACAGGACAATATTAATATTAAGGCTACTATGAAGCCGAGGGTTGTGAGACGACGGAGAGGAGTTTGAGAGGTGGTTTGACAGTACCTGGTGCTTTCGACGAGTTTTGGTTTTTGGCGGGAACTCAAACGGAGGAGCTTTTAGGATAGCACACTATCTCGTTACTTGCCTCAGCTGCACCACCTCTGATTGGCTCTTGAAGAAGAGGCCGTTCCATGTACATTTGTATCGGATTGTAGGCATTGTATCAAGAGAGCAGCAGTAGGAAGCGGAATTAATAAGTCTAGTCAGGTTTTTGACAATCGCAGCTCCGATTGTATAAGGGCTGCAAGTTACATGTAATGCGGGTACGTAGACGACGTTGCTCCTTAAAAATATCGTGGGGAATCCTGCATCGCATTACAATATGCAACGCCTATTGAAATACACCGCGAGTGTTTTTGGTAAAAGCAAACCTTTCTTGCATCGTCTGCTGCTTGAAAGTGTACGCGCATTCTAATTAGCCAGCTGTTGTGTTTGCTTGATTCACTCCTCGAGCTCAAGCTCAGGTTGCATGTCCGTTACATAACGTGTTCTCCATCGAGACAGGACTTGAGACGCGGTCAACCTTGAGTTGCGTGGCATCTGTGCGAACGCGCCAAAGCCGGACTCTGCTCCCTCAAGATGCTTTGATAGCGCCTGAACGATCTTCGGATTTATTGACAGCTTTGGACGCTAGCCGCCAATCTTTTCCAGCTGCGATCGCGCTGCCACTAAGACTGTTACGGGAACCTGTCTAGATGCACTTAGCGCATGCAGAATTCAACAACATGCGACCGGTAGCCCTAACCAGTCATTGGTTGGCTTCGTGTAACGCGGCCGAGCGCGGGCGGTTGAAACTCCCAAGCGTTTTGTTTCGCTTACGCAGCTGACCGGTTGATCAAACATGTGGTCAGCAAGGCTTGACGAAAGCCGCAGTGGTGCTCGAGTAGACTGTAGTGCTCGTCTCGTGGCAGGTCGACTCAGGTCGACTGTCTCGTCGCGCATGCGGTTCGCAAAGTCTCGTACTAATTTGATAAAAGGGAGGCATCAACATCCTCGGATCCATTCTTGCTCTCGTGAGTCTCAATGTAAGATCATTTCTGCGCTCATGTTCTTACTTTTGCGCGTCCACAAATCGAGCTTTTGAAAGCCACTATGGTAGTGTAAAATTACTCTATCTCGATGCGCAGCATGGAGCGGCTCCTGGCCAGCAGCCAGGTTGAGGACTTCCTGGCTCGCCTGAGGGAAAGCATCGCGCAATCCGAAGCGGTGGGAATTGTTAGTGTTGAAGCAGCAGGCGAAGAATGGAGCGGGCAGGAAGCAGATGTCGGCTTGCGGAGGCCTCTGGTAAACGCATCTGGTGAAGTTCCTGGAATGGAAGCATCCAAAGGGAATGATCATCGTGAATCGCTGCGGAACATTCCCTCTCCATATTCAGACAGCGCGGGACAGGCTGGTCAACAACCTCAAGCTGATACCGCGCACAAGGAACCTGGAGGGTTCGATACTATTTACTCATCGCATCTGGTAACTGAAGGCTCCGCTGAAGCCTCCTCTCAGCGTGCGCTTCGCAGATCAACGGAGACCTTTCATGGCGCATCTGATGGCAATCAAGAGCTAGGTAGAGAAACTTTTCAGCCAGAGAAGCCTCTCGCGGTGCCAGAAACCCCCCTTCTTCAGAAAGGATCTACGCCTCGAGCGCTTGACACCATGCAGTCTGCTTTCAAGAAGTTCGAGCATGCAGAGATGCAAGGAGGATCCCAACCGACCGAGATTCTCGACTCTCAAGAAGAGTCATTTGCAGGAAAGGTTTCTAGCTTCATGAGCCCTCAACTGATGCATCAAAGCAGACAGGTAGCTATGCACCCCCCTGAAAGAGGGACTCACAGACCAGACTTGCTTCAACGCACTCAGCCGGTTCTGTCATCCTTTCCGCAGCCCTTCAGGCCCCCTAACCGGCCTGCTGACATTATGACAGGACAGAGCGCTCCTTTCTATGGATACTACGCTGGTGGGAATCAAGCAGGCCAAAGCAGCAACCCAGTTACGTTCTCGGGAAGCTTCCCTCCGCGTCAAGTGCAACATTCACCAGAAACACCAGGGGTCTTCTCAAGGACCAAGGAGTTAGAAGCTCTTGAAAGTGTCGCAGCTCAGAATCTTAAGCAGCGCATGATCCTCAAGTGGCAGCTTGACATCCGAGCAAGCATTTTGAGAGCTCAGCTGGAGGAAACAGAGCAAGAGATGCAGAAGAACGCGACGGAACTAGGGTTTGCAGGCAGGCAGGCTCAAGAGATCAGAGATCTGAGACGTCAGATAGACCTGAACAGCATGCACGTTTACCAGCCTCCATCCAGCAATTCAGGGGGTGGCCCTTTTGCAGAAAGCGAACGGAACTTACCTCCATGGGAACAAGCTGAGCAGACCAGAAACTCTCAGGTTCTTCTGGGGGCGTTCGTCCAACGTGGTGCACTTGCAGCTTCTTCGGCGCCGCTTCCACCGGAAGAACTGGCGACAAGAATTGCTTCTCTCGGGAAAGACGTCGCGGTTGGCTCTGTGGGAGATCGACAGCCTCTCTCTCCCCAGCCGTTCTTGACACCATCGAAGGTGACGCAAGAAGGTTCTCAAATCGCGCACGGAAAGGATGCAGCGGGTGATGAGGAAGGAGGAGAGGAGCTCGTGAAGAGAGCAACAAGTCAGGCCGAAGACAAGGGTAGCAGACAAGAGGTCGTTCCAGACAATTCATTTTCTGAGGGGGCCGGAAAAGCCGTCAAAGAGCCTGAGGAAAACAGGGCAAAGCAGGATGTCCCGATTGTTGGTGTGGAAACAGCAGGCAGAAGCGAAGTTGCGGGAGGGAACGCAACGGGACAGAAGGGAGCCGTAGCCGAAAATCAAACAAAGCCGCAGCCAGGCGAAGGCTCTTCAGTTAGTAAGAGGGTGCAGAATGAAGAAGAGAAAGAAGGGCGGAGCGAAGATCAGAGGAAAGAAGAGCAGAAGCCAAACTCGACGTCAGCTGCGCCAGAGAGCAGAACTGAAAGCGTGCACGAGAGGAGACAGAGCTCTGGCAGCAAAGCGGAGCGGGTGGCTACGGTCGAAGCTCCTGTGCCAGAGTCGGAACGGAGGCCGCAGATTGCAAGGCGCAATGCGGACGAAGGGAAGAGACCGGAAAAAGATGTCCAGAGAAGCAGAGAGAGCGGAGGAGGGAGGCAAGAAGACGCTGAGAAGGAGAGGGGGCGCCCGGAAAGAGTGCATCACGCAGGGCGAGTCGGCGAAATGGTAAGCCATACCGATTGCGTGGCTTTTTCAATCATTTTGGTTGATCGCCCATTCTTGGTTAACGCATCCAAACGAATGAGCTTTCTTTTTTGTTAACTGAGCATACATTTCCCCCCCCCCCCTCTTGCAGGCTTTGCTTGGTGCTGTTGCCAGGCTTTGGATGACATTATTAGACCAAATCCATCATCTAAAATTATGTTTGCCTGTTGTTCCCTGCGCCCCTTGAGCAACAAAGAGATTGCACAATCTGGTGCCATCGAGATTGTCTTCCAGGCCCAGATCCTCTTCGAAAGCCTTAAAGCATAAGGGCTGAAACTGGGAAAATCGGTGACAAAGCCGAAGCAGTTCTTCAAACCAGTCCTTCCGAGCAGCCTTCCATTTGAGTTTCTGCGTCACGCAGCTTTCTGAAGAGAAGGGCCGCTGGATGGAGAAGAGGAAGAGCCCCACAACAGGGATTAGCGGCGCTCCGGCAGAAAAGCTCAAGAGCAGCCAAGTGGAGTACCAGATGCTTCAGCTGAAGAGAAGGAGGTGGGAGACGCCGCGGAAGGAATCAGACCGCCAGCCGCAGAAATGAGCGAGGCGGATCGAACAGTTTGTAACGGTGCCTATTGAGCAGAGACGTTTCGTGATGTGTGATTGCGCGTCATAGGAAGGAAGGCGTCTCTGGGGTGGATCAGGGCCGATAACGGAAGAAAGCAGACGTAGAGAATGTGGACGAAAGGGAAATTGGGAGGCAGCGGCCCGCGGGCTTTAGTGCACTTTCGCAATAATGTTCTATCGGCTGTCGACCTGCACTTATGTCTATGCCATTTTCAGGCTCACAGTAACCACTCTGCATGGCTGCGGAACTCCTATTCTTACTCAAGATCGTATGCTGTGTCCAGAAGTCTACGTGTTTAGGATGTTTGCAATTGGTTGCCGCAAACCGGCAAGGCACTCTGAGTGGTACCTAGACGTGGACGAAATCACGACTGCAGATATGTGTTTCGCTTCTCTGCAAAGTTCCATACATACAAAGTTGTGTGGGTTGGGAGGCACGCCTGCTACAAGGGGTCTTTACTATAATGGGCATGAACCATATGGTGGCCCTCCATCTTTTTTGTGACCGCCGCCCTCTCACTCACCGCGACCTAACTTTTCAGAAACGACAGTTGGTAAAACGTACTGCGCGGTAGATTATGTAGCAAAGAGAGACTTTCAGTCTTTGGCATTTGCGGCTAGACTTATCAGATGAATCATTGTTTCGGACGTACATAGTGGCAGCTGAGCCACCCAGAACCAAGAATGGTTTGGGCCCGAGCGCAAGATACCCGCTCTACATTTCATCGCGTGACTTTAAGGCCTGTGTACTCAGCGTTCATGAGTTGTAATTGTATTCAGCAACACAAGCGCCATGCGCCGTTAAGAGGGCAGCACAGCCGGCGCAGCGTATTGTGCACACATGTCTGATTGCTAATGCAGCACAGAACGGAAAGCTGGCGACCATATGACTTATATTGAACCGATCTCGAACTGGAAGCAAGCCTCGATCAAGACAATTGTAAACTCTCGCCTTGGCGCAATGATAGACTGTGTAGCGTTTGAAGCACCCTAGAGATGCAAATTTCCATATCTAGACAGCTATCCGAGGCACTAATGAGGAGCAGGATAAGATTGCTACTAAGAGATTGCAGCGCGTTGTCCTAGGCAACGACTACTGAATTAGTTGAATGCGCAATGAAGTAAGCATTAAGCCTGCTTTGACAGTGTGCAGCGTGCAGAGAACCAAGCGTCGAGCGCTCTCGACAAGCCTGGCCCGCACACAACAATCTAAAAGCCTATTCCTCTTCTCCTGCGTCTTCCCCCTTGTCCAGAATTTCCGTCGCTTGCGTGTCGGCGGATCCCCGGGTCGCTTCTAGTATCGCTTTGGCCCTCATCTCTTCCCTCCAAGCGTCTTCAATTCCACCAAGCCCCCCCGCTTGCAGATTCTTCCAGATCTGCTCTTCTAGGCGGTCTGGATCCACATCCCCCAAACTCCCATCGAGCCCGAACTCCTCCTCGAGCTTTCGCTTCTCCGCTTCTAAGCGTTCCCTCAGACCCGTGTCCCCAAAGCTCCACTTTCCTAACTCAATCTCCTCCACAACATTTGTCTCCACATCCCCTATTTGCGGGTCTTCTCCTAACCCAGCTGGCAGAACCCCACTTAACCGCACCGTTTCCTCTCTACTTAACGAGACCCCTGGCAGTCCGAGGTACTCCCTTATCGACGCCCTCACCTCCGTGGTCGAGCGCGAAACGAGCAGCCGCCTTTCTAAAACCTGCTCTAACCCCTGGTTAACGCTTAACTCGTCCTCACCGTCTCGCAGCTCGAGCAGCTCCCGTTGGACGCTGGAGGGGCCCGGTAGGGCGGCGGGGGGCCCTGTCGGCAGCTCCGGCCACGGCCGCGCCCTCACCTCCCCGTCTGGGAGCAGGCTCAACTCGATCACGACGGGGCCCTCCTCGGGGACTTTGTACGGGACGCTGGACTCAACGAGAGCTGCGAGGGGAGTTTGAAAAACATGAGGAGATGGACCTGTAGACGTTTCGACCATTCGTGAAGAAGGTTATCGAGAAAGATGACGAACAACGAGAAAGATCAAGAGACAAAATGCTTCCGGGATTATGAGCTGGAGAAAGAACGCCGCAGACTGGTCTGCAAATTTTGGAGTCAGATACCCGGGGACCTCTGCCAAACACTCCTGCTTTGGTTTACTACCAATCGATGAAGAGGCTCCCAACAGAGAACGAGCAATACATGCGATGCTGGAGAAACCTTCCTTCGCAAACGACCTGCCATGACCGGCTTTCATTTCAAACTTGGAGAACCTCAGCGACCTGACGTCATCAGTCAAGCATCACTAGTAGAAGACGTCAGCGACTCACCGTGGCGCAATTTTGTTTTCGGCTTCCGGTGCAGAGCCTTAGAGAGCGGCAGCGCGGCCCACTGCTCTACCGCCGCCGAGTTCTCGGGGCGACAGCCCACCACCTCGCCGTCCCGGGACACCACCACCTGACAGCAAAAGTAACGGCGGGACGTCAGAATGATATGATGTGCTAAGGGAGAAACTGGTTCAAAACTTTTTCTTCCCCTACAAGCCACGTGCTGACGTGAGCCGTTCTGTGAAATGAATACGGATACGCGGGTATTTCGAATCGCGAAAGGTACGGCTAAACGACTTCTGGCATGCGGAAGTCGCGTTTCTGCCGCGCCCGCCTCGCTCGCAGAAGAAACCCCCTTGTAGGAAGCTGCTTCAGACCATGGTTTCAGCAATGCACATTTCGTACCACAAGACGTGCGGTCAGCCTGCCTTCCCCGCCTTTAACGAAACAGCGTCTAACATGAAGAACAACTGTCAATCACGTGGCAGGGCAATGGAGGAACTGGAACAGATTCTGAAAAAGGTTCAAGGTCACATAGCAGGGCCTGGTGCCCCCACCTGGAAGACGAGCTCTTTGGCCGGCTCTTCCCCTGCCTCAGCGGGCGTCCAGAAGCCTGCCATGGTCGCCACCGCGTCGCACAGCAGCTGCATCTCCTCCTCGGGAACGTCGCTGTTCGACGGCAGCACCACCTGCAGCAACAGCGAAGCGGTCGGTCAACCCTGCAGCCTTCTTGGAGAAATGTAAGTAAGAACATCTTGAGAGGTTGTAGAGGAAATTGAACGCGTGAGCTGCGAAGACGGCATGTCTGCTGTGAAAGTGACGAGGCTGGCGGGAAAGATGTGAGACAACGGATGGGCAAGCTGAGAAGCATCACGAGGAATTGCATCAGCAGCGGAAAAACCCCTCATTTTGTGGGACAGCCGTTTCCGGAGGAGCCAATTCAAGGGCCACTGCCACTTTGAATCGTTCGTAGATTCGCAAATGGCACTCCTTCGCCAATTCGACCAGGTTTTACATGATTGTCGTCAGCTCGTGTCGTGACATGTGCCTCATTCCGACCTAATCGATGCCAGTGCACTCAATCTCTGGGTCCGCAGACAACGGAAAGGTTGGCTTTCTGGAACAAACTCACCTTTCGCCTGTGGGGTTCGCGGGCCGGTTGTCGAGTCTCGACCGACTGCTGTTGAGACATCGCCACGGCTTGCGGATTGTAGCTCTGCCTCCGAGGAAGAGACGCCTTGTTCACAACCGAGAGGGCGACTAGGAGGGCGCCAGAAAGAACTAGTCTGGGGAGCTCGGAGAGCCAGGTCTGCAGGATATGAAAAAGAACAGCGGTGAGTGGAGACGAGGGGAGGGAAGGGGTCAGTGTCGGCCTGCTCACTGGTGTCAAACCCGACAGCGCTTGTGATTCACTCTAAGCACTTGTATCTAGTCAACAGGTTGTAATCCTTCATGGCCAAAATGGATGGTAACCACTGCCCGAGTGGTCACGCCTGAACTCAGAGCTCTTTCAAGCTCCTATAGGCTGCTATAGGCTGCTGTTGGATTTGGAAAATCCACAAACTAGACCGCCAGGTGTCTCTGCTCAAGTAAACCGACCGCTTCACGTAGATCATCAAAGACAGAACGCACGTGTGCCCCACCTTCTCCACTTTGACCGGCGCCTCCGCCGGTCGCGGCGGGACTTTGACCAGCATCGGACGGTCCACCGTCGGCCACGTGGCCTTGTCCTTCAGGAACGCGTCCACCGCCTCCGCGAGGTCCACCAGCTGGCTGTGCGTCAGCAGCAGCTCGATGACGTCATCCTCCGCCACGCTGTGCGTCCCTTTCGGTAGCGACGACCGGTTGCCGTCCTTGTCTATCCGCCACACCGTTTCCCAGCCCTCCACGACTTGCACGTTCTTCAGCAAACGGCCCTCCACTTGCATTAGATGCACGTGGAAGTCCTGGGGCGATATGAGCGCAATCCGACGGTCGAGATGAGTCGCCTCCTCCATGCCGCTGGTAGAGGCTTGCTCCAATCCCGCCGCTCGGGTTTGTTCCAAAGAAAGCTCCATTTCCCTCTCGCTTTCTAGGTTTAGTCCCGTCATCCCCCGTTTATCGTCTTCCATTTCTGATCTTCCCACGAAAGTTGTACTCTCTCTCTTAGCGGCCGCGGTTACCGTTCCATTCACACTTTCTTCCGTTTTGGGTCTCTCTGACGCCTTTTTCGATGTGGCGCGATCTGCAGACGCCACTGCTGCGGCCGTGTCTGACGACTGCGCACTAACATTCCCACCCCGCTCACTCGTCTCTGCAAACCGCCCAGTATCTTCCCTTAACTGCCCGTTACTAATCCCCGCCACCCCCACCGACGCTTCGGACGTGCTCGCGCCTACTGACCGCACTGCCGGACGCTCTTCGGACTGTCCGGTGACTGCCCGAGCGAACTCGTCCAGTTGCGCGGCCTGCTGAAGCACGGCAATGTCTTCCGCAGCGGACTCTGGAAGCGGCCACCATTCCCGCGCCTCTCTTTTCGCCGCCAACACGGTGTCCTGAATGTAGGCCGCATCTTCAGCGATGGGATCGAGTGCGGTTCCGGGATCAGACGCCGGTGCAGCTACGACAGCGTGAGGAGACGGGGAGGGAGACACAGTGCAGAAGCGAACGGGGTGACTTGCGCGGGGTATCCAGCTTTCGGGGGCGGGGGCTTCGTCGGGCTCTCGGAAGGGGGCCGCGAGTGCTTGGCGCAGGTTCTCGAGGGCCCCTGGGCGGAGGAGCAATCTCAGTTAAAGAAATATGGAGGATATGACGGTGGCTGTGAAAAGATAAGTTGTCTGCCCGGTCGCGAATGCGGCTGGACAGTGCCGGAACGCAGAAATGACACTTATACGAACATGCTGATGGCAGAAAATTTGGCTAGCTGAAAGCACCTCCAAAATGAGGGCTTCGAACGGGCTGCGGACTCGACGATAGGACGGAAACACCGAGGTTTTGTTGCCATTCAAGCCGCGCTTGATTGGTTGTGCAAAAGGCCAGCTATTTCTCTTCCTCGGCACAGGGCTTGGATCCAGAGCAGCAAGGCCTATACACGTTTCACAGGCGATGGAGAACACCCACAAGCTGTCATGCAGCAATGCCACTGGTAGGCTTTGTCGCGCCGTGCTCGTTAGCAGCTCACTCAATCAAAGTCTCCGCTCGCATTACCGTTCACTGCAAGAGGGGCTCTTGAGCGCTCACCCAAGAAGCCGGAAGGGCTCTGTTCACTGGGGTCCTCGTTTGCAACCTCCCTGCCGCCAGGAGGGAGAACGTCCCAGAAGGAGTAGGCCGCTAGAGACTGGCTCAAGTAGACCAGGAACGACTTGGAGCCTTGCAAGAACACGGTGTCAACCGGCTGCAGCCACAGAAAGTAAGAAGTTCATCAGTCTAACATTAATACGTTGCCGAGCTTTTTGAGATCATCCAAAAACAGAGTCTGGGCAGAACTAAGACAGTCATCTCAAAACGGTTGGTCTGAAACTATAAGCAGACTCGGTACGAATTTAGCTAGCATTTTGGACTGCTCACGAGCATACAAACTCAGTTCAAAAGCTTGGCCCCAACCGTTTCGGTTACCAGCCAGCACACAGACCATCGCAATCCAAGAATGATCAATCACGTTTTATCCAACTGAATCTGAGTGAAAGTGGGCTTACCCAGGGCCGGGGCGAGTGCCACAGCTCGAAGCTGTAATCTACTTGCGCTTTCTCCCACTGCCCGGGGGGCCGGAACCCAACCGCAACCTCAGCAATCTGGTCGACACGCACGCGGCGCGTTTCATCCCGCGCCAATTTCTCTTCGAGGAGCGCTTCCGGAACGTCCGGCCCAGCTTGGTACACCTTCGCCGCCCTTTTCATCCAGCCATCCGCTTTCATAGATCGGAAACTTTCCCGCGAGCGGAAGAGCTCATCCACCGGGACTATCACCCGGGTATATACCTGGCGTGATTTGTTGAGGGATCAGGACAGTGAATGAATGGGCAGATATTCCACAAACCAGTCACAGGATGATTGCAGGATGTGTTGCCACCAACGGGAGATGCCACGCTTTTACACTGTGATACTTACAAAATTCTCAGTTGCAAAGTGTAATTCGCCTGCACAAGTGTCCGCAGTACATCGCAGTGCTTTACACAACAGCACTGAGCAGAACGACAAGATGCTACACATTGGTCATCGACTGGACGCTTCCAGGTTTGAAAGACGCCCATGATATCTTTCGCACCGCAAGCACCTTTCGTCTTGCAACTTCTTTGGAGCACCAACCACCTTACCGGCAGCCAGGGATGGTTATCGCGCGCGGATTTGCCAACGTTCACAACAAGTGGCGCGCCCTCCTTGTTCTCAAGGCCCTTCTCGCGGATAAGAGTCTCCGCCACCGGAAGCATCGCTATTGACACTTGGGTCGAGAGCGCCGTACCCGAGACTCCCACCATGGCGAGCACGTTCTCATAGTGACGGGAGGCGGAGAGGCGCGGGACAGATGTCATCGTGGATGTTTCCTGAGCCTGCAAAGAAGGAGAAACCTAAGTACTTCGTAAGGGGGGGTCCAGTGCTCGGACTTTTGGGCTTGCAGCAACGAGTGGGGCGGGTACAACTTCGGCTTGTTTGCAGGTCTGACATGCGCCAGCACCTTTGCTGAGAGAGGGGAATCCGCGACATGGTTTGAAATAGGAAGGTGAGAAGAAAGGCAGCAGCTGCTTCTTTGCCAACACTTGTCGGGGGCCTTGATCTGACCAAGGAGCAGGAGGAAGGTGCTACGATACCAATGCCAAGAGCGATAGGTGAGATAAACTAGGCTGGAAGATAGCGTCGTCATGGGATGGGCAGAGCAGCAGAAAAGTAGCTTCAACCTCACCTCAATTGGGGCACCACTTCGTCAAGTGCGCAGCTTAACAAAGCGGTGGACTTGACTAGAAAATTCAAAAAACAATACACTCTTGCCAATATATTGGAGCGTTCTGCATGATTGTGAACCAGACATAACCATATTGCGACGGCGAAATCTTCTAGTGGAAAGGAGCACACCGGGGTTTCTGGCAGTGGTAGACTACCAGAGACGAGGGGATCAATTGACTTTGAAGATGTAAATGATGTCAGCTGATAGTGAGCACCATTTGCAAGGATGTAGATAATTTTGCAAGAATCAAGATAAGTTCGCTCCACAACTGAGCGCCGGCTCGACGTCCAAATTCCAGAGTCTGTCCTAGGTGTGCAACTTCTGGCTTGGAGAAAGATTCATGTGAATGCAAACCCTAAACTCATATATGCAAAGCAGACAGCATTCTCAATACAAGTTGGTACCCTTCTAAGCAAAGCAATCAGCACCTTTTAGTGAAATAGTTGACCAAGGTTAAAAAGAAAAGCACTTCCTCACATCTAGCATAAGAACACCGTTGTCGCAAGCAGCATTATCACTTTTTCAGAAGTCTATCTAAAAAAACTCTCACAATCTCACCACCACCATCAGATCTTTATCTCTCATAATTACTTCATGATTGTGATTTATAAAATTTGATCACATGTGGGACACAACACGGAGAGAATTCAGGATGTTGGTCTTCCGTATGTTATTCTGCAGCTAGCTTTCGGTCCAGAAACTCACCACCCTGCTTCGATACTGTTTCGGGAGGCCCGCCCCCGCCTCCGTCGGCTCATGGTTGAAAGCAGTGCATCTACAGCTTTCACGCCCCTTGGGAGATCTTGGAACCATGTGCCGCACTGACCCAGACCATGTGCTGCTACCCAGGAACGACCCTTTGCTACCAATTTGCAAATTGGTGACAAGACTTCCATGCCTCGTGTCTACTTTACGCCGGCCAGCTATTCGAGGGACCGTCAGGGTAGGGAGAAAAACCCTTGCACGAGTTGACCCAAGGCAAGTCCGCTGACCGCTGAAAAGATAATCCGGCTGAACACGTTCCCTTGAAGAAGTGGGCAATTCTATTTGAATGGACCAAGGAGGAGGAACCAACGACGGCCCAGCCAATGCCGCCGAGGCCATATCTACAGAGAACAGGGGAACAGGCTCGAGACGAGTAGCTTTAGTGACATTGTGACTGTCACCAGCTCAAGAAGACATGTGCTAACAGGACCGCCCGCATTGCCATTTGTATGCTTGCTCTTGGTGCTGTGTGAGGCTGTTCAACTTCAAGCTAGCGGGGTCTAAATGCGCATCCCTTTAAACCCTAAATATCCTAAAACCGGGTGGCTTGCTGACCTAGGCAGAGGGCGCAGACGCCAGCCAAAATGTCGGCGCGAGCAGAATGTAAGCGGGCGGAATTATCATATCAAAACTGCCCACAAGGTCAAAACGACTTGGCTAGGTCCCAAAACGTTCTCTACAAAGTTTCCGCCATCGTTGGGTGTCATTTGCCCGGTCCATTTGAATGCCCAAAATCTGCATTTTAGCTGGGGAAGTCAGACATAGGGCCACTTCAGCCTTGACACTAATGGCTCCACCGGGTGCGTAACCCGAAAGTGGGTGGAAATGGTAGCCTACAGGCCATATAAGACGTCTGCAAAGTGTAGGGACGCGCCCGCGGTGGAGCCCATACGGTCTGCTCGCTACTGGGCGCTACATATTTTGGCTGGGCGTCTGCGCCCTCTGGACCTAGGGTTGGATTTGGAGGCTAGGGTTTTGCCCACCCCTCATGCCACGCTGGCAGATGACCATCGCCCATAAGAACGTTTTCACACTTCCGTTCTAGAGGGTGGGAAAAAGTAAGATCCGTAGCTGTGTGAAAAGCCCCGGCCACAGGCCGGCCTGGATCGATCAGTTGAAGCAATGCGCTGCAATTGAGCTCTTTCCTGGCTAAACCCGCATTCCCCATTTTCTATGTGCAACATTGCATTGCGTGACGTTTACCGGAAGCTCTGCTCTGATCAACGTTCTTTAGAGAGGAGTGTCCGTCTGTGCTCTAGCCACTGAGAGTCCTGTTATAGCTTTCGACCATCATGGCATCCACATTGAAAGCTGCCTCGAGCGCTTCAGCTTCGAGCTTGCTGCGCTGCTCGAGATTCGCAAAGAAAGAAATTCAGAGGGGGGTGGTAGCGACAGGAGCTTTTTCCGTTCAAAGGTGAGCACCACTCTATCAATGACACATTTGACTCCCAAGTTTGTACGGAGAGAAAAGACATATGTTATGCAGCAGAGTGTGGAAGGATCATTTCACAGCATTTGAAGATCAAACACAACGTTGGAGCTTCTCTGATGAGGGCATTCTCTTTTGGCGTTTTGATAAGTCGCCATCATAGGTGGCTAATCATTGATCAGTGCTGGCGGTAAAGTAGCATAGTGTACACTTGAACGACGTGCTTCAATCCATACTGTCACATTGCACCCTTTTTCAGAGTAGCGCCAGATACTTTGGCTGGCCACTTGTATGAAAGAAATAATCCAATCAGTGCACCAATTTGTCGGGTTTCATCAGCTTGTCAGGGCTGAGATTGGGAAGCTACAGAAGCCGATGAAGCAACTTCAGACTGTAAAGTGTCCAGCGGCCAGCTGAAATCAAGCAATCTCTTTTGCAGCAAAAGTGGCTTAAGCATAAGCATCATCTTGTTGCAACCTACGAAAGCCCCTTAAGCAATCCATAAAGTAGGTCCAAGAACTAGAGTAGACTTCATCAACATGTGCCGACACACTTTGAGCGACACAGGCTGCTGAAAGGCCAACACCAAACCAAAAAGTACGCTGGAACAACCCCCTCGGTATGATTCAAATCTTGAATGTTTTTTTGCGCTCTCTCCAGGCCACTTCCCAAGGCCAGCCTCAGCGCCTCATCTTCCTTCCTTGGACACGTATTCCACCAATCCTCGGGGCGGCAACAACAGTCGCTTGCTTCAAAGACAAAGGAGCAGTGCCGACAGTTTCGGACGCTGCCCCGCGTTTCTGCAGAGAGCGCCGCGGAAGCGGACGCGCCGGTGGTGGTCGTAACGGGAGCCTCGAGGGGCATTGGGAAAGCGATTGCACTGCACTTTGGGGCCAAAGGGGCCAGGGTACGCTTTGCATCTTCGTCTCCACAATTTTGGGGACTTTTTGAGTCGTGAGAGCCATCGAGAGCTGGAATACTTTTGTCCTCCAGGACACTGTCTCCATGTAAAGGACAGTGTGGTCGGCAAAGAGCGAGTTTATGGGCGTCCTTTATGCTGAAGCCACTGGCATGGGAGATGCCTGAAGGGGGTTGCCATGCAATTTACTGCAGCAATCACATCAAGACTTTCCCGTGGAAAGCAAGTGGTAGCTAATCTCATCTCAATGTGCCCTCTGCCGACCTGGCCAGGCAGACCAACGTACTTGTAAGGAAAGACGTAACCACTATCATCATCGGCAACGGAGAAAGGTGCCGGGTGGCAACTGTTGAGGCACAATCTCCTCAGAACATCAGGGATCAACCGATTCTTAGTAAACGAGGGTCCAGCAAAGCCCAAGGGGCTTGAGCTGCTTGACTTACAGGTGACACAGTTACTGGCGCTGGTACAATCCCGTCATCTGTTCCTCATGATGAGAGCGAGGTTGACCTGAATAAAGACCGACAAGGCTTTTTTATTTCTCGCTGCCAACCATTCCATGGGAAAATCAAGATCATCACTCTTCAGGTGGTGGTGAACTATGCACGGTCTGCGGAGGCGGCAGAGAAGGTGGCTGACGAGGTCAAGGCAGCTGGGGGCGACGCCATCGTAGTCGGGGGGGATGTCTCCAAAGCAGAGGACGTGGCAGCCGTCATCAATGCAGTAAGGACGTGCATTACAATCCTCTGATAGGAATCTGCAAGGCTAGTCAGAAGCCGTCGGCGGCAACTCTTTTCTTTCTATCCCTTGTGATTTGGCTTCAAATGCTTTTCAGAAAAAGCCTGTATGCAGGTTCCCAGGCGCTACGAATACACAAGTTGCTGGTCAGAAGAACCACTTCTATGATGACTACTTTCGGCATGGCGTGCAATCCAAAAAGCTGGCCGGGCATGCCATCGATATTGCGCCGTTGCGTTTTTGTGATTTTCTCTACCAGCACAATCGGCAAACGGCACATCTCAGATCTACTTGGTAATTATTGGTCTCATCTCTGTCGAAGGTTCTTTTTTACTCCATCAAAGCAAGATTCCAACGACGAGTCTCGTTTGTAAGCTCTGATCCTTTCCAAGCTTCTGTGCAGGCGGTCGAGAAGTGGGGCACCATCGACGTGCTTGTCAACAACGCAGGTAAGCAACCTTCCTCAGTCGCTTCTACGTACTGGTGTTACCAGCATGTCCTCCTCGTAGAAAAGGGGAGAGGCTGGATCGTTCAAAGGTAGGATTCGCAGGACCTAACGTCCAGATGAAAGACGGGCGTGAGCGAATGCACCAGCGGATGTAAACAGCTGGTGCCGATTGCAGGAAAGTTTACCTGAAGCACACGGTCATGTACTAGAAACGTCCGAGTGAAGCTACGGGCGATGAACTAGAACCCGTGTCACCTGCGTTATTTACAACGAAAATCTTTGAAGAACAACATAATGGTGCACTCCGCAACCCGAATCCACCCTAGTCAATCGTACCCGTGTCCCGGGCGCCTTTCTTAGTCTAATAGCCCGTATGTTCTCTAAAAACGTTGCCAGACTCACGGTCAACGTCCATGGTATTTGATCTTTGCGCTACCCCTCAAATCTGGCGACATTGCCTGTCTGGCAAGGCCCTTGAAACCTCGACAATTCCAAAAAATCCTACGTGAGACTCCCTGCTTATCTTGCGCCTACATGCTTACTCATAACTGAGAGTGGGTTATGGCGGTCGTGCACGAAGCGTTCATGCGTCGGCCTGTCGAGGATGGTCAGCTCCACAGGCCGAACGCTAAACGACACCACAAGTCGAAAAAGACGAAGTCGGATTGTTTTAAGTCACCCCACGTGGATCTCTGAGACCGGTGTCTGACGCTCATCTTTCCTTACAGGCATTACAAGAGACACGTTGCTGATGCGGATGAAGCCGACCCAATGGCAAGAGGTTATCGACCTTAACCTCACCGGCGTCTTCATGTGCACCCAGGTCAGACTCGGCCCTTGTACAACAGCTGGCAACACCTATCGCAACGCATGGTGCCCAAAGTTGACATAGATATTGGGCATTGCCGTGAGCGCCGTGGGAAAACTGTGGCGAGATGTTTGTTGTTCGGGCGGCTGCTTGTCATCCATTTGTGAAGAGCAGGGGCGCCCGCTTTGCGAGCAATTCCAGGGCACCTCTTCGTGCATCGGTGTTTGAGAGTGGAGAGTCGACGTTGTAGCTGCTCTCATTTACTGGACACAGCGGGTGTCTTTTCTCATAGGTGGATCATAGTCCTGCGGGTGCCAGTCCGACGGATTTTAAGGCGCTGTGAAGCCTTGCTGGTGCTGACAGTCTGCTTGATTTTCGTTGTGCAGGCGGCTTTGAAGGTCATGTCAAAAAAGAAGAAGGTATGAAAAAAGACCACGTGATCAGCCGGCTTTAGCGGCTCTGGAGCTCATGGCCTTTCCCACAACACTCCTGCTTGCATTCAAACGCGCACAATCTCACCCTGTCACTTGACCTCTCGCAACGACGACCGGCGTACCGTTGCCAGAGTAGGGGTGAAACTGGAGCACATCCATTGCTTATGCTGTCGCGTCATCGCCCGCTTAAGTAGCGCTTCAAATTTCTGGGGGCTCCCATACATTTCTTGGGGAAGTACTCAAGAGGCCACTTTTCGGGAGTATGGCTGAGCCCTGGAACGCGTTCGAGCTTCGTTACGGCTTCGCTTCGTCTTTTAGAAGCAACCTCCTTCAAGTCTTTTGAACTTCGTCACTCTCGACCAACCGTCCGCTGCCACGTGTCGTGCAGGGCCGCATCATCAACATCACGTCCGTGGTTGGCCAGGTCGGCAACCCGGGCCAGGCCAACTACAGCGCGGCCAAGGCGGGCGTGATCGGTTTCACCAAGTCCGTAGCCCGGGAATACGCAGGCAGGAACATCCAGGTGCGAAACACTGGAGAGCCGGCCAGCGTCCCGGTGCTGAGATTCGCTCTAGCCCCTCTGGTGCTACTAGCCCCGGCCCAGCAGCCGCGTGGCTCTGGGCACCTCTGTAGTAGCAACGAAATGTCGAAACACAGCTGGAGGCTCTCCCGGAGGCCCATTTGGAGGGAGTTTGCCTGTCGTTCTTTTGATTTCGAGCTTGCCTGTCTTTCTCTTCATTTCAAATCGCCTCTGCCTAGTAGACAGTTAAATTGGTGCGACCGGCCCGTTTACAAGCAGGGTATGGGTTTCCAGTTTGAGTCTGGCTCTGTCCCCATTCCACTGCGTGATGCAATCCATCCGTCACTATGGGTCGCTTCCTTCGACGCTTCATCCTTGACGGAAACAAACTTAGATCCACGGCGATCAATCACTCAGAAGCCTCAACAAAAATGAGTCAACTAATTCCAAACCCGTTGGGATTTATCGGTTTGCTCAAAGCTTGAGCAGACCCACGGGTTTCCCGACCACCAGCCATTTCAAAAAGCCCCGAACGAAGTGTTTCTCTCTGCAGGTGAACGCGGTCGCCCCGGGGTTCATCTCCTCGGACATGACCGCTGTGTTGGACAAGAGCCTAGAAGAGAAGATCTTGGGCAGCATACCCCTAGGTAATACGCTACCAACTCCGCACCTGTACTCGATCCCGCAGGTGCCGTCAAGGACTCCCAGTTGAGCATGCATTCTCGCCGACTAGTGTAATCCTTACTACTTGTCTTCCGACTTCGGAGTCGGTCTTGCTTGCCCGTAAGGGTTTGTAGCGCTCTTATTCATTACGGTTTCGCACAATGGGAATTCCCAGAGCCGCAGAGTACGTTTGCAGGAGGGCTGAGTGAAGCTTGGCTGGGTTACGCTCCTCTGTTTCGTGGGGCTTGTATACACGGCTCTAAAGCGTTTTTTCTGAAGTATGCATGGATTTCCTGCTGATGCGGGATTTCTCTCCGTCGCAGGAAAGTACGGCCAACCTGAGGACGTCGCCGGGCTCGTGGCCTTCCTAGGACTGGACCCCGCTGCTGGCTACATGACCGGACAGGTACGGCTCCCCAAACGCCCTTAATTGCTTTCGACGTGGATCGTACCTGCATCGCGACATACGCGTGTTCCCCTTTCCCCACGTAATCTGTCATGACAGAAGTTGATAGACTCTTGCGAGCAACGTGAAGCAGGACTTGTTATGAACGATTCCTTTTACTGCACGCTTTTAACGAGTCGTGATTTCTTGACTAACCGCTTCAGAACATCTTGACATGCGTTGTGTCTCGAACTGAGGATACGAACAGAATCTTGCCATCTCGTCTGTTGCATGACATCTATCTCATATGCATCCTGGAAGAGGAAATTGCTATCAATCGCGAAAGCCTTTGGTTTCAAGCCTCCTGCACAGCCTTCTCTCAAGAAAGACTCAGTAAAAGTGGCCTCAAGATCGCAGAGTGCAGCTAGCTGATTGCTTGGCACTGATGCAGGTTGTGAACATGGATGGAGGCATGGTCATGTAGGGGGCAGTCGTGGCACCCACAGAGATTACATAGTCCCTCGTATTGGAGGGTAGTTCGTGTTTGTGGTTTTGGTATCGTAAGCTCCTTTCTAAGGCGGAAAGGATGCCGCCCTTCTGTAAGAGCTTATTGCTCGATGACGAAGTACTGCTGATGCTTTTGGCAGCCAATGAGTTTGCGGCCGTCCACTTGTTTTGCGTTTCTGCAACACCCAGCCTCAGAGGATATTCATGGCTGCCTTGCAAGTGTTTTAGTAATTGATTCAGATGAATTAACCAATCAGTTCGATCAAAAATCGCAGTGACGGTTGTGTGCATGGCTGCGGAGAAGCCACGCCCGAAAGTGTGCAAACAATTTGCACCAATCAATGCCGACCCTTAACTGCCCGGCCGGCCTAGGTAAACAGACGCCTGCGACCACGTTGAAGCCTTTACAAATACGTACTCGATCTTGCCCCATGATCGCCGATCACTGAGACTCGGCTCTTTTCTAATTATCAGGGTCCTTCATCAAACGACTTCGCCTGCATACTAACGCGCACTAACAGATAATAATAGCATGATTCTGACCGTCGTGCGGGCAATCCCACGAAAGCGGAATAGAACCAAACATGCACCCATCGCATTGATACGTAAACGGAAGCACCGGTCGAAGGAAGTGAAAATGCAGTACAGCAACTTGCAAACTTAAAAATGTTGCTACTCTGCTAGATTCCAGGCATGAATCCCATTCGTCCTATGGGACCTAAGTTTATCGAAGCAACGATGTCGTCCTTCTGCCGCCAGTGAAAACTATGAACCTACTTTTGATGATCTCGATCTGCTTTCAACACTTCGACTGACTCTACAAGCGACCTGCCCTACTACGCCCTGTCTACACCTAGCTAGACAAGCTCTACTAATTGTACTGGTCCATCATCTTCCGGATAAAGCTCAGAGTTTCCTTGATGTACCGCATGTCCTCCTTCTGCCGCTGCTTATGTATCGCTGCATGCACCAACGCCAAAGAAAGTTACAACGTCTAAAGTTGTTTTGCACTCCTCACCAGATATGCAACATCTTCAAAGGCTCCACAACGAGTGAGTTTTGACATAAAAGTCAACTTGTTCATCACACGCCTGCAATAATGCCTCTGGCAATGAAGAACCGTACAGCTGGCTTAAAGGCAAAACAAACTTGACAAACACGCAGTTAGATTGAAGCAACTGGTCTCGCCACAGGGATTGAGCAAAATCTGTTCCTGAACACTTGTGAAACGCTTTCCTGAAGATGGTTGCTTAATTGCAGGCCCAGTTGAGGGTGTCTGTAGATCCCAAACCTTGAAATCGGAAGCCCTCCACACCAGGGCCTTGACGCCAAAGGAGCCAACACTGTGAGCCCCCCTGGCCCCATTCGCATCCCTCTAACCTAAGAATTCCAGGTCTGGGACCAAGCCCGTCAAATCCAAGACTTCTCCAAAGGTTCGTCCATAATTATCATACTGTCCGGAGAGTCGTTCACCCGTCGGAGGCCATATATAAACTAAACTCTTTGATTAAGATACTTATTTGAAGAGTGACCCGGTCATCTAAAAGCCACCTCGGAACAAACAAATCAGCAAGCGCCAAGCAACTAGAGGGGGCTCACCGTTGTCCCGGATGGCCGCATCCTGCAGGTCGTTCCAGCGCTGCGTGGAGATGGCGAGTCGCGCCCAGAAGGGCACTTGCTGCATGCGCTTGAGGTACTGCCACAGCGTCTCCCCGTCAAACTGCCGCTCCTGAACCTTGACCACAAACTCCTGGTTGCTGCCCTCCACCTTGAGCCACTCCACCAATTCCTGCACATGCGAGCCGCTTGAAAGGTCAATTGATCAAGACCTAGAATCGGTTTCCACTGTACTTCACGATCCATTTTTGTAGCCCCTCGCCCAAGTCCTTGCACTGGCTGACTGCGTTGATCGCACCGTGAAAAGGCTAGACGTTATTTGCCTGGTTTCTGGATGTAAACTTTGTGGATATCGACCACCTGAAAAGTCCAGTACAGGTCAAATGGTCTACTCTAACGTAGAAGCAGCACGTTTACTTTTGACAAGTCCATAAGATAGAAACAGAGTAATGCACAAGGCAAGAAAGTGGCATCGGTAGGCAGCGGACAGGGCAGAAGTGGTTGACGGACTCTGTGGACTGGAGCGCTTGAGGCTTCAGTACAAAATGCGAAATTTCTCATATCTGAACCTTCTGCGCCACCAAATGAGCATGTTGTCGATTGGCTGAATGCGATCTGGAAGAGATTGCTTTGATTGTTGTACGTATGACTGCACTCAAGAGCTGAAGTAACTGAAAACATGGAGTAAAGGCATAAAAGAGCCCCAAACACCTGGTGATTGTACTGACATCAACCGCGTCCACTTTTTGAGTTGAACATGACTCTCTTATAAAACCTGAGGCTCATAGAATCGCTTTCCCAGCTCTTGAAGGGCTTGCGCACAACACCGAAAGTACCACCACACGTCGGATGCCCCAGCATTGATTAAAAGAGCATCGCAGCAACACATCATGCTCACCGGCGTTCTACAATCGCGCAACAAGGGCAATCCCTTCCTTTTGGGGTCCTGTTGAGATTGCCCACTTTCTGGTGGATGTTGTCCGCTGCCCACCAAGCGACCCACGTCCCGTGCGGCCTCCCCTGAGCCCTGATGTTGGGCCCTGCTCTCAGCTGGGGATGACGTCCAGAACCCCATCTTGCCACAGGTGGCGGGAGAGACAGACACTCAAAAATTTCAGCACAGGAGATGCCAGTGCATGTGCGCACAAGAGGTTGGCCGGGCTCTAGCTGGAGAGCGACTGGAACAGGCAATTCTCGACTTCGAGAACAAGCAGCCCTGTGCGCGCGCAGATTGTGGGGCCCGCCGGCGCCGCTAAGGCGGCCGCGCGCGGATCGGTTCTGTTCGCGCACCCGGCCGCGGACGGCGCCGGCCCGCGGCCAACGAGACCGCAAATAATGACGTCACATTGCCGAGTGAGTCCATCATGCATCTTGCAAGTCGCCGCATCGTACATGTGGCTCACGTGGATCCATGAAACGAGTACCAAGGCGAGAGCCCATGAGGTGAAAGTTAAACAGGTCTCTGGGTACGGTGTCTGTACAGATGCACGGCGCAACTGTGCTCAAGGAATCGAATGCAAACAGAAAAGTAAGACCATGCAGTGGGTCCCATGGGAGCTGTCTCAGCAGGCGGTACTAAGTTACCCAGCTGCCATGCAAATGAAACTTATTGCAGGGCCCAGGCAAGCCCTGACTCCCCTACAACGTCAAGAGCGGCTTCAGTTCTTAGCAACACTTCTTTCACTTCCAGCTGATTCTTTTAGCCGCCATTCAGTATCTTTCCTGCAGTGCGCCACCAGTAACAACACGAGCTTCAATCTTGTAAACCAGCAGCCCGCATTTGAAGATTTGTAAAGCAAGCTCCATAACCTTCGCCCACGTCCACTGCTCTCTGTATGAAGTGCGCGCAATACCACGCGCTCACAGGTATCCAGTAGAATAGACGCTCAAGTTTTCATTACTGGAGGTCTGCAGCTTACTGCAGCATTGCATCATCCTTCCGCCACAGCAGCCGCCGGCGCCAGCTCAGCGACATCTGCAATCTAGAGGAAGTCGTCAAATCATTGTTGCTTGCAGTTTTGAATAACAGCCCCACGCCTTAGCTACAGATGGAGAAATAAACAAAGCCCACATACTAAACAGGCTGGTGAGGATGTGCACATTCTCCTGAGAGCCTCCAGCTTATCATTGTCAACGAGCTCCCTTGCTCTCCGCTTGTGTTCTGAATCTAGTCGCCAGCATGACGGTGTCAGAGAAGGGGGCCCAGCCCAAGAGGCAGGTGACTGACACTGGCGAGCTGCGGCTGCGTCAGCTGGGATACAAGCAGGAGCTGTCCAGAACATTGGTGAGGGACAGGGAGAGCGCCCTTTTGCTTCCAAGCAATTTTTGCCAATAGAGTCCCCTCACCCGTTTCAAGAGTGTCCTGAGAGTTTTCAATGCTGTGTGCTTTACAAAACAAGGACTGAATGCGAAGCGCCTAGCATTTGAAGAGATGAGCCGCCTCAGTATCCTTGTTGCGATGGCTGTCCTTCTGGGCTCCGTGTGCTATTGGTGGTCCCCTCATCTTCTTGAGGATACAATGTAGTTTTATGCTGTTGCTCAAGTGTCATACTCTGGGTCAAGCTTAATGCTTCAGCTTTCATGAGCCTGGTTGTAATCTTGCAAGTACAGGAAACTGTGGCATGAGCTGAACATGACATTTGGTTTTGCAAGCGATCTTGAACTGGGGCGACGTATCTCTTTCTCAAGAACCTTAAATTGCAAGAGTGGCAGAAGTATCGCCACTAATCAGCACCTCGAAGTGCGAACATCAGGAACCCAAAAGCCCTCCTTTGCAAACGCCATCTTTCTGAGCTTATCTTCCAAACCCTTCTCATTTGTGCAGAATACGATGGTTAACTTTGCGGTCAGCTACACCATCATCGGCGTCCTGATGGGCATTACTGGGCTGTATTCCCTGGGCTTTGAGTACGGCGGCCCCGTCTCGGTGGTGTGGGGCTGGGTGGTGGTCAGCTTCTTCACGCTCTTCATCGCGGCCTCCATGGCGGAGATCTGCAGCAGCTATCCGGTGAGTATGTGTGGAATGAGGACGTTCACGTTGACATCTTTTATTCTTCTGTGTACTCAAGAATCGTTTTTTTCCATGTGACCACTTCTCGCACTCTAGGATCCCTATTTTTAAACCAAGTGAAGAATGCCCGGATCTTTATGAGGATAAAGTCTGCACTTAAGTTGGCGTTGGCGAGCTGTGCCCAAGCAATCATTTTGACCACTTCGGAAGAAGTAAATACTTGAGTTGAGGCTGAAGAAGAGCTGAAGAAGAGCTCTTTGTCAGTCAACATGTGCTCAATCAAGAAAATGCCTTTCTGGGGATGGCTGCTTCACTTCAGTAATGGAACCCCCTTCCCTCCTTTGCTAACCAGCCCCCATTTCTGCAGACGGCGGGTGGCCTCTACTTTTGGTCCTACAGCCTCGCCGGTCCAAAGTACGGCCCGCTCTGCTCGTGGCTAACCGGGTGGTTTAACTACCTTGGGTTTGTGTGCGGGATGGCGGCCATCGACCATATCGGCGCCACCATTATTTCCACCATGGTTGTGCTTAACACCGGAACCGGGTTAGATGGCGGTTATGTCGCAAGCAAGGAGGTCACTCTGGCATTCTTGGCGGGCATCCTCGTTTTGCAGGTGAGCAGTTTGCTTTTCTTTTGATCCTTCCGGATTTCCTACCATGGAAATCGAAGAGCTCCAGAATCGCAACAATGAACGAGGTTTTCTCCTTCTCACGTAACATTGCAAGACTCTTGATAGGAGTAGGAAACCAGGCTCCTAAAGCGAGGCTCCTAAAGCAAGAGCAATTTGAACGATCCAGGAATGAACCCAGATATCAGCTGACACGAGCTACTGAGGTTTTCCTTGGGACCAGCTTCGTTGAATGTCAGACCATTGTGAGACCAGGGCTCCTGTCAAAGACAGCTTGAAAGTGTTCCAAAGTACGCTTGCCAAATTGCCCCTACTGAGAGAGAAGGGCTGAACACGAGTAACCTCCATCAGTAACATCAAGCCTGAAGCAACAAGGGACCTTTGCAGGCAATCATCAACTCGTTCCACGTCAACGTACTTGCGTTTGTCGAGAAGGCCGCCCTGTACATCGAGGTTGGCGGCCTCATCATCATTGTGGTTACTCTCTTCTCCGTTGCTGGTAGGCTCCCTTCCGTCGCTTCTCCGGCTCATTGGCTCTAAAGCTTGCGTTCTGATGCTGCTCGACTTGCGGGGTGCGCATCTGGATTGTCAGCATTTCAGTGCTCCACACTCTGGATTTCAAAGGGATCCCTTCAGGCGAAGCGCCTTGGCCCCTCTCGAGATCTCGTCGCAAGTCGCTTCGTGAAGATCGATGTTCAACTTTCCTGAAACGCATCAAGGCGTAGGGCTTCGGGCAACTGGTTAGAAGACAAGTTTGATGTGAATACCCTCGTCTCTCACTTTCAGCGCGTCCCCGCAGACCGACGGCAGTCTGCCAAGTACGTCTTCACACACTACGAGCCCGCCGTCGATACGGGCGTCCACAATTCCTTCTACGTCTTCCTCTTGGGAATGCTCATGAGCAGCTTCACGCTGCTTGCATATGACGTGAGCCTTCTCAGCAACACGGTCTCTTCCTTCTTAAGCGGGGACGGCGCTCATTGTTTGGCAGCACCGCTATCGCTTACGGCACCCAACCATAACGCGTCTGCGAACTCGCTGGGGGCCTAGCTCTGAAACCCTTGAGACGGATAAAAGAAGTCGTTGTCGTCCTCAAAACGGGTTTAGTTTGTGGCCAGTTGCGGCCAGATCGAACCGGCAGAGATAGCCTTCCACTAATCAATTCTCACCCTTATCAGTTGCAACTTGTCTCAGTCGTTGACTCTGGCACCAGTAGGCCTTTCTGAATCCGTTTGATCACCAGCTTGTGAGGCAAAGGGCTTCGTTCGCTGAGACGTTCCCTTTCACCCCAGGCCGCCACTCACCTGACGGAAGAGACCGTTGGCGCCGACTGGACGTCGCCAGTCAGCATCGTTAGCGCAGTTGCCACGGCTGCGGTCGCAGGGTTCATCTACATCCTGACCCTGACCTTCTGCATCCAGGTAAGATATTGCCAGAGCGGAAAGCGCATCGAAAAGGTTGAGAAAGATAGAGTTGCAATTAAGGGTGGATGTAATGGGCAGAGCATGCTTTGCAGTGGGGAATGAAGGCGAAGGAGCTTGAAACATGCTTCGTTTTTGATGAACGACGACTCGATGAGTATGAATCAAGCTTGCTTTTCCACAGCCAATAATGCATTCTGGGATGAAATGGCTAAGTGAAAAGTCAAGCAGCTGTAACCTCTCCTTATAGAGACGTGAATCTGGTCTCCCTGATCTCTTTGCTTGAGCGTTCCCTCAAAACAGCCAAGGAACGTTCGCAGATTCACCTGCCTTACTTGGCGCCGGACCTTGGCCATTTCAGATTGCGGTTTTTCCTCTCAGAGTTCATTGCCTCGGGGGCTAAGCCACTGACCCAAACCCAGATCTTTAAAGTCTTCGAACCTTGCCACAGGATCCCGCCACTCTTCTCGACCCTGGCAATGCGACGGCCGGGCTAAGCGCGGCCGCGCAGATCTTCTACGACGTCTTTGACAGCGCCGGCAAGAGCCCCAAGGGCGTGATTGCTCTGCTCACGATCCCGCTTATGGCCAGCTACTTCAGCGGGATGAGCCAACTGGCGGCGACCTCGCGAGTGGTAAGTACGCTGGGTTGGTCGCCTTCTCGAAGGCTTGTGTGGATCGTTGGATTGTTGGGGTGTTGGATTTGTTCCCCGGCAATATCGCTTGCAGCTGCAGAGAGGGGTGAGAGAAGCAGCAGCGAGGGACAGTCATTCGCTAATTCAACCTTCCAAGTGATCAGGACCTTCTATCACACCGTCTATTCTTGCTGGCATGTGGATTGCCATCTCTCCCCTTCCGTTTATCCATCTTTTCCGTGCCCACTTCGGCCTCAAACGCGATACTAGTCAACGGTGCCCACGCCACTTGTTTCCGTTATCCGTTTCCGTTCCGCTGAATCCAAACCCCTAAACCGCGCGCAGCTGTTCGCGATCACGCGCGACAAGGCCATTCCCTTCAGCGGCTTCCTCCACTGGACGCATCCCAAGTCGAAGACGCCCATCGTGGCGGTCTGGGTGTCCGCGGCGCTCGCCTTCTGCTTCGCGCTCTTTTCGCTCAAGAGTTACATCGCATTTACTGCGGTGACGTCACTCAGCACGATCGGGTCCATGACCGCGTACGGCATTCCCATTTTCCTGAAGCAGCTCTTCCCGCACAACTTCCACCCGGGGCCCTTCAACCTCGGCAGGTGGGCCGCCGGCGCGCGGACAACATTTGCGCGCAGGTTTTCTGCCGCTTTTGAAACCAAACGGCAAGACGTGTTGGTCCGAAGGGCTCCTCTTGCTTGATAAAACGGTTACTTTGTGATGTTTTGGACCAGCAGACCGGCTGCTAGTTCAACCGGTTCAAATTGCTAGATCAGGAAACACGGAGATTCGAAAGTGTGTCGATCGAGGCTCTTTTGTTTGGAAAGTCGACTGACGCTCGCTCCAAGAAAAGCTTTACTCATGTATAAGCGACGGTAGAGTTTAAAAGCTAGGAGAGGTTGCCTGGTCCTCGTTCTCATTCAGGGGACCAACAGATCAGACGAGCTGTTCGAAGAAGACGTGCTTGGACTTTTGCCCTTGGTGGGTTACTGAGAATTTTCATTTTTTTCGTCTTGCAGATTCAGCCCCATCGTTGGATGGGTCGCGATTATTTACATCGTCTTCATGGTCGTTGTCTTCTGCCTTCCCACGTACTATCCGATCGACAGGTGAGAAAGGACGCCTCAAAATGATGTAGAATTGCGGAAATCAATTGTCATTTGCAGACACTACGCCGCCTCTTGCATACGTATCGGTGTTTCCCCGGGTCACGAACTCCGTGCATCTTGCTCCCGCGTTTCTCAATAGCACCACGCGTCTTTCACTGGTCATCAAAAGATTGCACCTCTACGTTCAGGCCACCAGATAGAATGTCTTATCCCTTGCCGGCTTCGCGCCGGGCTTCCGGTTGAGCGAAGGGGCATAGGTTACAGAAAGGTCAAGAAAAGACAAAGCAGGAACACTCCAGTTCTTCCTACACTTTTCTCCTCTGCACCGCAGCAACACGCTGAACTACGCCCCGGTCACTGGCGGCGCCGTTATCTTGGTCGCCCTCTTCCTATGGGTGATTGTCGCCCGGAAGCGGTACCTGGGCCCGGTACGTACCCTCCGAGCGGAGGACTCCAAGACGGACGAGACGTACTCGGGTGGGAACCTGTACCCTGAACCCGTGTACAAGAACGAGTACTCGGTGCACGGCAAAAGCGCCCCGGTGAAGCCAGCCGAGGCGGCCTAGAACGGTCAATTTGCAGCGTAGATAACAAATGTCAGAGTCCAATCGACGGTTGAGATTAGAGCGAGCGTGTCAGCCGAATCAAGGTGTCCTGAATTTATTCTAGGCGGCCTGGAATTAGCACGACCGGGGGGAGGTTAAGGTAACCGGCAGCAGACTAGATGCGCATCTGACTGAGAAGAGAGAAAGCGAGAGGCACGACGCCTGCGGGACTACTTGAGTTTCCTAGCGCAAAGGTCTTCCTTTTCTGCAGAGAGGGTTGAGTGTTGACCGAACAAATTGAAGTGAAAGGGCTCTCTAAGAGCACAAGAGACTGCACAGAGAGTTGAGTGTTGACCAGACGAGTTGATTGCAGTAGGACACAGGACAGCAAGTACACCAGTCAAAAGAGCGGTCACTTGTTTCAAAACGTCAGCGAGCAGGCTAGATTGAGAGAACACGACAACGTACTGGCCTGCCTTTACTTGCGAAAGCGAGACTACATTCGCTTTACTGAGCAAGTACTTCTCCCCAAGGTTACACTAGTGGGCATGGCCCGTAGGCGGGACAGAACATAGCTAGCAAGCTGCATCCTGATAGCTCAAATTGCAACGGCAGATTTTACCGGTCGGATTAGCGCCCGTGTTTTTCAGTACTGGCTCTCGAGCAGTGACTTTGATTTGTTCCGTTACATTCTTCGTCTGTAGCTCGCAAGGAGGACCACGAATCTCTATGCAACATATTCTGGCGCCGGCAGCTGAAGCTGTGATTGATGACAAGCATGCGCTTGAGTCATATGGATCCTGGAAGCATAGTGATTGACTAGCCTTCTATAATATTGTCACTCTTGTCACTGCTCAAGAACTGCGCACTGGATGCACTGGCCATGGATGGCAGCGGCCGCAGCTGTGAACGAACGCGGTCACGTGCCTAGCTACTCTGCGGCCTCTTTCAATTCGTCCTCCAAGCCCAAGACCCTGGGCCTGCCACGATCAACTCAGTCAGAACCGAGAACATTTGGACGTTAAACTGAAGGGCTTGAAGCCAGGTTCGTTTCCGGGGCGCGTCGCGACGCGCACCCTAAGGGTTTGAGCCGACGTGATTCATCGACCCTAGCTCATCGCTGTGCTTCTGCGGAAGCATTGGTTCAAGCCGTGGCGACGCGCGCCGCGCGCGCCCATCTGATGGCAGAATCGCCGGGAATGGTTGTTTGCAAGTCCAGCCGACAGGTTCTCAGAATTTGACGCCTTAAATCTAAGTCAGAAAGTCTGTGCGCGCGCGCTTCGAGGAACTGATTATGACTCCCATGGAGTTGAATGGTTGCGCCATGCAACACAGAGGCAAACACATGTGCAGACGCTCAACGAACATGCCAGTGCAATCGAGAATCTTGGCGCATGGCAAGACGATTCGACCGAGACCGTTCGCTGGCTGCAAGTGCTCATTCCGTCGGATTGCATGAGCTTCCGCGGTGAGGCAGCCAGAAAAAAAGCATGCACGATCGGTGAAACAGCTGTCGATGTCGAACAGCGGGTTGTCCTGAAATGAATATGATTACAGTAAGTGTTCGGATCGAAGCGGCCTGCTTCTCCACGTTTAACTGTTCAAAGCTTGAAGAGGGCCGGAGACTCTTGTGCGAATCGCCACGCCTACAGTGAAGCCAACACCTTTGCTGCCTGTTGATTCACAGCCTTTCATCCGCAAGATACAACCGGAAGCAGCTCCTTGACCTTCTCGGCGGATTCATGAGAAGCATCCGAAATTGGCTTTCCGTTCTGCTTTGTTTGCTCAGCATCATTCGCACCGCCGATTCTGTGCACCAGTCGAAGATGGACGCGTCAGGGGTCTTGAGGGACATCAACAGGGATGTGTCAAATAACCCGGTGACCATCTTCGGGTAAGCAAAATGTTTGTTGTCTGGGTTTTTCCTTTCTGCCGAAAGCTCATGCAGATGTTCTTCCTGCTTGGCTTTGCATCGAACACTCTCTTCTGCTCCTTTTTGCGAGCGCCCTTTCTGCATTGCTGATCCAAGCAACCGTTCGGACTCGGAAGAATCTATCTGTTGCATGCAGGACAATGCTGTAGAGTCCGTCTTCTTCGGGGATGCGTCCATGTTCTGAGACCCTTCTTTTGTCATTTCGAGGCGTCGAATCAGCCAAGCCCACATGCACCTTCCTTCGTGGGCAGTTTCGCCATGCATTGGCGGTGAATAGAGATTGCCCAATAAACCTGTCTCAAAATGTAAGGATCCAAGTGCACGTATCTGGCGTGCGCGCAGCACATGGCGGCAGCGGATCAAAAGTGACACGTGTCTCCTTTCCCTTCAGCAAAAGCTACTGCCCATTCACCAGGAGGGTGCGGACGCTCATGAACGAGCTGGGGGCCAACTTCAGGGAGAGGGACATCGACGTGGACCGTGAGTTTCCCGGGTTCTTGCATTGGATCCAACTTCCAGATTTGTGCGGGCTGACCAGACCCAAAAGTGATGCACAAAGGAGGTAGAATATGTTCGGATGGATAGTGACTTGTTTTACTCGCGGGAATAAAGCATCGATTTGCTTGTCCTGCTTGCACGAAAAGGTCCACCTTTTTTGAGAGATGAATTGTGAGGCTCCGTATCGGTGGGGGTGTGAGATCTCCTTCTGATGGTCCTTGAATCAATCCTCCTAACGTCCTGAAGAAGATAAATCTGGAGTAAGAACTAATCAGGACGACGAATGCTTGTGATTCATAGGAGCCGCTGGTATTTCAAGACAGAGAAGTTGAACGACTTTCAAAATTGGTAACGGACGTCCCGACTCAAACTGCTGCTTCGCCGAGATCGCTGCTGTCTACTGCTATGGATATCAGAGGGACCGGGTCGCCCAAAGACCTTAAGCGTTGCTCTTGTTGAATAGCGATTTCGCGGTGCAGCGGAGGGGTACCTGATGCAGCTCGTCCTGACGGAGCTTACCGGCCAGCCGACGGTGCCATACGTCTTCGTCAACGGCCAGTTCATCGGGGGTGCGGATGGTGAGGTTCCGTTTGTGGGTGCCAATTTGTTTTAACAGGTTTATTCGTCTTGAGAGAAGGCTTCTCTTTACTTCGTCAGAGAAGGCTTCGCGGAAAGAGAATGAGGTCGACGTGGCACAGAAGACTTCATATGCGAAGCTTTGAGGGTCAGAATCAAAATGAATGCCTCCCGGAGTGCAGTGTTTCTGAGACTTCGACCGGATCCAGACAGTGCAAAGGTGACGAAACTTCGTAACAAGGCTTTCGTCAGGGCAAGTGCTTTGCAGTGCAGATTGACAGCCTTTTGAATATTTCGAGGCTTCCATTTTTCTTTCCTGCCAGGTCTTCAACACGAGGAAGAAAGGGAATCTGAAACAGATCTTTGATGTTTTTCCAAACTTGCAGACACTCTCGCGCTGGCTGCAAGTGGTGAGCTGCTGCGTCTGCTGCGCGAAGCAAATGCTCTGTGAGAGTGGTTAGATCTATGAAACGGTAAGCAGAACTTAGAAGGTGCGTCGCTAGTCAAGAAACGGTAAAGTAGAGAACGCGATGGAAAGACGTGCGAGCTTCGCCTTTGATTTCGGACTCGGCTCAACATCTTCCTGTAAATAGGAGACAATCAACGTACAAGACTGGGCAGGAGGGACAGGATAACGGCTGGCGCGGCAGCTGAGGATTCGTTATCTGCGGTAAGGTCGTTTACAGCCGCCTGTTCTGCCAGCGGTAAAATCTTAAGCATGCATGAAGGAAAGGTGTGAGAAACGTTTGGTGGCCTTCTGACCGTTCTCAAACATGATTGATGTGTCTCAACACACTTTCTATTGCTCTGATTGGCGATGCATCGCTGCTTCTTACGTGGTCTTGAGCCGAAGCTAGCAGGGCAAATCCAAATCAGCGTTGTCTGACTACTTTACTATAGGAAGATCCTCATGCTATTGTTGTACTGACCATGCTGGGCGGTCATTGTCTGGATCTGCATTGTTAGAGCTGATCGAAGAGGGACTCCTACCTAGAATTAGGAAGCAGCCCTTAGCCTTGCTTTGAAAATTACGTAGTATGTCGCGGCATGGTTTGGTCCTTAAGCGTACGAAGCTGAAAACATTCACCTGCAATCCTGCAAGATGGGATTTTTGGGCATATTGCAAGTCGACTCCCGACTCCAAAAGATGCGAAAACTCCATGATTACGTCTCATGCCTAAATGCACGCACGCAACGCAACGCGGAAATAATCATTGAAGAAGCTCTCACTGCAGCCCCGTAAGACGTAGCTTGTAGCGCATGCGAAAGCCTTTGTACCTCCATTGATGCCACTTTTTCCGTCGCTCCCAGCTCGCGTCACCATTCGGCTGACTTGTGAGAACCGTCCTCGTTCTTCTACCTTCTGGAAGCCGCCAAGCTATTTTCGCTGCTGCACTCATGACTGGCGGTTCTTAAACAGAATGAGGGCCTCAGAACAACCGTAAATTTCTTAGGACATGTTCTCATCATCCATGATGACCTGCCGGAGCAGCCATGCCTACGGTCTGCCCGAAACTTGTTCGGCGTTAGACACGTTCGACTTTTGAAACTCAAAAGCCATGATTGAGGCAAAGCGAATTACATGCGAGACAGGCCAACACCTTGTCATAGAGGCCCGGTTAAGGTGCCTAACTTGTTTCTAGCTTGAACCGAGGACTTCTTCAATCTCACGTCAACAGAGGCAAAAAGCAATCGCAGCCCTCCAGAAAAGCTGGTGGGCGATGCCGATCTACGATTATCTTAACTCAGTAGGTCGTCAAAGTGACGTCAGTCGGTGAAGTGATGGTTTACGGCTCTAAAGCCGCGTGACCGACCGGAGGGCATCCTTGCCCATTATGCAGCCAGGCCATGCACTCCGAGAAGCCACCAAATGAACAAGCGGTGAACCGATCAGTCTCCCTGCGGGGGACCGTGGCTTGCCTAACCCGGCGTAACCCGTCAGATTCTAAAACTGTATTGAGGCATTGAAAACAGCAAACCCCCCTCAAACCTTAAAATTCGACTGGGACATGCCTGACCCACCTCATATTACCACGAGAAAGCACGTCATCACCGACTGACGAACCTTATTTTGCCGGAAAATGCGGAGCCCATCCGTGAAAGTGCGGAGCGACAGGAGCTTCTTCGACAATAAAAAGCAGTGTCTTGCGCCATGCATGCATGTAAGGCCGTGCGCAATTCCTGAATTTCAAGGTCCGTCTGAGACATCTGGCACGGGACCTTCCGCGTCGAAATTTGGCTAAGCCAATGGCCAGTCTAAAATGCTGAAAATTAACGGTCTGAAAAATTTGCTTAACCTTCGTTCGTGATACAACCCTATGGGTTCCCTTGGAAAGGCAAGCCGGCCAATAGAGCGTGATTTGTGAAACCCCGCGCGCGCTCTCGAGATTTTCGGGTGATCCAGGATACAGCTCGGTACTACCGACCGACAACAAAGGTCCAGCCCACACGTTCTATACACGCAGCCCGGGTGAAGGCGCGGGTCATATTTTCTTAGTGCTGCAGTACGTGCTCTTCAAGGATTTTTGTTTCCAGCAGGACTTCCATATGTAGACCTTGCTTTCAGGAGATATGTTTCTTGTCTTCCTGGCTCGACCACCTAGTGGGCTTTGACGGTGCTTCACTCTGGAGAAATAATCATCCAATCTGGCATTTTGACTACAAGCATACGTAGACATCCCGAAGATCATGCATAAGATACATAAGAAGCAGCTCCCTTATCGTGTGTCCTCTTCTTAAGGACTACGGTCAAAGGCTACAGTCTGCATGTGCCGCCATATGAGTACGCTGCTGCGGAGCAAAATTAGCTGCTGAGGCTGAATCAACCAAGAATAGACGAAAGATGGACACCTCGCAGGTATTCAGGGCCATCAAGAAGGACATCTGCGAGAACCCCGTTGTGTTTTTTGGGTAAGGAGAGACTCTGACTACTCATGCACGATCTGGAGCTTTGGAGCCAAGCTTCGTGTCGGCTTGGTCTGAGAGATGTGGTGCCAAGGAAACTGCAAGCTGCATCTCTCCTCAATGATCCTTTGCCAAATGATCCGCGCGTAAAATCAGTACCCAAATGTGCGCGCGCGTCAGAGTCTCTGACTGAGAAATGCTGAAAGATGCACCGTTGTTTCCCGTTGATTGAAACAATTCAACCTGGATTCGGAGCAGAGAAATGTCAAAAACCTTGGCACGATACACCCGTTGAGGGAGATCAAAAGGCCAGAAATACTTGTCGCTCGAGAATCATGGGCGTTCCAAGAGTCAAGGCAAATTCACTCTATCAGGTTCATGCTGCACTGCTACTTTACGCGCCGCTCAAAGCGCCCGTATATCCTGTCTATCCCAGCAAATCCGACTGCCCATTCACCAGACGGGTGCGAGAGCTCTTCGACGAGCTAGGGGCCAAATACGTTGAGCGAGACATCGACGTGGACCGTGAGCGATCTTGGTTTTCACTGGACCCCTTCTCCCAGCTTAGTTGGGACGATTTTGCTGCCGGAGGATTTTCGAAAGGACCGAGCGAGTCCGTCCCTGTTTGGAGATATTCTGATCGCTTCTGGATTAGTCCCCGCTAGACGCCTGGGCTTTAATCTGGTCTTGACGAAAGAGGATAAAATACTTTGCTCGCATGATTGAGGTGTCATGATTTTGGGATGCTTCGAAGGGGGGCTGGACTCTGCATCTCTTGAAGTGGAGCAGTTTGGTCGTGTTGTCATCAATGCTTCAAGGGTGATTTTTCGGTCTCGATTCCACGATTCTGTAGAATCTTTCATAGCGGAGTTCAAAAACATCGACTCAGAAACAGCTTTGTCTGCACGACGCCGGTAGGGCAAGTCATGACTGCGAGGCTGATCCCGTCACGCTTGCGCCCTCGTCTGATGTGCAGCGGAGTGGTACCTGATGCAGATCGTCCTGACCGAGCTCACTGGGCAGCCCACAGTGCCGTATGTCTTCATCAACGGCCGTTTCATTGGGGGTGCCGAAGGCAAGTGTTCTCTTATCAATTTGAATTCGGATTGCTGAGCGGTCTGGCTAGAAGCAAAACTCTGAGGACTGGCGCGGAATTGACGCATCTCTCTTCCTATTCAGACCCTGTCGAGGATTTAGGTCCTCATAAGGGTGCTTGATCAAGTTGACTGGTCAGACGTATGCTGCTGGGAAGTTGGTTCAACACATTTGTAGTGCATCTCACCATCAACTCCTGCATCTGCTGTGCCTGATTCTCAAAAGTACCGGACGGTTGTCACTGGCGCCAACTCTTTGTGCACCCTTACTTTTGCATCCAGATACCCTGACTTTGGCTGCAAGTGGCGAACTGCCGATCCTGCTGCGCGAAGCCAATGCTCTTTAGTCTAGAATGTTTTGGTCCTATTTAGAAATTAGAGGGGTCCTTCTTCAATGCTGTGGAATCTTTAGGCGGAAGTAGCTACTGATTCGAACGCCATAGAAACTGCCCAGCAACCTGAACTTGCTCTTTACGTGGCCTCCACCGTTGGGCCTCTGCAGATCAAGGTACTTGATAGCTTGCTGCAGTCTGCACTCATAGGATTACCAGTCTCGTCAACGTCTTACGTCGACTGACGTCAACGTCAGTCTCATCAAGCTTGTCTTCTTCTAATGCGGAGATGCCAGGCACGGCGACGCAATGATGCGCATCTAACGTTAGAGTGGCCAACAGGATTGGATCATTAAAGCTCCAAGTAGCTAGACTTGTTTCAATCCAGTCCAATCTTTCATTTCAGATCATTTATAGGGAGGCCGTGGGGATCGCCGCCCTTGTAAAGAAGGATTGCCATCATGCATGATGGGCGGTTCGTTGTTCTGCATATATGCTGAAACATCATGGATTCGTCGTCAACATAAATTAAGTAACAAGTTTGACTTCGATGAAGGACTCAATCTGAAGACGACATCTGATGTTTACTTTCCTTCAGGAGGCAAATGCTCGTGTACACAAGGTTCGTTGAATGATCGTCAAATTGGCCAAGTCGCATATGCATGTGCTTACGTGTATACACTAGTGCGGTTCATTGCTCTTCACTGTCAATCAACGGGGGCCGCGATGCATCCTTTGGAGAAGGCGGCAAGATTCGATATTTCAAGGGGATCTCATGCAGATTTGATATAAATCCGTTCAAAGCGGGCACGACTAATCAATGCTACATAATCGGACTGAGTGCAGTGACTCTTTACACCAAAGCTTAGTCGATTTGGCTCAACTTTCCGCTCGCGGTTTCTTAAAAGTCGAGTACCTTATCCCTTACCCAATCCCTTCACCAGCCGGCAGGCCACAGGCCCATCTATTAAGCGGCTTCAAGGGCTCGAAGCGATTAAGTGTCGGTATTGGAACGGCAAAAATCATGTGCAACTGCACAATCCTGCCTTCAATGTTACGTACCCATGTCGAGTTCGGTTGCAGCTAACCTGGTCCCCGCGTATAACAAAATGCGCCGTCTTATGACAGCAGTCCAATTGAACGATCCTTGAATGTCCCCTCTCGATTTACTACCGTAGGTGGCCCGAATACGGCACGAATCTAAATTACAGGAGACGAAGACGGTCTTCATCTCAGATCCTCTTGAATAAGGCCTTGGGCACAGTCCAACATAATTACAGGTGCCCTTGAATACATAAACCTCCCTCCGAAGGGGGGCAATCAGAGTGCGCCCACCGGAGGAGCCTTCCGGTTCTCTTCCCCGTGCACTGTCATCTCGTCCTTGTAGTAGTTTTCCCCCGCGAAGCTTTCGTCGGTGGTTATGGTCCGAACCGGGCCCTTGTAGTACTTCCGCGCGCTCGCGAACCACAGGATCAGCGCAACCAACGTCACCGCCCCGGCAGTAACGGGCGTATAGTTGAACGTGTTGCTGTGGATAGAGGTTCGAGACGGTTTAACGCACGCTCAGAAGGAGAGTACAGCACGTCACGCTCCTGTGTTTCGGGTAACAGTACGGTGGCAGCTCCGAACGACGCCCATGAACAGTTGATAACGGTTGCGACCCAGGTTGCTGTCGTCAGATCTCACCACTGATTCCAGCCTCAGAATACTTTTACCCGATGGGGATAATTGAGACCGTCAGCTGTGTGGGCCATCGCAAAACCAACCGTGAAACTTGGCGGGAAAGTTTCAGGATTCGAGAGCATAAAACAGGGCTTTGGCTGACAAGCTGCCTTCGTGGAGGGACTCAAACTTGAACCTTCGACATAACACAAGGATCTAAACGCGACAAACTCCACCTCCAGGGATCCGACATCATCCAAAGTTTCCCTCTTGGCCAAGGAAGGAAAAGTCTATTGCGGATGCTTTTGCTCACCTGTCGATCGGATACGAGATGGGCAGGCAGAACACGACGCACATGAAGACCATGTAAACGACGGCGATCGTGCCGCTGACGTAACTGAACCTGTAAACGTGAGCGGTCAAGGTTACAAGCAGGGTCCACGTGGGCTGTAAACATTTGTCTACCCAAACTCTGCAGCGGCTTGCATCAGCTTGCAGCAAACCTTGGCAAGCGGTTCATCAGGACGATGTTCCACGGCTTTTCGAAATAGATTGCATACGAGATGGGCCGTCACAACACTGCGATTACGATACAGGAGAGGACCCTTCGTCGAAAGAAAAGACTGCGAAACGCATGCCTAGGAACAGCTACCAAACTACCGGCTCTCCCGGCTCGGCCCCTAAAACTTCAATCAAGCTGTCAACTCTTGATCCTTTGCATCTGTAAAACCGGGAGGTCGAGTACACAACAGTTCCCGCAATGAGAGTTTCTTGAAAGCCACACAGCCTGGAGTCCCAATAATCACAAGATGCAGAAACCCTAGAAGCGTCATCAGAGAAGCGCTCACCAGCCCAGGTGGAACGGCCCCGGGTGGAAGTTGTGCGGGCACACGAGGCGCAGCGCGATCGGGATCGTATACGCGATGTACGCCCCGATGGTGCTGGCTGACGTCACGGCATTGAATGCGATGGAGTTCTTGAGGATGAAGAGCGAGAAGCAGAAGGAGAAGAAGACGGACACCCAGACCGCGACGATCGGCGTGTGCGTGCTGGCCGGCGACCAGTGCAAGAACTTGCTGAAGGGGACGGCCTTGTCGCGCGTCACCGCGAAGAGCTGCGGGAGGGTTATGGTCCAGGTTAGTGTACTATAACGCGGAGGGGTTACGGCAAAGTTCCCCCTTTTAAACATTTACCAGCGGCTTCAGCAACTCTGAAGGGGACGGCCTTGTCGCAGGTCACCGCTTACAGCTGCGGGGGGGTTACGCTGGTTAGTGGACCACTAACCAGAAGTACTCGTAATCAGGGGTTTTCACGGCAAAGTCTTCTCCTCGGAATATTGTCAACGATCAGCTTCAAGATGTGCTGAAGGGGTCGGCCTTCACAGCAAACAGCTGCCCAAAGCCAGGAAACCACGTGACCCAAGACGGGTGGGTAGTTTGCCCACCAGCGTGGCAGCTTAACCCAGGGGTTATCCAGCCAAGATCCTGACTGCTATTTGGGTTCGGACGACGATCTTCAGCAACTCAGTGCTGCCCAAACGACGCAAGGTCTGCCATGCAGATGATTCGCGTCAATCGCGCTGCCATGACATGCTTCAGCCCCCTTGAGCCTTCCGGATCTCAGGGTTAGCAAGATGACATGCGCGTGTTACGAGGCGGTTAGGGACTGACCACTCGGGACGTGGCCGCCAGCTGCGCCACCCCGCTGAACCACGCCGCCAGGAGGGGGATCATCAGCAGTGCGATCGCGCCCTTGTACGTGTGACCCTTGCTGACGAAAGCGTCGTAGAAGATCTGCCCCACCGCGTTCAGACCGGCCGTCGCATTCCCGGGGTCCAAAATCGTCAAGGGGTCCTGCGGAAGCCGGAAGAGCGGAGTGAAAGGCGTGCATAAATGAATGCTGCATTACCAGCGCCAAAGATGCCCTCTTGATTGCGCACAGAACGGGGCGCAGATGAGCATTGGCGGCAAAGACCAACTTTGCAAATTCTTAAAAGTGGTCGTTAGGACAACGTGCGAAAGTGAGGAGGCGCGAAAATGGGTTCCGTTGGTTCACTTGCGAAGCTCGTCTTGCCACCAGCTGCGGGAAAAAATGCTTCTTCCAATGCTCTTTTGCCTTTCCTCCGTTCCAATTTGCCTTATCTCGAGTTGAGCCGCTACCCCGCCCAAAAGCGACCAGTTTTGCTTTGTGCTTCCCCATCAAATTTGTATTCGCAACAGCCCAGAGGACAGCCAGAGGATCCAGCTCGCCCGACACGGCATCACGTCAGCATCCTTCAGTATGCTCGATGGACTCCTTTTACCACTTAGAAGAAGCGGCTCAGATCAACGCTTGGCCCGACTGTGCAAAGCAGCAGGCCTCAAGAGCCGCTGACGTCATCTTTACGCCGAACGTACAGCAATAACGGAAGACGTCAGTTGAAAAGCTCCGCTTGCCAGGAACCGTCCCCAGAAACCGAAAAGGCTGCTGACGTGATGCTGACCTGGATGCAGAAGGTGAGGACGAGCAGGTAGAGGAAGCCCGCAACAGCCGCGGAGACGACGGCGCTGACGATCATGATCGGCGCGGTCCAGTCGGCACCGACCGTCTCTTCCGTCAGATGCGTCGCGGCCTGCACAACGATTCGCGATCAGAATTTGCAAGAACAGCAAGACTGTGAGCCGTCTCAGAAGGTCCAAGTATGCGATCTTTTTAATTTTGTAATTTGAGGTGTGAATAGATCTGGCTAGGTAGGAGTTCCGGGCGGAGCAGTCAGCAGTTCTATGCAGAAACGTCGACGTCAGGGAGGAAGATATCTTCGCTAAAGGACCACGGCTCGAGCTCGAGTGTGGTCACTGGGGGCAGGTAAGATACCTTTCTACGATCCGACTGTGCCACATACGGCATGGAAATTGCCGGAGAAACCGCCTGCTGAGGGAAATCGAACTCAAAGATGGTAACGAAAGGTAATTTCCAATAGTTGCGAGCCGGGTCACTGCGCTGCACCTCACGCACACGGCTCCCTGCCATTAAGTATAGGACCCATTTTCAAAGACGTTTAGCAAGCCATCAAGCGGTTCTGAAACCCCGATGACCAATTCATATGAAACTCGGAATGCAATGGAAAGATGCAGCTGGCTGTCGTGGAGCTAGACTCTAGCAACAGATTGCGACAGACTCACGTCGTAAGCCAGGAGTGTGAACTGGCTCATGAGCAGGCCGATCAGGAAGACGTAGAACTTGTTGTTGACGCCGGTGCCTATCGCTGGCTCGTACTGCGTGAAGACGAACTTGGCGGACTGCTTGTGGTCTGCAAAACAATTCGCGTCATTCTCGTGCGCGCTCGACAAAACAATGTGTCCGCAGTAGCTTCGCCTTTTCCTGCGAGCGCTACGAGTCCAGCTTGCCCGACCGGACGATCCAGGATGACAGGAGTCAATGTCCGTTGAGGAGCTTCCAAGAATGCCAGATTTGAAGCAGCGAATCAGACGTTCATAAAAGTGGCGGCTATACGTTGGGTGGAGTTCTGAGCGCTTGCTGCCGGACCTTCGCAATCCAGTAAGGACTGATGAAAGTAGACAAGCGTCTCGTAGGCGAGGAGATCAAGTAGAGCCCTTTGAACCCATGTGGAAAACGGGTTCAAAATTCGATCGCGACCTGATAACATGGGCTCCGTCAGCGCGCAAGCTCGTCGCCTGAAGTAGCTGAAAAGCGGAGCAAACCCGGAACGTACGGGCGGGGACTTCTTACCTGAGATTGACAAAAGGGTCACACAGATGATGATGAGGCCAGCGATCTCGATGTAGAGGGCCATCTTCTCGAAGACGGCGAGGAAATTGACATGGAACGAGTTGATGATGCCCTGCAAGATAGAAAAACGTTGTCGCAAACAGCTCCGAGCTCGGATCACAAACTTGACCCCCCAATAGATTGACGCCTAAAAGGCCCGTGCCAAACAGCTCCGTTGACATGTTTAAATGTGTTGATACTTGTTGTTGATAAGGCACCACTTTGTACTCTGGGCACAATCGACGCTTACAAGGCCTGTGCCAATCGGGCGTCACATAGACGCTTAGGGCATATATGGTGCTCTTTTAACGCCAAACAAGTGCGTTGATTGGCGCCAAGCTGGTTGGCACCTTTCTGCCCACTGAAAGGCACCAATCTGTTGGGGGGGTATGTTTCTGATATCAGCCGCTCCTATCTGGCTTAAGAGTTTTAGTTTGACTCAAACCAACGAAAATCTGAATCCTTATCAGGGAAGCTGTCTCTGCGAGAATGCTAAGATCGTCACACTTGCACATGGTAGTACTCGTCGCCGTCTTCCTTTACTGCTCTCGTCGAGAACCTCACCAAATGCTGCCGCGTTTTGCACAAAGGACCGACTTCCTCAAACCTACCATTTGCTCGCGTAGAAGCGTTCCATGTACGAGATTACTTCTAACCAGAGACAGACACGGGATTCGATGAATGCGACGATTTACCTGAAGGATAGCCAGGATTGTCATGAAGAGCAAGATCATTTCCTTGGTCGCCACGTAGCCCGTCTCTCCCCCGGGGCCGGTACTTAGAACGATCTGTGTAGCGATGACATTGGCCCCAATGCTGTTGATCACTGCCATCCCACAAACGAAGCCCAGATAGTTGAACCAACCCTGCAGCAACACAAATTATTGACGGTTTGGGAGCGCAATTCTGCCAATGCTAATCTTCATCGGGGTGCCCTGCTCTATGACCGAGAAAGAGTGCATGTCCTCTTTTGTGAAGAAGAGCAAAGACGCCCGGGCTGGATAGTATTGACGAAGTCCAAAAATCGTTTGCTGACCTCAGCCGATCGTTTCCTCCTCGCTATGCCATGCAAGAGTCCCTTTGGACATCGACAAAAGTTGTTGGGTAAGCCTAGTCTTATCTGGTGACCACAACCCGAGGGAGAGACGGCAAAGGGAATCCAATGATCGTTCGTAGCGCATGGGACAACTGGAGGATGTGAAGTCTACAAAAGCTCTTGGGTAGAGAAACACATGCATATAAAGATACAGCGACGACCAACCTCTCCGTTTGTCAACAATAACCACTACCCACATCAATACCCACTCTGCGGAGGTACTTGGGTCTTTGACTTTGCAATTGCTAGCCTACGACTTTTTGAGACCAACCCATGTAAGTTGGCACAGCTTCCTGAGCGAGTTCGCTACTTCCATGCAGCCACTATGTATAAGAAGAAATTCGACTCACCGTGATCCAGGACGCAATAGGGCCCCACTTGGGCCCCGCCAGGTGGTAAGACCAGAAATAGAGCCCTCCAGCCGTCTGCAAAAAGAGTTTGTAGAATCAGCACCACAGCGATTGCAGAACCTGCATGGACTTGTGACCTATGGAAAGGCGGACGTAAGGGGATATTCAAAGTATCGGTAGAACTTGGACATGAGAGTTTTCCGATTGACGTCCTCTGCGGAACACTTTAAGAGGCCACATGTTTCCGTCAAGCTGGATCAAAACCTCTCGAACACAGAAATTCATTCAAACGGCATAGGAATCATCGTCATCGATATATTTTCAAGCCTAAACAACAGGACATGAGCAGAAGCTTCTCTAATAGATACTACCCATCAGACGGAACAGAGATCTTTTGGCAGGAATGACAATTGCGTGAATGCAGCACATGCGGCAAGTTGCTCTGAGAATCTTATGTGAGGTCGCAATAGTGCCAAAGCCTGCATCTTTTGATCTGGCTTGCCTGAAAGCAGTCACATGCAACCTGCTTCAGCTTGCTGCTGTTGCAGCCCAGAACACAACATGGAAGAGATGTCCAGTGACTGCCCATCACATCAGAATTAAGCACTTGGCTAGCAAACAAATCGCCAACCACACGGAGGGACACCAGCTTGCAGGCTCACTGCCTCAAGATTTCTTAAAAGGAGATCACTAGTCCGCATTTTGTCCAAGTCAAGATTGACATAGAAAGAAAACGTGGAACCCTGAAGGAAGAGGACACATACCGGCAGGCTGCTCGTGAGTTCGGCCATGGAGAGCGCAATGAAGATGGAGAAGAACCCGACGGTGACCCAGCCCCAAATGACCGACACTGGACCGCCGTATGAAAAGCCCAGGCTGTACAGTCCCGTGATCCCCATGAGCACACCAATGATGGTGTAGCTCACGGCAAAGTTGACAATCATGCCCTGCACACAGAACATTTTAATATGAGCTTGATGGGACCCCTCTACCCCAGAGCAACAAACCAGACAAAAAAGATGTCGATGCTGGAAAGAACCAATGATTTTGGATCGGGTTTCAGAAAGTGAACTTGCATGGTTAGGGGGGATGCGCCGAGCTTGTTGGATGGTATCTTCCTTCAAAGACTTTCATTCGCTTGTGACTGGGGGGATCTCATGGGCTCATGTGTCAGGCAGCCAACATGCTTTTGTGTTCAAGGTCAGACAAAGTCACAGCAGAGCGGCTGCAAAACCTGCGACTGCTTCCAAACGGCTGCCAAGAAAAGCCAGCGGACTTTCTCCTTACTGCTCAAGAAGCAAGGGCCACATGACTCTGTCAACATAGGCAAGTGCTGATCATCCATCCTAAAACTGTGCAATCCAGAGTAGCAAGAGTTGGAGCATATGCATCGGGAACTTGATCCTGAGGGAGGGGTTGACAAGGTGCGAAAGCTCACCAAGGTCCTGCTCAACTCCTGCTTGTACCTGTAAGAAAGGGGCACTTCAATCAGCAGTTATCATACAGCTGTCCTTGCATTGTTTCTTGCGGATAGATCTTCTACACCAAGGTGCACTGCATGTTCCCAGAGTGGTGGGCTTTCCAAGCGAAACTAGATCTCAATGTGGGTTCCTTGAGAATGACAGCCCCTGCTTTTGGCAAAAAGAATGTTTGGTGCGTCTTCAGTTCTGCTTGCACATTGCAGCAAGCTGATCAGGGTATGTGAGACAAATCCCACCTTGGGCTTTCAGCATTTCTCCTTCAAGAACTGAGCTCAGATGCACACAAGTCAAGAACCAGGTAGACTTACCCCAGCTCTCTGAGTCTCTTCTCCCCAGTGTCAGTCACAATCGCCTTGACCTTCTTGACCTTCCCCATGACCCCATGCGCTGCAGAACCAACATCAACCCCCATCCTTCCTCGCTTGAGAGATTCCGCAGGAATTTACAAGCTGTAACTTAGGGAGAGCACTATAAGTAGTCAGCGTGATCCCTCAGCTGTATAAGGAACAGGCTGCTACCTCCAAAGGGTGTACTGCACTATGTACTGCTGCCTTTTCTTGAAAGCGATGTGCAATGTTGAGACACCCAAGTGACAGCCCTTTTGCTCGTCCTAGCAATCTTTCAAAGGGCCGCCGCTACTTAGATGAGAACCTGCAAACCTCTGCTACTACCTTAGCAGCTGTTTTGAGACCTTCAAGATCGTTTTTGTGGCTGAGCCAAGGCAAGAGCTGCAAGCTGCAGACAACGTTCAAACAACTTTGCAAGGTTGCCGATCCCTATCAGAATCTGGCTATCAGGGGACGCAGCTTGCTGACTACGGTACTATTACTAGGTAGCTAGGACTAGTCTTTAAGTTCTACGGGATGTGGACATCTTTAGCCTTAATAGGTAGGGTTTGCAATCTGCAGGATCCCTCTGCAGACTGAGACAGACTGCGGACTGCAGTGCAGATCGCAGGGAGGACCGCGCTAGTCTGAAGCTAGTCATCAGTTCTGCAGATCGGAGCACTTGAGGACGCGGCAGCTCGTGTGGCGGTACGCACCGTGTGTAAGCAGTCGGGGCTCCGTTCTGTTTAAAACGGTACGTACCGAGAACCGGCGGTGACCAGCAAGTTGGCCCACTGCTTCCGGAGTCCGAACTCGGAGCCCACGAGATCCACATGGGTTTAGGCGCCAGCTTCCGCCGGCTGCAATCTTGCGACTGCAATCATGCGATGGACGTCATCAAACTTAATCTCGTTATTGGTTTCGTTTATCGTAATGATCAACTTGACTTTATGAACAATATCAGTCGAGATATTGAGTTTAATTAAATGAGCTCCGACTAACACTAAAAAACCCTAACCAAAAAAGATATCTGCTCCGCACCCTTACCCACCCTAAACCACCAGACTAACCCTACCCGTCATATCAGTGCGGTTAGTTTTTACCCAACATTTTTTACCGCTTATATTAGATATATATTTCTTGACTTAATACAATCAACTTGACAATCCGTCGTCAAATTGGCGGCATGATTACCGGCGAAAATCTCGATGCATCGCGGACTCCCGAGGGGTTATGTACCGGTAATATTTGCGGTCTTGAAGGCTAACCCAGGGCTTAATACGCGGAACCCAAGCCTTGGTGGTTATCAACCATGCTGGGTCACAGATGCATGTACAAGTTCAATTGGGAGAACTACCGGTAGCTGTTGCCGGACATTGAGCAGGGCGACATTGAGCAGGGCTTGTTGCACTGGTTAAAAAACAAGTTTCTGAAACCCTCGCCATAACCCTTCCGTCAAACCAGGTCTCGTCCCAGAAGTGCCACGTGCTTACTACCGACTGGTCGTACAATACACAGTCACCACACTAGGACTAGGTATACCTACCTAGCTAGGACCAAGCTGCCATGGGGCCGGGATGATGAAGCAGACAGACGCAAGTAGTACAAAGAACTCAGTTGTAAAAGTGTTAACAAGCAGGTGTTACCTAGGCCGATATCCTCAGCCGCACGATTTGTGTTCGCCCGTACCACTTTTCGACCGTGATTGCATCTCCAAAACCATGTGTACGACTACCGGTACCGGGAGAGCCAAACATCCTCATCGCGGTACTAGTACCTACCCCTAACCAAGCTAGGCTGCGCAGTCCCGGGCTATGACGTCCATCCCTCCGGTCAAAACCACCGGGCAATGTAGGCAAGGGAAGGCTTTAGAAGTTTAGGCCTGGGTAAAGGGGCTAGACGCCTGAATCGTTTCCAACCAAGCCCGGTCATCTCATCCCTGCACTCCTAGTATCCATCCGGTTCAAATAAGTGGCTCGGTGACCTAGACTGTAATGACCTGGAGTTTCAATAGCTGAAGTACCGAGCATTTCCTCCGGTCAGTATGCTCAGACACAGATAATTCTAGGGGGTTGGAACACTTGAGGTTTGATGTTCACACTTTTACAACTGAGTTCTTTGACCACTGAGATGGTGCTGGGAATCGAAGGGGATGGGGTTTGGCCGCTTCGCATTGCTTCTGTGGCACCAGAGGCTGAGCAGACGAGCCTGGGCATTCCGTTTGTAAGCACCGTCTTGAGGAACGCAGAATCACGTCTGCGTCTGTGCCCAGAACTCGAGGAAGGTTTGCATGCTTGGTTTGAGAGGAGTTTGAGGTTCAAGGGGAGATAGTAGCAATCTGTCACGCCTTGTAAAGGAGCTGTGAATTCCCTGTACAGGCAAATGCATGCAAACAGCCTGGTTGCCTAGAAATGAACGTTCAGAGAGGAAAAGGGAGCCTTTTGGAATCACACTGTGGAGTGTGAAATCCTCTGTGCTGCATACAGCATAGCTTCTGGGGCCAGTTTTGCTTGTTATTGAAAAGAAGCAGAAGACTATGGATAGTAGTTAAGAAGAGGTTTACAAGCAGCAGAGGTCTGCGTAGTAACACCTACTCAGTGTGAGCTGCCTCCAAATGCAATAAGGCGTCAAAAACTAAACATGGCAGCCTTTCATCCCTCAAAGACTCCGGACGTAGCAGCAGAGAGTATTCCTAGCATCGCCTTGACGAAGGCGGCTAATATTGTTGAATCCGGAACTCAGAACCAGACCAATGAGAAAGCAGCCCCGTCAATACCACACGACCTGCGGCCAGCAGGTGACATTAGCATCCGCACCCGGAACGCAGACCCTAAATGCGAGCGGCACTATGTGATTGTCGTGCACGGCACATTCGACCCCCCTGCCCCAGATGAAAAAGTTCCAAAGTGGTACCAACCTGACCCAGAAAACCCCAAGAATTTCTGCACCATTGTTGGGGAAAACTTGGAACACCTTCCCCTGGGAAAAGATGCGGTGTGGCGGGACCTGCCTGTGCGCGCCCCCCCAAAGCTGCGATCGTTCTGCTGCGGATTCATCCCAGCAGAACAGGAGCAGGAGGTTCCGTACCCCTTCCATTGGGATGGGAGCAACACGCATGCAGGGAGGATTGCAGGGGGGCGCCAGCTGGCGGTGCTTCTTAACACCATCGGGAAGAACGATCCGGCAGCAAGGATACACCTTGTGGCGCACTCGCACGGGGGTAACGTGGTGCTCGCGGGTGTGGCGGTGAGGGGCGGCGCTGGGCTCATTGTGCTACTTTGGAGCTTTTCATTGGGTAGCTTGGGACTTCCGCTTTGTGCATCTTATCAAGTGGAAGTGAAGGTCGAAGCAATGAAGGAGCTTTCCTTGGTTTCTTCTTGCCTCCACGGTAGAGTAGATATACTTGGCCTCTTTTCTATCGTGGCTTCAACCAATGCATAATGCGCGAAACTGGTTAAAGCCACAATTCCCAACCTGGAAGAATATGGAACAAGCCAATAAGCATCCGAAGGGAAAGTTTGCCCGGTGGCTCTGTTTGACTTTCTCCAGCTTGACTTTGTACAAAGACCGTAAACCATTCCTTTAAAATGGTTGCTAATGATCTGTCTCTGGGCCTACAGAAGTACCTGCGTATCCTGCGAAAGGAATCTGGCCAAAACTACAACGACGACATCGAAGCAGCATTCTGGAGGGACGCCAAGCAAGATCACGACGAGATTGGCAAGCCCGGGAAGATCACAGACGTCATCTGGTGGTGGAAGCTGAACCCGTTCTTAATGGTGCACCGGTGAGGGGCCTTCCCAAGGCTCTGAACACTGAAATTGGAATATGGCGTTTCGGGGAAACCTTTTAGTAGCTAGGACCTTTTAAAGGCTTTTTGTTTGTTACTTACGCGTTAGTTTGTTGAACCTGGCTGGCTTAACCAGACTCATGATCCAGGAATTTTGGAAGAGTGGGATTGTGCGACATCCCAAGCCATAGTCACAGGACGTCTGGAACATCAGACCAGCCCAGTCGTCGATGCAGTCAGGCTTGGGTAGAAAAGCGATGATACTCATAAATAGAGGCCAATATCCACGAGTAATTTTCAGCATGGTCTTGACTGTCCAAATGTCGGAGAATCAACCCTTTTTCGGTGGGCTTCTCCACATTCTAGAAGCCCTGACCCCAGGTCTATCTGCGCAGGCCGTTCCCAATCGTTGAGAAGACCGACGAAGAAACTGGGTTGAGGAAAGCCAAGATTTCGGCAGGCAAGCTGACCCGCGCGTCCTTCATCAAGCGCTTCTTTCGGCCCGCCAGCTACGACCAGGAAAACTTTGGCGGGAAAGAACTTTACAGGTGGGAACGATGTTCTCCAGTCTAGGCATTCACCTTTCAGATCTTGGGGGCTGACCATGGTATAATGGACAGGACTTCGGTCCTGAAATTTCACAAGGCGAAGTGCAAGGCTTCCGAGTGGCTGCCAGAATAGGATCTCAAAGCGGAACCCATATAGAAAGACGTGCGGCTGCGACATACGTAAAACTCGGACTGGCGAGACTCCGTTGTAAGCTCAGAACTCTGAAAGCAACAAGTGTGGCTGGAGTTCTAAGAGAAAGGGCTGCCACTTTACGCAATATCTGAGCTGGCCTTGACGTTCAAAGTGCCTTCGTCGTGTTACACTCTTTCCAAGAATATTTTTGGAGTGGCTGACACGTGTTATTCGCAGGTGGGCGTATTATTCGTGGATGGACCGGCTGCTGCAGCTGGGACAGATCCGGCGCTACAAGTACCTGCGCCGCAGGTGGGCGACCTGCCCCGTCACCAACGCGCTCGGCAACATCGTCTTCCTTGGTGAGCAACTGCGGCATGGACGCCCACAGAGTGACAGTTGCGGCGAAATATTACGCAAAATGCTTAATGCTAGGTGTGGGGCAATCGTTGTAAGTAATCAGCAGCCAAGAAGCATAATTGGACACTCTGTTGTGTACAAAGCACGACATGACGTACATAGTACCTGAAAGGGTGCCCCTTCCGCTTGTGCTAGCACTCTGTTGGCACGCAAACTCCTAAGCTGGCAGCTCGCATATTCGCGCATGTTTGCACTAAGTTAAATACGACGAGATCGTCAAGCTGGCACCGTGCCTACTTCGGTTGAGTTTACGTCACCATTGCCCTTTCATGTCAGCAAAATCTGCAAGCTCAGTCGGTCCACATAGCTCGAGCTTTCTCCATGCTTGCCGGCTTACTTAGTGGAAGAACTTTAGCGCAACTCCGATACCTGGCTATCCGACAGCTCGTGCCCCCAAAGGACGCAATTCACGCTGACTTTCTTCCGCAGGGACGCCTTTCTACACCAAGATCTGGGACGACTTCAGCACAATACACGTGGCACTCGGCATCCTGTGGCAGACCATCATTGTGTCGGTCACTTTGGGCGTCATCGTGACGCTGTTCCGGCTGGCCGTCTACCGCCGGTACCAGTCGCTGTTGGGGACCGGCAGTACCGTCTTCTGGGCAGTCACCGCTGTGCTTTCGTTTGTGGCGCTCACGATCAAGCGGGTCCAGGACAGGGTGAGGGAGACAAAATCCTCGTCTTTGAGTTTCGACGAACAGCTGGCAGACTGTCTTGGTTTGGAATGGGGAGCAAAAGAATGCTCTTTAGGTCTTTGATTACACAAGGATCTCCCCAAAGACGGAATTATATGCATGGATACTCCGACGGGTAGTTCACTATCTATGTTGGCAGTGGATCTGCACGCGTTGTTGCAGGTTTGGGGTCCTCCATCTTTTGCTAAAGCAACGCTACGACTGCAGATGTGCAATAGTGTCTGGCTTGAAGTCCTTACAGCAGCAAGAACTGCAGTCGTGAAGGCGTGACAAAGTGCCGTTTCCGTGCAGGTGTTCTACAATGGGAACCTGTACCACGACCCGCGCAAACCGTGGTCTGACACGATGCGCGCCCTGGTGGTCAATGCGGGAAAGCTGGACGAAGCGGCGCTTGCGCTCTCGACTGAGCCCGTGGTGAGCGCGCAACTGCACCTGTAGCGATTGCGATCGAGGTCATGCTTTGCTCGGGTGTCTTGTGACTTACTTCGCTTCTTTTTGGAGTGGAGTCTTGACGGCGCTGAAAGTCTTAGCTCAGCCAATACTGGGAAGAGGGAACGGAAAAGGAGGAATACAGTTGAGTGAATCAAACTTCGACGGAACCGGATTATGTTCATGCCAAAGAGGCGCGCAGCTAATGAAAAGTAAGGCTGCGTCTCCAGAGAACTTTGGAGGAGCTCCTCAACAAGTCGCGCCCTTATCCGCTCACCCATTGAAGAAGGGCCGGCGTTTTGAGAGGCTTTGAGGTCAGGCTTCTGCAAACGAGGACCTCAAGGTCCCGGAGGTGGTTGCAAGGAAATTGTAGGTCTGTATCCTTCCGCCAGTTGTCTGAGCAGCAAATGGCCCCGCCCGCCACCCAACTGACCAGGCACCTACTCCCGTTCTCTTGATTTACCAAAGTCGTTCAAGCTCGGACACCTCGCCGGCTGCTTTAAGATTTCAGAGTCGCCTGAGAGTGACAAGTCAACGAGACAGCCTACCAAACACCTGCAGAGCCCTTGAGCCTGTCATCAGTCCGACCTCATAACTGCGCTCACAACCGCCCTCTGACATGCTCGGACTCCTCTCTTTCCTTCGCAGGTGCGCGCATACCTCCTCCCCCAGATCCGCTTCTACCTGGACCCCGCCCCGTGGTCCACGTGGCAGTACCCCATTGGCCGCACGTGGTACAAGACGCTGGCCATCTGGTACGACGACGTGTGGCTCGTCGTGTGGAACACGCTCTTTTCGCTGCTGCTCCTGCTGCGCTGGATGGCCAACTTCCTGCTCGTGCCGCTGCTCTCTGAGTCCACGCTCAAGCTGCTCATCACCATGTCCTTCGGCCTGCAAAACGTGAGGGATTCCTGCCAACCGGCCCTGCTCTTTGCGCCTGGTGCGGTCTCGCCTCTCAAGAGAGAAGCAGAAGCTCTATTGCACCCCCTTCTCGCTCCAGGTTACTCGTCACCATGTTCTTGGGATCGCAAGACATGAGCGCATTGGGAGATTCGCTCTTTCAGCGCGGTCTGCTGTTGCCGCCATGGCTCTCAGGATTCTCGTCCACACAATAGCTGCTGCTTCGACGCCCTCTTTTCCCAAGATTTGTCCTGCGGATCCAATCGCTTGTTGCCGCTACTTTTGGCTCGTAACATGGCCACTCTAGGCCGCTTTTTCAATGCTCTATGTAGTGCCTCTGCCGACTTTGTATCGTCAAGCAACAAAGACTATCATCTTTCAGCTCGAGACAACGCTTACACGTGAGAGTGGAAAAGATTGATTGCTTGCCTCCGCTCTTCCACATCGCCCGTGGGGCGTCTTCCTGCCCTTCCTCATCTACAAGCGAGCAGGAGCGTGCATGTCCTTATTCGTGGCGAGGACAAATGCTTTCAAAACCTGTACCATCTCCAGATGTCAGCACCAAACGTACACCAGGCCCAATGTTTCCGCATGTTATTTCTCTTTCAGGGCGAGCTGGACAATGCGCACATCTATGCGGGGGAGCGCCTGGAGCTGCCCTCCAACACGCACAAGTACCAGCACTGGAACGTGCAGCAACTGTTTGCCGCCGAGGAATCCTTTGCGCCGTTCATCGAGGCCGTCGAGGAAGCCGCGGGCAGCGACGATCCCTCGGAACTAGAGGCCGCGGGCCACGCCGCGACCGTGATCGCCGAGGACGCCCCTGCGGCGGTCGACGGAATGTTGGCGGAACGGAACGGAATGGCGGCGGAACGAGGAGAGGGCGGAACGGGGACGGAAGGTAGGACTGAGTTGTCGGAAGTGAAACAGGACAGTGCCGCACCCGATCCGACCGGGGACGTTGGAGAAGAGAGGGACGGGTCTGCGGGAGCAACGGCCGACTTCGGAGCGGATTCCGGGCGGAACGACATTCCGTTGCCCCCGGTTGTTGAGGCGCCCCCGACCGAGATGCGCGAGTCTTGGATGGAGAAGCACACGATGGAGGAGAAGCTCGGCAACGTTTTGCGGCATGGATCGGTCAGCGGGCTCATCATGGCTGAGGCCGACCGGAAGGAACAAGAAGAGAACGGAACAGCGGAACACACTGCTGTCTCAGAAAGCGGGGGCCAGAAGATCGTGGAAGACGCGTCGAACGGAAGCCTGGGCGCCGGCGCTTCGACCCTTTCTGAGCCGCAGAACAGCGCTAGCGGGCTGCGGCATCGGAGCGTGCACAAGAACGGCAGTGGTAACGCCAACGGCAACGGTAAAGGTGGGGTGGATACCGGCGAGTTGGAGGCTCATGCGGTGCAGTCGGCTGCAAAGGAGCCGGACAAGGGAAAGGAAACGAAGGAAGAGGAGGGCATGGATCTGGAGAGCCGCAACCGGCGGCGCGAGTATCTGCAGCGGTACCGTTTCCTGTGGGACGATCAAGTGCTCGAGGTAAGGTTGACTGTGACACTCTTTTGCCCAGCGTGAGTCCCTCTTACCCTCAAGGTTGCGCATCGGTCATGATTTCTTAAAACGACCCAGAAAGTGAAGGGAGGGAGGAATGAAATCAAAACATGAATTCGAAGGAAGACGGGAGCTGAGAATGGCGAAGAGCTTTCTCTGCGTTTGAAATAATTGATTTCTGAAAGGGTCCTCTCTCCGATCGACAATCCCCTCGACAACTGAGCAGCCTGGAGATCACGACCTTGACTTCGTTGTGCCCGTATGTGCCGTTCCGTGTCGAGGTCTTGTGCCTATCAACTTACATCTTAGTTGCCTCAAACAGTCCCTGTTTTCGATTTTTACCGTCTGATTTCTCACGCGGTTTCCCAAGCGGATAACTTGTTGCTTCCAAAGCGTAGCCCAATAGCGTGCACAATATTCGTGCCTTCACTTTCCTCCACCTCGCAGTCGCAATGTTGAAGACGATTGGATATCTCCTTGTCAAAGACAGCAGTGGGGCGAGCAAAGAACCCACCCGCTCAATGAGCACTTTTTCTTGGCCCAGCGCTCCAAAGCAGCATCTCTGGGCAGTGATCCGTAGCCGCAGCATTACCGGCTGGTCGTCCTTGATTTTTTGCATCTCGTTCTAGTTGTCTCTTAAGTTGACTACGTGTCGCCCTGCAGGAGAAAGCGCGGAGGTCCGAGACGCTGAAGCGCCTGCGAGCGCAGCGCACCAAGATGAGCCGCCACCCGACGTCATCCGCCGACGCCTTTGACCGCGAGCTCAAGGTCACGTGCGTCATGCTGGAGGAGCGGATCAAGGTACGTGTCTCCCTCCTAACGAACCAAAGATGCGAAGTTACTTGATTTTGACCATCATATGGGCGACTGTTCACTTGTCGCTCTTACAATGGAGCATCAGATTTGGTCCTTAGTCGAGGAGCTTCTTTTCGAGGGGAAAGGCCACGAGCATGTCTTCAGGCATAAAATAAGTGCTCGTGTCTTCTTAGAGACTTTTGATCATTGCACGAGTTTTTTTTTCCCGGGGTCTATCGGGTCGGCGAAAGAACGTACTTTTATCTGGAAATACTGCCCGTGGAGTTTGTAGGCGTGCCGCTCTCCTTCTGTCAAGAAATAATTGATAAGCGTTTCAAAAGTCGATGAGCGTCTCAAAGCGCGACAGATATGATCGACGAACGCAATCCCGGCGGAAGTGCATCGAACCAAAACGTTTGTAGAGAGTTGTGGGCGGTGGCCGACCTCATTTCTGGCGGTGTACATTCCGTCATTGTGACCAAGCTCAAATCTCTCTGCAGGAGATGACGGGACGTGTCGAACTGGCTCATGGGTGCTACTTCAGGAATCCGGTGAGTCCGTGTCGACTTTCCGCAATCCATTCTTGCTCGATGCTGTGCCATTATTTTTCCCGAAGAGGAGGAGGATCTGTGCTTGCTCTGAAGTTGCGCTTCGCTTTTGAACGCCAACGCAGGACGAGCCCCCCAAAAAGTTGGTGAAGCATCTTACAGAGACGTGCTAGACATTTGGCTTAAATTGACGGCAGCGCTAAAGCCACATATCTGTCGACTTTGCTCCTCAATCGTCTTATTCCACGACCTTTTTCTTCTCTTGTGAAGGACGTTATCGAAGCGACTGCCAAGTTTTTGGCGACCGGAAAGCTCCCGAAGAAGGCGACCAGGCTCGGCCTGGTCAACTAAGGAGTGGTCGCCATAGTGTTTGTGAGTCTTGTTGGAGGCATTACTAGACTGCCTTTACCGAAGCGCTTGCGGAGTTGCAAAAGTGCGCATGAGGTCGTGTTGCTACGTGGACTTTTAGCTCTCGAAGATCAAGGTAATTAGCTCGCTATCAAGCACGCAGAGCTGGGCTACAAAGTAAGTATATATGTATGGGGTTAGGAGCCTGTCGGCTCTCGGTTACCGAGATCATATCGCTCGCACTACGCTACATAATATGTCTCGTTTGTGACCTTGGCCGCAGGACGGAAAGTCCTCGTTGTGTTTTAGAAAGTGAGTGCTAAAGTAGGACGTACGCTAGGTAGGTCTGCAACCACTTGCTTCGTCGGCAGAACGTTCGTTGCATTGTACGTTATCTAAACCTGAGAAAGACAATTGTTGGCACGTTTTGGACCGGGTTGTTTGCGCCGATCGGACCTGACTGCCAGGCCACACCCACAGCTTTGCAGGGCCCGGCCGCGTGGCATCTTGGCTGCCACAGATCTTGTCTCCGAAAGCAACATAAGCAAAACAAAACGTGTATAGTGAAGCAGACCGAGGCATGAAACGGTTCGCACGGCTCTATACAGTTCTTATATACCATGTCCATCAACAGTTGCAGTTCGTCGTGCGCACATGCGTCTAGCTGGGGACGTGCAGTCCGTATGTGTGCCTACAAGCTACAAGTGACACGTTTGGCATTATGATAGCGCTCAATACTATATTTGAAAAGCATGCATGCGGCTAATCATTGTGACGCGGCCCACACTGAATCGTCATAGTATGACAGTATATGTGCCGTGCAGACTACAGCATATGCTCTCTTCAGCCTCTGCACATGATCTCCGTAACGATCTCCGTATCAAGCAGCTAACTTGCATGACGCGTGGAGTTACAAGCAGCGCGCAGCTCACTGCTGGTTCCCAACCAAGAAAAAGGTGGTGTTTTCCGATGCAATAAGCACAGCAATCCTTGGATACCCTACTCCGTTGGAGGTCTGCAACGTAGGTAAAGTTTCGTTTGGAAGGGGGCTCTGATCTGCTATCCTCGTTCATTGTATCTTGCAGATCCCGTCTTTTTTGAGACGGAAGCTACTGCACGTATCCTACGTCTCTGAGCCAGGCGGCTTTAGATTGCATGCGGCGGGAACAACGATCACCGGCACGCTGAGATTGTGCACAAAGTATTCGCTTACGCTGCCCAGAAGAAGCCTGCAACGAGAAAGCTCGAAAGTAAAGCACGATCCAGGGCGCTCAGAGTATTCATGTTAGAGATCTTACGGTGTCAATGTCTCCGCTCCCTTTCACGGAATCTCAGGTTTCATTTGACAAGAAGCGCATTCCGACCCGCTCGACGCTGCGACTTTCAAATCAAAGCAGATGCGGGATGTTCAAGACCAAAGATTGCGGGGTGATTAAAGCAAGTCCGGTGAGCTCGAACTCCTGGCGGGGTAACGTACAAAAGAGCGAGCTTTCGGACCTCGCTTAGGACGTGTTGATAAGATGGCAAGGTTGAGACGTCTACAAATTCTTCTCGCATACTCGGAAATTCTGAAAGTGCACCTCGCTCCCTGTAATGGCCTCGCTTGGAAGAATATTATCTATGCACGTTGCTGCGGTTCCATCAGGATGTCACGTACACGATTTGCCGAAGCCCGCCAAAAGCACGGAACTGTAGACAACGAGATTTCCCAGGTTCCTCTTCTCCAGACTGGATTCCCGCCATTCTAGCTCCTCAGAAGTCAGCCTCTCCTCCGCTCGGCACCCGTCGCTGCTGTCGAGATACTTCCTCATCGTTGGCATGACGTGGCAATCACGAAGGAGGTTCAACATTTTTGAGGTATTTGAGTACTCGACCACGCAAAACAGTTGCGAAACGCGGTTCCTACCTGTCCACTTTGCTCATTCCGCGGCTGCCCACAACCACAACGTCCACCGGCTGCTCGGCGATGAACTTGGGGATTGCCCACCCGGGGTCGCCCGAAAGTACCGTGGTTTGGCACGGAACCTGAGATAAAAAGCGGTTTGTTGGGCGACCAGGCAAACACAGCTGGTCGAATCTCTGAAGGTGCAAGTGCAGCTTCCAGTCAACGCGTGCTGTTGCCAACCAGTAGCGTTATTCAAAGAAGCAAACAATGGACTTTGAATCTATTTTCGAAGTTGAGCAAAGATGAATCTCCGCCCCTTGACGTACTCCTGCTAGAGACTCTGCCAAGATTGACTAACAGACGGAGTCTCGGGCAATGACTGGGCTTAATTCACAAGCTCACCGGGACCTCCTTTGACAGCTCCCCCAGTTTCTGCATTCGGTCGCGCGACCTGCGCTCCTCCTCCTCGTGGATGACGTCGCCTTGCGACTCGAACAAAGGCACGAGCTCAGCTGCAGAATTGGAAATTGAGATACTCTTTGACGGCTGTATAGCGCAGCAGAAGGTGACGACGTGGCTGAATGCAAAGCTGTGTCTGCCGTAACTATCTTCGAGGCTGGCAGCCTCTTGCCGAGGTCCAGCGAAGAGTCTTCTGGTCTTGCAGAAAAGCTGATTGAGAGGGGGGTAAAAGTGCGATGTCGTTGCCCTTTCTACCTGGGTTACGGCCTGATCGTTTCCTAAGGAGCTCTCTCCCTTTGCTTTGCTTCAGAGGCGACACTGCGCCTGTTCACTTTCCAAACGTTTCGGCATAGTGCCGATGATGGCTCGACCTTATTGTATGTTGCTTCGAGGGATCGGACAAATCCTCATTGTGGAGTCCTCGACCTTTGAACGTACCGATGAGGGAAGCTCATCAGGTTGACACTGCAGCTTGAAACATAGCTCTGTTTTTTAGAACCAGCAGTCAGATCCACTTGGATCGAAGCAGCAAACTAAAGCATTCTGATAAGGTAGGATCTGCTAATGTGATGTCCTGTAAATGGTCGACTGTAATGCCTGAAACTAAGCAGTATCTCGTGTGTATTGTGGGCACTTCTGCTACGTCTGAAAAATAAAAGACCGGACACTCCTAAATGCCTTCGCCATGAGGGCCCAAAACATAGTAGTTGCCAGAGGTTTTATCTACATAAGCTTGACGGAATGGAGCGGAAAGGAGCGGAATGGAACGGAAGTTAGCGCACGGTTGCACGGCTTGCAAGCCGTGACGAGGACGACGCTGTCCCCGCGCTCCCGAACCACCAGCTTCTCGACAAGGAACTTGAGCCCATTCATTGACCCGTCAGAGCCGTCGATCGCGCACAGCAGCCGCACCCCGCGGCCGGCTTCCGCGGCCGGGGTTTCGAGAGGGTTGTGCGCCGGGGGTTGGGGATAGTCGTGCGCCGCTCCAAAGGGTGCTGCGCTGCTTTGCGTCCCCTCGGAGCTAGCGGCCATGATGTGGAAAAGACCAAAAAAGATTGGGGCCACTTCCAAGGGGAAATCAGCTGGGGCAAGCTGACCGCCTTTTCTTTCACCGGGAGCGACGACAAAAGAGCTGCGTGCAATGAGATTCAAACTTATAGCGTGGCCTTCGGAGAGCCAGGCTCTCAAATTGACGATTCCCTCACGATTAGTCGAAGTTCCTGCCTGATGAGGAGGAGAATTGGGAGGGGAATTATAAGCTTGTAGCTCGAAATTGCACAACCATTGCGCCCTATACTGTACCCCGCTGTGAGTTGTACGCGTTTCCTCGCCTTGCTGCGCCATAGCGTCGTAGTTTACGGGACCGCCCCTTCCCCTTTCGCGAATCTGAGCCAGATCCGGTTTGAGCGCGGCGCCACGTCAGCAGATCTATAGGAAACCGGGTAATACGCGCCTCGCTTCGAGCTGGTTTGCATTAGTTGGACTCCAAGATAGAGCACCATCGGACTCTCTGCGCTTCTCGTGCGAAGTCAAAGAGCGGTTACAGCGGGCGTTTCCGAAATCGGTGCATGCCGGTTATAAAAGCGGCATTCCTCAGGCGGAGACGCTCATTAATCTCGGTCCAGCAGTGGGCGTGTCAGCCAGTAGCCTTTCGTAACCCACTGCTTCGCTGAAAACGGAGCCTCGTGCGCGCCAAATATGAAGGGATTTAAACCAGCAGGTACTACTCATCATATCTTATAATAAGCTATGTTTTTATCAACTCAGCTTCGTAATTTAGGCGAGCGCCGTCCTTTGGCATTCTAAAGCTGATCATGAGCACTACTCGGAGCAGCTGGTGTCACGTGCGCCGGGCTGCAATCGAATCAAGATGAATGCATGGGCCATGGATGCAGAACTGAACCTCGGGCTAAAATTCAAGGAGAAATCCATGAAAAACGCGACTGATCTTATTGATTTTAGTTACGTAGATCGCCAGACAGGATTTATAGGACTCACTCCTCTTCACTTGACACGATTTGAAGCCACCTGTTCTATTCTGACATCAAAAACACCGAGACAGGCAGACCAATCTATGTACATCAGCCTTTCGCCTAGGCCGCAGCTATGTTTGTATTTCAAACATGGCTCGCAGGCTTGAGGTCGTCCTAGCCGTCATTGCCTTCCAATGTGAAGTCATCTCGAAACTTGGGACCCCCCTTTCCTGACAACACTTATTCAACCAAGGGCTCCTTTGTAATTCACACGTGACTCGTCGGGCTAAGCTCCCCCGCCAGACCAGAATCACGGCTTCGCACGCGGAGGGGAGACCACCAGTACCGGCACGCTGAGATGGTGCACCAAATGGCTGCTCACGCTGCCGAGAAACAGCCTGCAAATGGGGGGCTGGTTATGCTAGAGACAGCGTCCCCCCACCTTTGAAATGATGCATCAGCAAGTTCATCTGGTTTTTCTGAACCCCTGGGACGAAGCTGAGTGGGACGTTCAATGTTCAACCAAATACCGTGCAGAAAGGTCCGACGTAAGACAGGTGCGAGGCAGAGAGTCAAGCTGCAGCTACCTGTGACAAGCGCAGATACGAAAGGAGAAAGGAGTTGGAAGCAAAAGAGCAATCGAAGCCTCTGGAACGGCAAACAAGGGCTTCGAAGGTACCAGAGCATTGAGCAAGCTCTGCGAGAGTCTTGTCGTCATCACCGATTTCAAAAAAATGCACGTGAAACAGCAGATAGCAAAAAATGTGTGGTGGAAGGGCCTTGCTTGCGAGGATCTTCTGCGAAGATGACTGTTCCGAGATGTCTCGTCAGCTGAAAAAGATGCGGGGTTTGTTGGCAAAGCCTATTGAATCGAAGCGCGTTAAATACTGGGCAATCGACATTCTTCTTCCATACTTCGATTTCTTCCGTGCATCATCCATAGTACCCTCTGAGCCTTCAAAAACATCGTCGATCGGATTGGCAGCATTGTCGTCGAAGAGCTGATAGAAGCGGGATTAGTTCTAGATTTCCGCTCCGAAACAATCACCGAGATTTGTACCTTTGCATCGGGCCCAATCCGCGACTGCCAACTGCCACAATCTCCACCGGGTGCTCCGAGATGAACTTGGGGATAACCTCACGCGGGTCGCCCGTAGCAACCACAACTTCGCAGGGCACCTGCAGCAAGAAGCGCTCGGTTGGGTGACCACGTACGTCCTCAGGAAATGGCCAGTATGAGGAGGCGTTTGAAGCCAAATTTCCAGCAAATCGGGGGACCCAGGTTCGACCCGTAAGGACGAAGAAAGTCTAGCAACCGGAATCATTGCGTCGCGGCCAAAAGATGGTCACAACCAAGGGCGATAATGCAGCATCGAACAGACAAGTTGATTCCATGTTACAAAGCGAAGGAGCACTGGCCAGCCTAAGACGTTCATCAGCTGAGAGTTGGTGTCTATGCTTCTAATCAAATGGATAGGTCGATGGACCTCGGAGTAAGCGCAGACGTCATCTACAAGGCTCACCATTACGATTGCGTCAGAATTCAGCTTCAGTGAGGCAAGTCTTCGAAGTAGCAAGGCCTCAAATCTACGGAAGTTCTAGTCGAGCAGAAGTAGCTCGCGGGGTGTTCACACCGTCGAGCTCACATTGATTGCACTCGCCAGCTCTCCCAATTTTTGCAGCTGCTGGCGGCTTCGGCGTTCCTCCTCTTCCTGGACCATCTTGCGTTGCAGGTCGTTGATGAAAATGAGGTCAGCTGCGGAGAAATTAAGAGGCACGATTTATTTTGCAGCATCGCCCACGTGGCTCAAAGAGTGAGTTCAAACTGTGTAGCCCTTTCAAAGCTGTAGCTGGTAGCATCTCTGATTCATGTAGGACGTACTTTTGTGAAAGTAAAAGTCAAAACCCGTTCTCTTGATTTCGTGTGGTTGAAGGTCAAAGCGTCGACTTGTTTCTCCAACGTTCGAATATCAAACCGGCTTTGATTGGAACCATCAACGTTTCTAGAAAAGAGGACATTGAGCATAAAGTTTCAGAGTTCTGGATAGTACAATATGACCCATTTTTCCATGTTCCAAAGTGTGCTGGCCTCTTCAGTACTCAATGCTCAGAAAGGCTGCTCCTGTAAGCAGGCACGGACCCTCGTTCAGTGCTTCAACTCCTCGCTATTTTGCCAAAGGAATATAAAGGGCTGGATTTGAACCCCGCAAGAAATTGTTTCTTTGTTTCTCCAACAGTTTCGAAGCACACTGAGGGCAAACATGTGCAAAGTGCACTCAAACACGATTGAAGAGATTCGGCGGCAAGAACGCACGATAGAATCGGGATTCCGGTTCCATGGGCTCACGGCTGAGCTGCTTGCACGCCTCAAATAGGACGATGCTATCTCCCCGCTCCGCAACAACCATCTTCTCAAGAAGAAACTTGAAAGCAGCCTTGGAACCTTCAGAACCGTCAATCGCGCACAAGAATCGCTGCCCACTAGCCGGGTGCGGCTGCTCTGGGGTTTGGACAGGTGGCGACTTCGCCGCCTCCGGCTCTTGTTCTTTGTGGGCGCTGATACCAGCGTCAGCCATGATGGCTCCTGCAAGCAATATGTACTCCTCAATGGAGCCAGCTGGACGTGGCACCGGGAATCCGTATCAGTCGTCTCTAACCGTTGCTCTAGCTTCTTACCGGACAGCTACTGTGCAGCAAGCGGGGAACATTCAGCACGTCCAGCATTCGAAGCTCAATGAAGAAACCTTTTGCGGTGCTCGAGATCCTCGAAGTGACAAAACCCGGGACGAGCAGAAACCATTGTTCCGGCCTGAGTAACAGACTCATTGTCTCAGAGCCTCAGAGTCTCAGAGCCACTGGTTCAGAACATGGAACCAGTAAACTGCATGATGATGCGGACTCGGGTGGTTGAAGCGTTCAGGCTGACCTGTGTGCTATGCTGCCACGTCGGACTGGACTCGGTCAATATGTCATGATCGAAAGGGACTTCACCGCAGCTGGTTTGCAGGTGCACCGTTGACCGGGTCGTCCGGATCGCGGTCGCGAAACCCCCCCCCTAGTCAATACGTCGAACGCCGATCTCCCAGCACCGGCGGGGTTTGCATGAAAATCCAGCTAAGTTAAGATACCTTTATGCATCCTGGTTTGCTCGCTCGTTTCGCGGCTGCATCGTTTTTCCTTAACACAGTGTTCAGCTCTCGAACGATCCTTCCAACCCTGTTCTGTGCATGATGCTTATTGAGTTGACATGCCTATATCGGCGATGATCACGATCCGAATTTGGAATATTCAAAGCGGCTGTATGTGTTCATGAGAACTCAACATCTCTTTGGCTTGTACGGAAAAGAAATTCTCCAAAACCCGACCAGCACCCCATGCTGCCAGGAGAAGTAACAACCAGTGTTGCAGCATCGGGCTGTCATCGGGGCTGGACATGGCATGAAAGAAGCAGCGTGTGTTTTTTCATTTTAGCTTACAGATTCCCGACGGCCACATGAGTGACATCATCTTGAAAGAATGGTTCTACTCAGTCGACTTTTCTCTGTATGGTGGGGCAAGAGTGCTGTGACTGCGTTGCAGGCAATGAAGAAAAACCTTCATCGGCAATCTGGCAGACGTGCTCGGCAGCCACAACTTCAAATATGCACAGGCCAATGGTGAATTAGAACACATTATCGTACCGCAACGCAGATTCAGTATCAAATCGAGCTTGACAAGTTCAAGAACTTCTATGATTGCGCTATCAAAATCTGGCTTCACGTCGGCTCTTCGACCTGTAACACTACTTCCACAGCAACTGGTATAGTACATGTCAACACGCTTTCAACCCAACTCGTCTGTTACAACTTTACAAGCTCACAAGCGCGGGCACCTCCTTGGGAAGGTCCTTCTCCGCGCGCGCGATGGTCTCCTTCAGATCCAACCCGAGAGACTCGGCCAGCCTCTCCCCTAGGCTCTTATCCACCCGGTAGTAGTGGTACAGGTTCAGCTGCTGGATCTTCTTGGGGACCGGGTCGGATTTACACCCGGCGCCCTTGCCCTTGGTCATGGTGTTAGTGATGCCGGTGATAACGCGCTCCTGCTCGTCCGGCTTCATTATGTGCCAAAGAGCGGTCGCCTGCGGGAAGCGAGTAAATGGTCAACCTTGAAGTGAGCAATTTCACAAAGACCTGCGTCTCTTTGGAGATTTCATATAAAGCTAAACACACATGATAAGCAGCGGAGGGCGCTCTTGTAGTGAGCGGCGAAGTTTTTGAAAAGCAGAATCCAGGGGACGCAGCAAAAAATCAACGACAATCCCGGCCTTCACTCGGCACGCTGAATGACGGAAAGGAAGTAGGAACTACGTCGTCACATTGGGAGTGCTGTGTTGGATTGGAGCGCTTCAGTCGGATGACTCGAGAGGGACCAGTCCGCGTGGCGACCGAGCGAAGGATCCGGACAGACTCCAGCATCGCAACCAAGGTTCCTGCAACAAAAGCGGACGTCCGTACCTGCGAGTAGTCGTCCGAATCCGCCCGGTGGTTGTACCGCTTGCCCTCGCCGCTCATCTGCAGGGGCACGGCCGGGTCCACGTACCGGGCGTCCTCGGCGGGGCCGCCGAAGCTGTTGGGCTCGTACGGGGGGCCGGCCTGCAAAACAAAAACGGGGAAAATCAATGCCAGATCCAGGACAAGATACGCTGTCAACTCTGGTTTTTCGAAGGCCAATATCTAGTGATAGATTGGTGCTCCATCATGGTATGAGATATTTCGAGAAATATTTTAGGAAGTCGCCGCTTCGCCTGCAAAACCAATGGAGCTAGCGATCGTGTGACTAACGAACGAACCTGTCGACCGAGAACCCAGCTCGGAGGATCTTCATTTGTTGAGAAAAGTAGGCGTGCAATGGGTGACTCGAATTGCTTTCCTGCCTTGCATAAGTCCCGCATGGCCGGTTGTGAGTGCGAGGTAACCGCACACGAACAGTTTTCCTCCTTACGCATTCCCTTAGTGAATAGCGGCAAGCAGAAACCGACGGCGCAGAGCCACGTGGTAGATCCAAGCATGTCCGTTACTGATACGATTAGAGACAGCGGAGTCTTTCTCCAGTTGCAGAAAACCCGACTGCAAACTGCCAAGTGCTGAAGCCTGCTACTACAGGCCCGGTTTTGTTGCTTTGATCAACTCGGACCAGGAACAGAACATGTATGAATTCTTACCCCGTTTTGCGTCTGCATGAAGCCGTCTGAGTGGTAGTTGAACACCGGGCACCGGGGCTTGTTCACCGGCTGCAAGGAAAACCCTAAATACTCAGGAACTGTGAAGTCGTAGCTGGGGAAAATAATCTTGGGACACTTTGTCCTTCTACAAGTTTAAGAACCGGTCAGGATACCAAACGGAGCATTTTGAAGTAGGTAAGTGAGCGCAGACTCACGTGGGATACGAAGAAGTTGGGCTTGTGTACATCACACGAACGACCGTTGTAAAAGCCGAGAAAGCGCCCGCAGAAAGATCATGGAACGCTGCTCCGAAGTATGCCTTCAATGCGAGGAGACGCAGCTTTTCTCCAAAACGAGGTCCCAAAAAGGTCGAACAAACACTTAAACAGAGACTGAAAGGCGGAACGTGCGCACCAGTTGCTCGTGGTTGATGCCCAGCCTGTAGACTGCCGCGTCCTTGTACGAGAAAAGACGCGCCTGCACAAAGCGCGGTGGAAAAGAGTTGAGTAGGCTAGCTTTTTCTTCTCTTAGACGCGGTAAAGTTGTGGCGGTATCTCCCACGCAACTTGCTATAGAAGTCTTGGAAGAATTCTGAAACGCGAGACAGCATCCTGGTGAAATTTTTCTTGATGCTAGCTGGACTTCTTGTAAACGACGAAGCCAAGGTGCGAAACTAGCTTGCGGGAGCGTCTGCCCGACGCCTGTTTGTAGCCTTCCAATCAGATGATATACCATTGGCCCCTTCAAAACATATCGAAACCTCAATTTCAACCGCTAACCCGGTCCTGGAAGCCTGCTGCTGACCACGGCTCATTTCACAGAAATCGCATAAAGAAGGACGGCTCGATTTTGGCGAGCTTCAGATAACGAGGCAGACAACGATGAAGGAAACCGAGAAAGGACGAAACAGATAAAGAAGGAAACAAAGCCGTTTCTTCACCTGCAGCATGCGGTCGGGGGAGTAGCCGATGCCGGGCACGACGTTGGCGGGGGCGAACGAGGCCTGCTCCACGTCCTGGAAGTAGTTCACCGGGTTGCGGTCGAAGTGCAGCTCGCCCACCTGCAGTAGAAATATGTGAGTCTGATGTATTGTCTTGGCTGCGCATCAAGCCTTTCGTGTGCCTGGTAACTCGAACTGACGGGCTCCTTGCGTTACCACTCCGGGCCGACGGACACAGCGCGCGCGGATGAGCAGGGAAAGGCGCTAAAGGAGCGCTTTCAATCGCTGCAAGGAGGCTGATGAAGGCCACGAAGACGCTGTTTGAAGTTTGACGCTGTTCGACAGGTTTCCCACCATGCCAAAGTGCACACTTTTGGGCACATCCCGCAACGTCCAGCTATACGTCATATGAAATCTTGCTGGCGGCGGACTCTTTCCTGCGAGGTTAATCTTCTGTCGATGATAGTGCAATTGCCAACGCAGGTTCCTGACCTCCTGCTCAGCTTCCGTCACAAAGCTCAAACACGTCTCTCGAAGTAATGGGCCTCTTTCGAGCGTACCTCGTGCAGCGGGAACTCCTTGTGTGGCCAAATCTTGGTAAGGTCAAACGGATCGTAGGGCACCTCGTCGGCCTGCTTGTCCGTCATCACCTGGATGAACATCTTCCACTTGGGCCCGTTGCCGTTCTGGATGTTCTGCAGCGCAAAGAAGACAAAGTCCGTCAACACGTCTGCGACCAATGATTGCGTGGGTACTTTACTTGCGCTTTCCAATCTCGCTCAGCATCGACCCTGATCGTGCGTCTTTCTCGTACCGTCCCCTAAAGCGCGTCTCTGCCGCGCTTTCACGCCTGGATGGCTTGGCGTTTCTAACTTGCATACATGTAACAGAGCTCCTCGTTGTGCCGCGCTACTGATCTGTAAATTGATAAAAGCCCTGCGCCCATGTGCCCTGTACCGCTTGCACGACTATCTTTTCGATGCATTTTCCAGTATCCCACAGCTGGACCCTTACGGGATAGCACTACTTGGCCGCCACCTCGACTATATCGTATCAATCGCTAGCACTCCCGAGGGCTACCTCAGATGTTCCGGACGTCCCCATGGTGTTACTGGCTAGCACTTGCGTGGACTACCTCACAATTTTCGGACGTCCTCACCGTGAACAAGTCCTCGTTGAACAGGTCCGGGTTCTCTCCGGACAGCGCAATCCCTTCCTCGTCAGTATACGACTCGTTGCCCTGCTCCGACTTCATATGGAACTTGCACCAAACCCGCTCGTTGTTATCGTTAACCAGTGAAAACGTGTGGCTGCCGTAGCCGTTCATGTGCCGGTACGACTTGGGCAGACCCCGATCGCCCATCAGCCATAGCACCTGCAAACGAGCGCGGTTAAATGCTTAACCTTCGGATTTAGCGTTGACCCTGAATGTCACGCTACCCGTCAGGGCCCTCGTTCGATACTGATGCGTGTCCAGCGCTTTCCAGGCTCGTGGACGCTGACAGACGCCGAATCAGAGAAATATTTTCAAAATGGAGACCGTTTGTCCAGTCCTAGCGTCTACGCTGCTTTTCGATCTGTAAATTAGCCTCCCGATCCACATTCTGATCACGGTCGAGAAAGCTACAATGTCCCACACGATGCTTGATATCAGCCGTGTACGGATCCGCGGAAGACTACTGGTCGACCACCCGACCATTTTGAGCAGTCTGCCTCTATCTACGCAAGCCAACAACCCCGAGACGGGCAACTTCGGGCTCCGACCAGCATTGGCAGGAAGTGAGCAAGCGTCAGTCCTTCCGTAATCAGCTCTTTGGCAACTCCTTTCCTAATCGAATGGCTGAGAGCCGTCCTACTTCCCCTCGTCTAGTCACACGATTTTACTAGTAGAGGCCGCCAAACTTCAGAAAGGTAGACAAACCAGAGCACTAGGGATCCGACAGTATTCCAACGGCTATGAAGACAGAAGTGAGGAGATAATCAACGATGGAGAAAACTGAGGAGCCGGAAAAAGAAGCTCGACCAGTACCTGGTGGGTGGCTTCGGGCGAGTGGCCCCAAAAATCCCAGCGCATGGTCCAGGAGCGCAGGCCGCGCACATCACGCTTCTGAGAGTGGATCAGGTCGGGGAACTTCAGGGGGTCCCTGTAGAAGTCGTGAGACTGTTAAGTGCTGCTAGGCAGACATGGCACCAATGATTGCTCACCTCAGAATTTCAAGCAGCTGGGGCTTACCGGAACAGCCGTTTACAGACTTTACTCGCATTACAGCGTTCCGTCCTTGAGATCTTGCACAGAAAAGGCACGTGGGTTCGATAGAAAAGACCGAATTGTCTCATTGGTTATCTCCGCACATGTGGTTTTGGTCCATGTCCCAACAAGCGGCTAAACAAAAAGGGTCGAGTTACCATAGCCGTAAAGAAAAGCACAGATTCAATGCGTTGAAAGACGTCAAGAAGCATTCTACGAAAGTTTGTTCTCAGACCATTGTAAGGCTTGGAGATCATGAGCAAGCTCACCTGATGAAGAAGATGGGCGTGTTGTTGCCAACAAGATCCCAGTTACCCTCGTCCGTGTAGAACTTGACCGCAAACCCGCGAGGATCGCGCACCGAGTCTGCTGACCCATGCTCGCCCGCAACAACGCTCCACCGCGCAAAGATCTCGGTCTTCTTGCCAATCCTGTCGAACAGCTGTATAGAAACAGGATCCGGTTTAGAAATCGAATGAATGGGCGCAACTTTTCGCAGCAGATACCAAGACAGGCAAACGGGCCGCATTCCACAGTTATCGTTTCCAGCTTCTCGAGGTGCAGGGGATAGTATAAGAGCGAACTATAGGACGTGGAGCAGTGCTTTCAAATCTTCCAATCATCAAGCCAATCAACACAGACGATGCAATATCAATTCAGAGATATACTTGCAATGAAATAAACTGCTTCGACTTCAAGCTTCCCTCACCTTTGCCTTTGTGTACTTCGAGATGTCCTTTGTGACGGTGAAGGTGCCGAAAGCACCGGCACCCTTCTCGTGCACTGACCGGGGCGGGATGCGCTCCCGGTTGAAATGGACCTGTTGGTTGCAAATCAGCCGTTTTGACCAGATGCCTTCACAGTAATAACAAAGAGGAATTGGCTGAAAGCATCCAACAGAGGACACAGCTAGACATGCATAACCAGTATAGGAAACAAGGGAGTCCCTAAAGAGTCTGATCGTACTTGTCATTTCAGGCCTTTCTGGACTAGAAACCGACCCAAGCAAAAACAGTCCCTCTAAAAGAACCCATATGAGACAAATTTGAAGAGCTGCATCGATCAACCTCCATATGTAAGGCCCCTCACATTCTTCTCATACAGATGGAAGTCCTCGGCCAAGAGCAGGGGTCCCCTCCTGCCCGCAGTGATGCTGTTTGTGTTGTCCCCAACAGGCTTGCCAGACGCAGTTGTGAGCGTCTCCTTTGGCTTGATATAGTGCTCTCCCGGCTTTCCATTCCCATTGAAGAGCCCTGCCCTCGGGGCCTGCTGGCGAGCCTCCCGCCTGAGCTGTGCGCAGCCTTGACACGCTGCTGACAAGAGGATGATGTCAGCATAGAACTCCTGAGGATCAGGGCACCACTTACAAGGAAGGGAATTCCAGGAGGACGTGATTTGGTCTTCAAAGTGTCAGGATAGGATGCCAAAGCTCAGCCAGCAGATGAACAAGGGCCTTTAAGAGGTTATCTCGAACGATCCACTTTCACGTCAGAGCAGATGCCTGGTGACATAATCACTCTGACACTTTGGCATTGAACGGCGGTTTCTCCCATCAGTAAGGGGGTGCCCATATTTCATTGTTCAAAGATTAAGCATACTGTCTAGCAGAAAGTATCCTTTGACGCAAAGGACCAGAGGCCCCTTACATGCATTACAATCAAAGCAGATTGCTGGGGAGCTGCATGCATACATTGGCTTCAATTCACAGGAGATGGGAGCTCTTTGCCAGGATCCTTTGGATGGTGCCCCGGACCCCCCAAGAAAAGTGGCTGGTAGAACAGGGTAGCAAGTTGCTTAAGCTCTCTAATCAAGATGCAGCCATCGTTCCACGCAGTACTCATGGCCGCTCTGTGCAAGACAGAACCAATGGGAGAAAGAGACCCACCTGGCGGGGCTGCAAAAGCGGTGCCGGTCAGAAACTGCTTGTTATCCTGCACCCTTTGGAATATTGATTGTCCTTGAAGCCCCTTTTCTGCCACGCGAGACGCCATTGCTGAGGAGGCCATACAAATGTTTAGATCCGTTTGCTTCGCAAATCCACCTCCTTGCCTGGGACAATGCAGTTGCTAATAAGGTCCCTTCTCAAGTATTGAGCACGATTAGGCTTCCAATTCAAGAGCTCCTGCTTGGCGCTGCAGCCTGTGGAAAGTGGGACGATCGCTGATTTTTGTCACGACCTAATCAGGAATGAGAGTCTGGACTTTGCAAAGTGCAAACGGTACCTCTGGTATTCGGACTCCTCCTCGGCACGTCTCTTGCGCTGGCCAACTTGTTCAGCTTCTCGAGCTTCAGTAGGTCCTAGCTTTGCTACGTCTCTGCCATTATCGACGTCGACTGCACTCGAGCTCGGGGAGGTTCAAACTGCCGGAACGTCGGGGGATCCCGCCGGAGGATTCACAAGGTGGTCGGAAGGAGCCACTTGGCAGCCCGGACGTTCGAACCCCATCCAGAATCTGTGCGATTTGGAACCGGGGTTCTGGGGTGCGTACCGAATCACTTGAGATAACTTGGCATCAGACTTGGACCAGTACGTACCTCGACCGCTCGGGCTTTTGCACTTTCCACGTGTATGAAGATCGGGCCTGCAGATACGAGTGCATGCAGTGGATCATAATATCATGTGAACCATGTGGCAGTTATACCAATTCAAAGACGACAGGTGTTTCAAGAGGAGGCTTGCATGGCGGACAGTTGGCAGCCGATGAACTCCCGCTGACTCGGACAAAACAGTACTGAAGTTTTTCACACGCTGTTGTGTGATGACAACAACCCTGCTATTTACTTTGAGTGTGAATAAGCTCGCAGATCAACCCACGGCACAGCTGGCAAATAGCGCGACTGCCGCCACAGTCATCACTGATCTGTGATATCACTTTACTGCGCAGCCACGGAAGATAAAAGGAGAGCAGATGCACGAACAAGACATTCATTTCAAGCAGCTTCCATTCAGCAAATTCAAGCTCTCTCACCGCTCAAAACAGCCACCTTTCTCTCCGTCACCAAACACCAACCAGCAATCATGCCTCTGGGTTCAGCTGAGCAGCAGGCCAAGGGTGAGTCCACCCAGAAGTCGGCCGAGGCCGAGAGGGGCACCAAGGACTTCAAGACCAACGTGCAGGAGACTGTGAGTTGCTAAGACTCAAGCACCGCACCGAAACTGTCTGACGTTTGCAAGTGTTCTGTGCAATTTGTAAGAGCTGCAGGTTAGCAAATGAGGGAGGGTTTGAAATGGAAGATAGCTGTGTCATTCCTTTGGAGTGAAGGGGAAAACTGGGAGTTAAGAGTATTGCCGGTCAGCTATCCTACCTGTATACTGACGTGTGACAAGATTGACATCTACTTTTGAAGTTGGATGTTCGGCTAGTTTCCTATCTCAGAAGTGCAGGCATTTTGCAAGCTAGATTGGGGGTAAAATGCCAGGGTGCCAATTGTCAGATGGGATACTCAAAGCCGGGCTAAAATGTCTAGAGGCCTTTGCGTTGTGCTTTTGCAGTGTGGCATTGGCACGTCATGAGGCAGCCATTCCCTACGGAGTTCTCTTTTGCTTCTTGGAGAATCAGTAACGTTGTTGTCTTCTTATGATTGTACTCAATTCTACAAATGCAGTTTGAGAAGGCCAAGGCCAACGTCCAGGCCGTCGGTGACAAGATCATGCACCCCTCCGACCAGGGCAGGGCAGCTGCTGATGCCGAGAAGGATGCCAAGAAGGCTCAGGTTGGGGCTCAGGCTGGGGTGAGGAATGAAACGGGTCCTCTTTCTATTCAGTTTGTCCAGCCCAATGCAGGGAATTGCAGAGTGCTCAGGACATAAATGGTAGAGTTGGGCATCACTTTTTGGAATGGCGGAAACAAGAGCAGGTCATGAAACTGGCTAGTAATATTGAAACAAGTGCACTGCTTCCAAGTTTTCAAACACAGCAAATGGAAGTGGGTGAAATCTCTGCTGTAACAAATACAGCAACGAACGAGCGTCTTTTTGAACCCTAGAATGCGACAATGTGTCGTACCAGACAAAGCCTTTGATTGCAGTGTACTACTTTGCTTCCTACTAATCCTAGGTTTTGCCCTTGGCGATCTGCCGATAAGAAAGCTGAGGAAGCTGAGGAGTTTTTGGCATTCAAAAGATAGAATGTGCGTCTGACCAGTATACACTTGTGGATGTGCAGGCAGAGAGGACTGGACATCAAGCTGAGGAGACTGGCGAGAAGGCCAAGGGTTTCTTCCAGAAGAACAACCCCCTCGCATAAGTGCAGAGCAAAAGTTTTGTGACAGTCAGTTCGTCACAGGTGCCTATTTTTGACAGTCTTTAGTGTCTAGCTAGGGTTCTGACAGGTAAATTGGTGAAAGAGACATATCTTGTAAACAGTGTTTAAATTGTATTGTGAATGTGACTAAACAGTAATACAATCCTGTGTAACAATTGTGGAAGGATCTAATTCTTCAACTGATTGTGACCAAATCGTTTTCATCAATGGCATTGAAAGATCTTTTCAAATGTGGCAATAACATATTGCCGTCCCTTACATACCTAAAACATTCACCTCCAAACACCACATATCGTTCAAAATGGTAATAGTCCTACCTTATATGTTGTCAAAAGTACCACATTTTTAATAATTTGTCCTGAAACGACCATTCGCATAAATGACCAATTAAAGGAACGGTAGTTTCACCATCTTCATATCTAGTTACCTCATCCTAATTTTTGGTTTGCAATGTTGTCGATTTTTAATACTCAAAAAACACATTTATTTGGATGAATCTGCACAGGACATGTAAAACTCATTAATTAAACAAATCACATGAACATACATTCAGTCGTGTAAACCGATGTAAACAGCATGAAAATTTTAAGGATGCATGATGGTACGCTTACATTTGCAATGGCAAATCAACCACACCCTGATAAATTCATTAAACATTTTCGCATTTTCACATATTAAAATTGCAAAGCAACATAGCCAATTCGATCATATATCTGCAGACAAAATAATCATACCAACTGTCATTTAGAACGTTTTTACAACATGTACATTCCCATCGAGAGTCCCGCAGTCGATCAACAAAAACTGCCATCTTCATAATCTGCCTTTACGTCTCCATCCTCCTGATTTAGTAAGCACCACTGTTCATGCTTATGACGCAGCGCGTCCCACAGCGAAGTCACAGCAATCTCCTTAGGAACGTCTTTGAACGACGGGAAATAGTTCACGTCGACAACAATGTGATCTCGACTGTCAAGTTGCACCTGCGCCACGGTTTCAGAGGCAATCAGTCAAGGAAATACTGAAACTAATCGTTTCCGAGCTCGTGAATACCGTAGCTGACGAGTGACAATGTGCATAAGCCCTTCAGTACGAACGGTTTGTGCGTCATGATCCTGATGCCCATCGAGGTCTAAGATCGTCTCTGCACCACGGCCAGGCGCCTAAGCATAGAGTGCAAGATGGGGCTATGCGTGCACGCTATCTCCCCAATCGACTGATTTGTATGCTCTGATTGGCTTATCGAAAGACAACGGCATGCTAACCCCACAAGCAATGGTCAAAACGTAGACTCGAAGGTCATTGCACCATCTTGCAACTCAAGCCACGCCAGGAACCATGATTCCCTCCAAAATCTCTTGACCGGTAGAAAGGGAGATAGCAGCAGATTCAAGACAAAGCTGACATACCCTGCTCCTAGCCTTGTGACCGGTGGGGACGGCAGCGTCCACACTGAAGCTGAAGACGTGCCGGAGCAGGCCTTCCGAACCAACGCTTTGGCAGAGAGACCGAGAACTAGGGATAGTCAACAATCTTGTTCTTTCTAACGGGCTCATACCCCGAAAGACAGAGAGACACAAGTGTCCACCTTTGAGCGTCTCACCACAACGTCGAAGCCGAAAAGGCTGAGCCCCAGCTTCTCCCGCAGCCAGCTGGCAATCCCCTCCAACGCCGCTTCATCCACGCCGTTCGATTGGGTGGGCTCGCACGTGGCACCGTCGGAATCGGCCGTCGGATTCGCCGACCTGGTGAGCGGCGTCCGCAGGCTGCAAAACAAAGGTAGAGCAGGTTGGACCTTGGAATGCGTGCGAGTTCGAGCGAAGGAAAAGGACTGAAGCATGGTACCAAGAAGCTAAAAATTCTGAAGTTCCGGAGTGAGCCGCTGTCGCTGGAGCGAGTCAAAATACGGGGTTCTCGCAGCAGAAACACCATATTGACAAGAGGTTATATCAAGATCAAATATGGGTGGCTGCCGTTCATCTCCGGTAGGCTCAGCGAAACGCATTTGCAGATTCTTCAGGGCAAGGAACCCTAAGGTCAGCCCTTCCTGGTGCTCGCTGAACCACGACATGGATGCTTGGGACGAAAGGATGAAAAACCACGTGCGGATAACCAAGTATGAAAAACACTTCCCCTTCGCCCTCGCTGGGTAGAGATATCCTCCGTCAGACAAAGTCCGAATGCAAGGAGGCAACTGGGCCCCCACCTGTCGAAGGTCACGACGGCCGCCTCCCGATGCTCGTCAAGGATCTCCCGAGCGTCGGGCATCGAGACACGTGGCGTGTGGAAGAGCTTCGAGCCGAGGACATACACCTTGTGCTGGAGGCCGCCGTGGTCGACGTACTCCTGCACCGCCCAGGGTTACTACTGGGGTTAGACTCGGGTTAGATGCGAGTCCTCAAAGGCGCCGGCGACGGGTTTTCAACAGGCTTTGCTTCACGTCAAACTCGTCGAAGCGGATTCCGAAGCGGTTTGGAAGGTTTGCGAACAGGATTCGGAGGATCTCGAGGTGATAAGAAAAGGGTTCGAGGAAGTATATTCGCGAGCCACGTGTGTCAACTGACCTGAAGTGAGGCCGGGAGAGTCACCCTGGACTCGAGCAGGCCCTCGGGCCTCAAAAGCAGTGCCATCGCGTGCGACTCTGGGGTTCCACAGGCCACCCGCGGCTTCATAATGCACGGGAACGCCATACCCAGTTCTGCCATGCTCTCGCTCAGCTTCGCCACGTCATGTTCTAGAACCTGCGCGCCAAAGAGGGCTACTCGTCATCGAAGTGACGCTGATTGTGTAGGACGCATCAATCTGCTCCAAGCAGGTGTCAATTCGCAACAAGCAAGTCAAAATCACATGGCCGCTGGCCTCAGGGCAATTGTCCCAGGCAAGTTCTTGATTAATTTGAGCAAACAGGAAGGTATTGGAAGACTGTCCGTCTGTTCCCCCTCTTTACCTGAACAGGAATAAAAAAGGTTCGAACAGGAAACCTTTATCAATTCGAGACGAGATTGCCGGGCAGAGGAAGTTCGTTCCAGGATTCTCCATCGACTCATACTTGGATTAAGAGTACGTGCTCGTCCAGCGTAAGGGGACAGCCGAGCATCATCCTGTTGAGATGACTAATTATCAGTCCCTACGAAATTATGCCTAGTCTTTTAACTCGTAACACGGCAGCTAGTGATCGCAATCAGTCAGAGTTCGCCACCGGTTTGTATCTCACCAGCGCTTACCCGTATGGCTTTTGGCGCTCGTACGGTTACTGCTAATCCTGGCAGTGTAATGTTGCTGATGGCGTCGTGGATAGCGAATCTGTCCATCACGACACGAACGTCGTCGAAGGAGTCGACGACAAGCAGCTCTGGATGGGAAGCGCAGAACCTGCAGATTGTGTGGCGAGATAAGGATCAGGTGTCGGTAGGAAAACGACAAGACTAGGTGCCAGGGAACCTGGTTGCAACCTCGAAAATCGAGTAGCAACCCGACTGAGACGTGTCCATGTTCAATGACGAGCTTGCTCTTTCAAAACAGAGGTGCTTTCAGCAACGACCTTCTGGATTCAGAATACATGAAAGAGACTGCTAATCCGATCAAGTGTCCGAAATCCGTCTGGAATCTGTCTCCAGATCGTACAATAAAATCAACAACCCACTGGCTCTTCAGCGGCTTATTCAATGGTGGATGCTTCGTGAGGAACCTATTCCATGAAGAAAGTCCAAATCTGAAATTGACAGCCAGAATAGTCTCAAATGAAAGGCATATCTGTGGAACAACAAGATGGAGTTGGACCAAGAACATTAGTCAGACATACTGGGCGACAGCTTCACTTCTTGATAAGATAAGTGGGAACCGATTAGATTGACAGGATGACACTTCCTCCGCAGTAGTGTACCGCACCTCCCGAAGCGCCTTCATAAGCGGAGGAAACAACCACCAGGTGCATACCTTTCCAACTCAAGATGCCCCGCTGACATTTGGAAGCACCGTTTCGTCCGGTGCGTGCTTGCCACTCCATCGCTCCTCCCACTGACCCCCGGCCCAGACAAATTTCCCGCTTCGTGCGCTGGCCTTTCACTGCCTCGTTGTGAACAAGACACTTGTTCTGCAATGTTGGCCGTCTCACTCTGCTTCTTATAAGGGGCCCCATCTGTTTCTCGAGGCCCCAAGTCATGGACTGGCGCCAAATTGTTTGCAGGTGCAGCTTGTGGTTCAGCTTGCTTTTCTTCTTGATCCCAATCTACACTTTGTAGCTCATCCATCATTCTGTGGAGGACAAGGTCGACCTCCGCAAGCTGTGGCCCGAGCGGAGCGCTCAGGTCAATCTTCTTGAAGCAGATGCCCTGGATTGGCTGGGCTGGAAGGGCATTTCTCTGCACAGGCAAAGGAACAGTCGCTCAACAACATGATCTTCTACCACGTCTTGCCCACCCACTCTCTTCTTGTGTGAATTGTATGTAGAAACTCTTTGAAAAGCAGCAAAAGCAGCCGTTCTTCATAACTCTTCCCTGACTTTTCTAAAGAGTGCTGTATCCTTCTACCTTGCATTGTGAAAGGGGCCAAACGATGTCTGACACAACTGCACCCTGTGGAAACTTGATGCTTGTGCCTCCATTTCTATCCCCACATCCGTACCATTATAATGATACAAGATGCTTCTAGTTGCACTTTCACACATACCCACTGCAATCAATGTGGACACCCTACAGCAAGGCACCTCGTGGATTAGTGACGAGGCCAGTCTTCATTTGCAGAAGAGGCTTCTTATTGCTGTTCCCAGGTTTCCAGACCATCCTGAGCCTCTGTGGAGTCAATGAATCGGTCAGTGACATGCTCACCTTTAGAAACCCCTTCTCTCGCTCAGGTTTCATTGCATAGCCCACAACAATGGGCTTCTGATCATCTGCCATCCCGAGACGTCTCCAAAGAAGGCGGACAAGAAGGGCACACGGTGTTTTGTGAACTGACCATGAGATTGTCCCCCTCAGGGCCTCAGAGTCACCGCACTGCCCCGCGGGCCAGAATCAGGCTGTCACTGTCAGTGTTGAACTTGAAGGCCGCCGCTGTTCCCTCTGATGCTAGAAACTAGAGCGGGACATTTTCACATGCACGCAGCACAACCGAGGCTGAGCCAAAGTTTCTTTCCACACAGGCGTATGCACGTTTTAGGGTTTCTGTGCGATTTCTAGGGTTCCGTCCTCCAAAGCTCGGACTTGGAAACGCCATGGCTTTTCCAGAGCGGAGCCCTGGGAAGAACAGAAGGGAAGAAGAGTGGCGGCCTTTTACAAAATCTCTGACATTCTGTTGGCTTTTGCAGCAAGCTAGTTTCTGATTAGCGGTACACAAGCTATCGGTGCCGTGCCCAGCTACGAAGCTACGTTCTCTCACTGGTAGTTCAACAGCACAGGGTGTTGACATTTCACTGATAAGTGGAGGACCGTCCCATTTCATGCGAAGGGGTGGTGGTTCATGCCCTCCGGAATCTGGTAAACAAAGCAACCAGGCACGGTAATCTGATGGACAGGAAGAATCACGTCAGCATTTGCCTTTAGGGGGCAGAGACATGGACCTTTCCTTGTCGGCCTGGTGGAGAACGACCCTGCTCTGTGCCTGCATACTTGCCACTTTCTTCCAAAATGCATTTGGAGGTCCCACAGACATCTTCCCACCAGCATGCCCCTTCACTTATCCTGCAGACACAGGTGCCCCCTACCTCTCTTCTTGATTAGATCCAAGGTCATGTATTTCTATTTCCTGGGAAACCTGCTCAGTACATCGGTATAGGCTTGCTCCTGCATAGGCAGTCAGGTTGTTATCTATGATCTTCTCCCTTCAGCAATGAATCAACTCGAGGATCTCAAAGTTCTCCCCACAACTATGTCGACAGTCCAGTGTCCCAGGTCTCCCAATTTCAATCTAATTCCGCTATATTGCTATTCCCCTCCTAACTGCCCCCACTTGAGTTCCACTTTTTGAAGAGCCGAATTCCACTTCTTGTAGAGCCGATGCTTCTTTGACAGTCATTTTTTTGATGGAACACGTTAGCTTGAATTCACTTTGCTACAACAAAGTTTGTCTGCCCCCACTAAGCAATCAGGTGCCCCCAGTACGCAATCAGATGCTCCCACTATGCAATCAGGTCCAAAACTGCCTCTTCCTCCATGTGACAAAACCAGTGTGACACCCATGACTGAACTTGGAGAGTGGTGCTTGCCCCGCAGAGTGGGAGTTGTGGAGCAGTCCTCTGACATGGGGCAACACTGGCGTGATTCCTGGGGTCGGTGCGGGCGTCGGGCAGACAGTGGAGGTGCCTTGCGGCCGTTCCATCCTGCTGGACGTCCCCCGCATCCAGGTCTACTTTCTGAATGTGACGGGGCATCTCAAGTGAGTGGTGGACAAGCCCGTGTTTCGGCCTGTTTTGTCATACCCTTGTTGAGAGTTTGAGGGTCGCTTGCCTTGAAACAAAGGTTGACTTTCCTAACACAGGTCGCTTCTTGAGCCTGTACAAGAGAAAGAAGATGCGATGAAATTGTTCAACAATCGTCAAAGCACATCTCGGGTTTTTCATGGAAGATCCCTTGCGGGTATCTAGCTGCGCACCACTTTGTATTTACCTCTGCCCCATATTACTCTAGATGACCAGTTCTTTCCATTCTCAGAAGTATATCAAGGTTACCAAGTTTTCTAATCCTCAAAAGAATCATCAGCTTGGTTTTCTTTGTCCGGTCCTTCCCTTCCTAAGTACCAAACCGATGTAGTTGACCTTGCAGTTAACCAGAGTCTAAACTTAATGCAGGTTTCTAGACAACGCCACTCTGGGCAACATCACGGTGGAGACTAACTACCTCCTGGTTCAGGGGCAGTTAACCATTGGCCTCCCTGACCAGCCTTACACCCAGTATGCCACCATAACGCTAACCCCTGAAGCCAACAGAACGGACCTGGTCAACAGAAGGGCGTTCGGGGGCTCGTTCCTGTCGCTCGACCTGGGACACAAAGTTTTTGCAGTGGTGAGGAACTGTGCCCAGCTTCTATGTGAGGCAGCTCGCGATTATGAGATATCGTCCAGATGACGAACCGTGATCCGATTCCGTGCTCGAGGTGCTCGAAAATCTTTGGCAAGAAGGTCCGAATTGACTAGTCTTTTTGTCAGAGTCCTGCGAGCCCGCTTACACCGAAACAGATTATTCACTGGCTCCTTTGTTTGAAGAGGGCATCCTGTGACCGTAGCGCCTCGGCAACCAAAGACCGGGACATTCGCACATCGATTGCTGAGGCAAGTTTCCTTTATGCAACTTTGTTCCTTTGTTTCCCTTGGGAGTCAAATCCCAGAAGTGCGCTTTGAAATCCTGACGCCCTCTTACCTCAGGTCGGGGGCCAGCTTCACTTGCACGGAATGCCCGGCGGTTCGGACACCCCTGCCTGGGTCCACGTCACGAAGACAGCATATGCTGGAGACACGACGCTCTCGGTGTATGGTGACGTGTCGTCCTGGCCGGTGGGGGGAGACATTGTGGTTGCGTCCACCGATTACGACTTCAACCAAGCGGAGAGGCTCAAGATCACCGGCGTGTCAAATGGTGAGGCGATCTGGTGCGAAGTTTGGACCCTCTGTTGATTGGGTCTTTTGAGTTCGGGGTTTTGGGTAGAAGACTTGTTGCGAGAATCAGCAAACATGGAACTTTAAGCAACCGGGTCATTCTTTTTTGTGCGAGTGCAAGAGCGTGCCCCTCACTCCATTCTCAACTTGCGAGCATACGCTGGTGCGACCAAAGATCATCAAGGGACTAAGTCCCTCTTGATAGAACCTTTCCTATCTACCTCGACGTCAATTCTAGCTTCCTTTATTTCTGGATTTGAAACCGTTAGTGTGCTTCCGCTTGTGCAGGCTCTGCGGGAGGCTCGGTGATCCGCCTCGGCCGCCCCCTTACTTACATGCACTGGGGCGACCCCCTGGACGCGGGCATCGACGAACGCATCATCTACCAGACGGCAGAAGTGGCACTTTTGACGCGCCACATTCTGATTCAGGGTGTGCGGGAAGCAGGCAACTATAGCCTGGAAGGTGAGCCGCAAGTCTTGCTCACTTCTCAACTTGCTCTTTTCTCGATCCTTTCGAGGCTCTCCCATCCCCTGCCGCTCAGAACTGAGGAAATTGGTACTTGTTTCTCTGTCCATTTTCCTTGTCTTCCGGTCTATCTTAAAAAAATCAGCGCTGTCACGTCAAGTAAGACTTGATCGGGACAAAAGAGGGCAACGAAAGAATTCCGCTACTACCTAGACTGGAAACGTCAAAGGTCTGCAAGAGAACAACCTAAGGGAGCCTGTACCCAGCTTTTACCACATCAGAACGTTGTTTTGCAACGCCTTCCTCCTTGCTTTTTGATCCCGACAACACAGCCGAGGAACCCTTTCCAAATCGCGATTTCTTACTTTTACTTGTGGCGTTCCTTACAGGCGGCCACTTCATAATCTTCCAAACGCAGACGCCCCAGTACATCGAGGGCGTCGAGCTAACTAGCATGGGTCAGCAGGGCACGTTGGGGCGGTATCCCATGCATTTTCATCTGCTGCAAGACACCGCTTTCAGCTCGTATGCGCGCAAGCTCGCGATTCACGACACCAACCAGCGCTGCATCGTTGTGCACGGGACGCACCGAATGCTGGTGGAGGATAACGTGGCGTTCAACACGAGCGGGCACTGCTTCATGGTGGAGGACGGGTGAGGGCGGGACGGGTTTGGGTGTGATTTCATGTTCCGCGGATGTAGGGGTTTGGCTTTGGACCCCATAAAGCACTGCGCCAAAGCCCATTCGATCGTCCGCTCCGCTGGCCAGCTTGTGATCAAGTGTGACGTATGCAATGGAGATAATCAGCAGCATATCCGGTCGTCCATTGTCTGAGTCCTGCTGGTCACCGGTTTGGGTTTGTTGCTGGAATCTTGAGTGCCCTGTCTCGAGAAATTCTTCCAACAACTGACTTCGCTATGCTGCTGATTCCACTCTGATATACGAATATTGGCGCATTTTTGACCGCGACTTGCTGCTCGAGGACGTCTTTCTCCCCTCATTCTACTCTGCCCGATCGTGCTTATATCGTGTCAATCCTTTTTGCAGCATTGAGACGGGCAACAACTTCACCCACAACCTGGGTATCCTCCAGCGGCCAGCTCTAAGACTGATTCCCCCCGACCTCGGCGAAGACAACAACACGGACAATTCTCCTGCAACCTTTTGGATCACCAACGCAAACAACTCCGTCACGCACAACGTCGGAGGCGGCGCTGCGGACTCGGGCTTTTGGTGCGTCCGCCAAATATTGGCTTGCCAAGTGGTGCTCTTGCAAGTGGTACATCAAGCAATTCGCACTGCAGAGGTTGCTTCGGATTCAAGGCTCTTCTGACCGATTTTCACTTACTAGGTGTGGATATCATGTTGCTCTTCGTTCGCAATGCCTCTTTCTTTAAGGAACTTCGAGGTTGAGGGCCTCACACGGAGTATATCAGTTCTCGATGACCTTCCTTACCCGGGCGCAAACCTAACCCTCTTGTCCTGACACCGTATCACTCCTCTCCAGGTACGAGCTGCGGCCCGCCGTGCGCGGTGTCAGCAAGTATCTGCCCGGCGGAAACACGACGATCCCCCGGTTCATGCTACTGGGCGAGTTCTTCAACAACACGGCACACTCCAACGGGTTCGCCGGACTGCGGACTTACCCCCAGGGTTTTCACCCGGTCGCCGACGACCGCAATTACATTAATAAACGCCAGCTGACGTCACAGGTCGTCACGTTCCAGCGATTTATCTCGTACAAGAACCGGCTCTTCGGGTGAGCCTCCGGATTGGGGAAGATGCATAGCGGGCCTGCACGGTTTCCTTTGCTTCCTCTGCCGGGCAAAGACGGCTTTGCCTGCCGAGGTTTACGTTTACTGACTCTTCGGTTGGTAGGACCGTTCGATTCGACTGCTTGAGAATGGTCTTCCGTTTTCGCAGGGATTCTCACAAGTAGCAGCGCTCTGACTATCTGAAAGTCCTGCAAAGCTCGCCGTGTCGAAGGAAGTTTGTTGAGGAGAACGGCCACACATTCATTGACGAAAACTTGCTAACGTAAGCTGGGGCGTCAGTTGCTCCGAACGACCGAGCTTTTCAAAACGCGACCGAGCAGTTTGGGTCAGGAATGCGGGTCATGGCTTAACGAAGCGCCGTTCCCCGCAGGGTGTTCATGCACGAGAGCGACCACGTCCTCATCACGGACAGCATCCTTTCGGACAACGTCGTCTCCGTCGAGTTCAACGCGGACAACTACTGCGCCGTTTCGGACACGCTGATCGTAGGCCAGACCGCCAACTTCGGGCGTCCGACGGGGTGTGACGTCAGCAGCCTCACCAACTGCCAGCCGGCCAACTGCTCCCTCCCGATGCGGCAGTCAAGCCCGGCGGACGGCTCCGCGCGCAGCCTGCCGCGGCCGGGCATTGGGGACCCGATCGTCGGCGTGTCTTTTGGGCAGGTGGGTTCTCAGAATTCACGGGTTTTTCAATTTGTGGATCTCTAGGACTGGCAATCAAGAAGCGAAGGCTCGCTGAAGCTCTCCTGCCAGCGGAAAGCGCTTACCGCTTTGACTTGGTGACGAGCAACAGCCGCTGGGTCCACGAACAATCTCCGACGTACAAGCTGAAAATGTCCTTCCTAAGGTTTGCTTCCCGCATCACTTAGTAGCCCGCTAGCGGATTCTCTTTCGGCAGTCGGGAATTCCGTCATACTAGAAACCGAAGCTCGCTGACACGGAGGTTACATCAAAAGGAGGATCCTTAAGGATAAGTCAGCAATCCGTGCATTAAATCGATTGCTGAAGACTCTGCATCCGGGCTCCCACTGGCAGCTCTGCTTGCCGGTGAAAGGAAGACTCTTACGCATTTCAAAGTTGAGCCTGCCGATATAGACTCCCAGCGAAGGAGAGGAACTCGCTCAAACAAAGCTGCACGTGCTTATTGAACTCTTCGCCAATCCGAAGCACTCAAGATCCAATCCTCTGCCCCTGGCCACTAACCCTCGCAAGCGAACTAGCAGCCGCTCTCTGCGAAAGCGCTCATATGCAGTCCTTGTTGAGGGTGACTTGACGTCCCCTGTTCAATAGGATCTCATTCTGCATAACGAGCTAAAACACTGCCATCGCAGGCAAGGCTATCTCAACTTAGACCGCATAGTCTGATGGCAGCACGCGTTTTTGCACCAGCTCATTTCCGGGTGATCAGCAACGCCATCCATTCCCCCCCCTCTTGCAGGACATGTGGTTCCAAAAAGGCCCCAACGCTATCGCCAACGTCACCTTCTCGAACTTCATCCCGCAGTGCGGGCAACAAGCCGCGGCCGTCTCTGTAGTGGGCGAAGCAGAGAACTTCGCAAATGGTGGAGACAACGTGAGCACAAGCGCCAATGCTTTGTGTCTCTTCTTGCAATCTTGTTTGATTCGTTTTCCAAGCCTCTGACCCTTTTGGAGTGAGAGAAAACGTTTCCTTTTTGGATTGACGGGGGTAAGTTTCTTTCTGTTGATCATTGTCGTTCGAAAGAGGAAAGAGCAGGTTAAGGCGATCCACGCAGGGCTTTTCGTTTCTGGGAAGGCTTGTCGTTCTCGCTTTCTCGTGACGAATAACGTTCTTGTTGTTCCTGCGTTATGTTCAATTTTGTCTTCTGGAGACAGAGACGCACTCGCAAGTGGCAGTGTCGAGGACCGCTTCTGGTTCTTTGTACCCCTTTCCAGAGCATTCAGACCATGCTGCGTGACCACTACTTTTCTGAAGCTTGTTGCCGCTTCTTCCTTTGTCGCAAAAACGAAAAGCGGCAAGCAGTGAAGACCAACATCGACGCTGCACTCCGATGTTGAGCTCTACTTACCCGCTAAGGAGAGTGAACCCAGTTTCGATTCTGACGCGACATTCTCGTTCCGTTGCAGTTCCAAGGCCTGCGTTTCTCCGCCAACACTGTGCCCATCTGGTACAACCCGCGGTGGCAGTCCGTGCCCATGGGCTCGCTCAACTATACATACGAAATGGAGCAGGTGCGCCGTCGAATGACGTCACTCTCAGCCCACAAAGCCTGGTAGACACGTCTGGTTGTCTTGTCCTTTGCTGTATCGAATGTCGTTTGTTAGGGTCGTCTGTCACAACTGGAAGTACCGTAGTTTGTCCTTGCAGTTTGAAAGGTCCTCCTTGCTTAAAACTAGATTCTGGGTTTTAGGGGTTTTGGACTTTCTGGCTTCGGGTTTTTTGTAAAAGGGCGGCTATCGACCTTTTCGTTTGCCAGAAGCTCACATTGGATTCGAGCCTTGCTCAACTGCCGGCAAAGCAGCTCTTCACGTGATCAAGCAATCTGTCCAGCCTTTAGCCTCCCTCCTTCCAGCAGCTTTGTCCATTCCTTTTGCCTCATATTGTCTCTCGTTTCTCGAGGAACTGGGGCCCTAATCTAAAACACCTTCCTTCACAGGCCTGGGTGTATGCTCTGCGCGACGCGGACGGTTCCATTGTAGGGGGCAACGGCGGCTACGTCATCGCCAACAATCCGTGAGGCTTTGTTCCTTGATCGGGCTGCCTAGATTGAGCTTAACGGTTCATTCGTGTCCTCATGTAGACCTACGGAGTAGGAGTGAAATCAAGATTCTATGGAACTGTTAAGTTGCGGTCGTCTTTGAACCAACGACTGCTGCGCGTTTGTCAAATCTTTGCGGAGGATTGGGTTGTCCATGCCCAAATGTGTTAAGCCATGCCCTTGTCACAGATCACAATCCATGGCAAGGTCCAGTGCATGCTGTTCGGACTCTTTCCTTGACTAAGAAACTTTTGCCCAGATGAATGCTTAGATAACGGGAGATGCTCTCACTGGTTTTTAGTCAGCCTTGGTTGACAACCCAGAGTAATCCAGAATAATCTGCACCAGATTCTAACATCCATACGCATGTTCGTAACTGCTCACCGAAGAGTCGCCAAGAGTCCCATACGAACCTCGTCGGAAGTCCCTAACTCGTTGCCCATTTCCCCCGTCCCCAGCACAATGCTCCCGCCGAACACCAGCGCAGTCAAATGCACTTTTAACGAGGAGTGGAACGCGTATGCGTGCCCCGGCGCGTGCTACCGCCACATCCGGCTTAGCTTCCAGGAGCCCGGCTGGACCAACTATACCAGCAATCACGACGCAGGGGGGACGCAGCTAGAGATCACGCGAGTCGAGGTGAGGGGGGGGTGCGTATGGAACGGGAAGGCGGCAAGGATTCGAGAGTAATATACGGGTGTCTGCTGTATCTTCGGCCTTACCGACCTAGTCTTTCCCAATTGCTTTTTCTTTCCCAGTCGGACGCGTTTCCTCCCTACCTGTTCATACCGTTCCATTCAAGGTTGCTAGAGGTTCTCGAAAGTTCTTGCTTCTTGTATCGCTTATCTCAATTAAGCCGATGATGGTTTGTCCGTCACTCGGTCTACACTCCTTTCGACTTGATTGTCCGTTGTCATGAAGCACGTAAGGACAGCCTTCATTATTATCGAAGTTCAAAGCACGCTGCGGTAGGAGTCGCCATACCTAGTTGATCCCTTTTCGTATCAACCAATCTCAAAACTTTTGTCTCTGCTCCTCAGGACGGTAGCCGGATGGTGTTCGACGGCAACCGGCTGGGCCTCTCGTTCAACAACCAGACGTTCATCGGCAAAGTCACGGGGACTTGGGACCGCTACTTCTATGCCAACCTCTACGCGGGGCCTGAGGCGACCTACCGCTTAAGGCTGGTAAGCACTCCTGCTCCTGCTATTACTTGCTGAGCCCCTTACTCATTCTCGGGCAAGTAACCATCTGGTCGTGTTTTGGTGTTGTTTTCACGTTGGCCCCTGTTCGTGCGTTTGCACAGAAGTCATTGAGGCCTGGTACCGAGATCAGGATCTGGCATCAGAGCCCTTCACCTGGTCACTTGGACATATCTCCTAGCCAGACTGGTTATTAGCTCGTCCTTGATTGCGGCTTATTCTTTTCTATCTCACAACTTGCTTGCCTGAATCGTCTGGTGCAACGACTTCCCGTCTGGCCGTGCCTGCAGACCGAACTCAAAAGCTAACCATGCTAAAGGAACACACTCCCTCCTGCATCGGTCTCAACCCACCTTGCTTGACCACGCAGATCGGCGGCCAGGGCGGCACCTTCCCGGCCACTGCTGAGCTCAGCCTGAACGATGACGTCAGCTGTGGGCAGAGCCTGCGGCTTCAGATAGTGTCGACCGAGCCCGCCGCCCAGTGGCAGGCCGTCGAGGAGACCGCGTCATCCGGGTTTCCCTTCGCTAGGTAAGTGACGTCAGCCATCGTGTCTTCTCACAATCGCACTTCGCTTCGCCCCTTTTTTTACCGCTCGCTATGCGGCTTGACATTTTGCACCGTAGACACGCTTCTAGGAAACTTTTCAAGATTGTGTATGAGTTAGCGATCCTGGCGGGTTGCTCCGTCTTTTGCGCAGTTTCGAAATTGAAGCGGTTAAAAGGTACTGTTTACTCAACTACAAGAAACTTTCTCATCCTCTCTGCTTGCTTCTCATCATTGCCGCACGAGAAAGCGCCTCGCATAAAAGTAGGCCTTGTTTCTGCCGCCCCTCTTTTATCTGCACCGGCATCTTCATCTCATCATTCCCCCTCCCACCAATAAGGCCTTCTTTTCTTCACTTCTCCTGAAGCTACGGGCGTTTCCAGCTATCTCATTACCCCCCTCTCACCAGCAAGGTCTTGTTTCCACTGCCCTTTTCTCAAAGCCACCGGCATCTCCAGCCATTGCGTTATCCCCCTCTCACCAGCAAGGCCTTGTTTTCCCCGCAGCTTCTGCCCCGGCAACGGCCCCTCCGGCCCCTCCCTCCCGGTCACCACTTCCTACCGGTACGTCTGCGGGCCGACCAATGCGTCCGCGACGCACCTAGAAATCGTGCTCGCCTCGCAAAGCCCCTTCGCGACCACCAACAAAGTCCAGCTGAACAAGGCCTCCGTTTCGCCGTCGTACTGCCCCCCCGCCCAGCCGTGCGGGCTCGTCGGCGTCGGGAGTGTGTGGGACTACCGGGACGATGGGCTCGCGAGCGCGCCCGCGTTTTACGAGACGCCGGCCGTCGACAGGGCCTCGGGGAACACCACGAACGCGTGGGTCACGATTCCGGGCTCCGGTGAGGAGGCGCTTCTCCTGAAATCTTATATTCCGAGCTGACGCTTCTGAGGTTGTGAAATCTAGAAATCTTAAAGAAGTAGCGACTTGATGCATCTGAGGTTGTGGAAGTGACTATGATTGAAGAGTGCTTTTCGGTATTGTTGCTCGAAGGACTGGACGTGTGATTAATTTCACTCCGCAAGCACCATAAAATTGGGACGGTTCAAAACTGAGTGTGCCACGTCATGCTGGTGACCTGAGTCGGTGCGACATCTCTCAACGGCGTGGGTCTCGGGATTTAGTTCCAAAGTCGGTTTTGTGTCCGCTCGATGACGATTGGATAGTAGCAACGCTCTCTCAGGGTAACAGGTTTCCTCCGGTTTCTGAGATTTCGTGCGGCTCTTGCAGGAAACACTTTAGTTCTCGTGAGTTGGCGTCGTTCAGAAGTGGCTTTAAGCTTGTTTGCAGACCCTCTATGGCGGTCCGCCCTCGCTGAGAACTTTGGAGAGCGGATAGACATTTTCTTGACGTGCTTGGTTGTCGCAATCTGCAAATGTAGACGAGGAGCCTCGCGAACTTGACAACTTTGCAGGGCGGACGTAACCTCTGCGAAAATTGTTGGAGGTTATGCTATTTGGCTTACATTCCCTCTCTCATTTTGAACCCCGCTTTCGGCGTTGCAGGTTGGCAGACCGGGCGCGCCCCCTTCTCGGCGGGCTTCGCCAACGACGGATTAAACACTAACCTGGCCCAAACCAGCGGGTACACCATGAAGCGCGTGGTGACCTACTTCTTCCGCAAGCAGTTTTACCTAGATAACCCGGCCTGCGTTTCCCAGTTAAACATGGGCCTTAACTACCTGGACGGAGTCGTGGTTTACCTTAACGGGCAAGAAGTGGGCCGCAAGAACATGGGGTATCGGTATAATGACTATGGGAGTGCGACTAACGTGGCGGTCAACAACGGGTCCTTTGTGAGTGGCGTTTTCATCCCCCTTTGGGTTACAGCACTTCTGCTTTGGTTGAGATTCACAACAACTTTGTGTTTGGCCGGTTCGCATGCAATTATGAGTTCGAGTCGCCTACAGTGTTAGCAGCAGCCTCGCTAGTTTGCTATTCATCAACTGGATGCAGTGGCGCATCCGTCAATCTCCGAGCTGTCAGGTAGCATCTTTCTTGCTCCGCCTGTCTCAAACCAGTGCATAGAAGTAGCCCTTGATCAAATTGTGAGCCTTCTCTCGTTCGGAGTGACCCCTCCGGCATACGTTATGATTCTCGTCCATTACTTATGTGTCTGACCACTTGTTTTGAGCACGCAGGCTGCCCAGCAGCGGGGCGGGGCGTGGTGGGACTCGTTGACGATAGGTGGCGGCTGGCAAGCGGGTACTAACTTTCTGGCGGTGGAGGTACATACCGCCCAGTACCGGGGCCTAGGCATGACGTTCGACTCCTGGCTATCCGCACAAACCACGTAAGGCAACTTCCTGTGTAGAACCTTTGTTTTGTATCGAAGTCTCCTGTCTTTGAAGGTCGCTTGCGCTCCGATATAACCCCTCATGGATCGCTTGATGCGATACAGTCTCTGAGAAAGAGATTGCAATGAGTGTTTAATGCGCTCAATGGTTGACAAAATTCTCTGAGATGGCGGTTGCTTGCCTTGTGCTGCATTCCGGCAGTATGATACTCATTTTTTGCTTTGCCGTATCCTTCCTGTTGCAGATGTTCAACAACGTCCAACGTTTAGTTCTGGAATTTCCTGTATTATATATATACTCCCAATTCATAAATCCAATGACATTTTGGTATGGACAAGGTAACCTATGGTACAGACGAGTCGGCTCGTAGCGCGCAGCTTCTATTTCACCATTTTAGCTTAGCAAGTGGCTAGCTCCGAGCATGGAGGTTAAACACGTCCTGATGCCAGCTGCACGATCCGGCTGGTTTGTTGTTCAGCAACTCAACGCAATTGCACTTGACTTGATAATATTGAAAGATCTATCCTGAGGTGACTACATATGGTGCTGGCATCTGTATCAAGCACACTGAAGACCGCATGCAAGGGGTGTTGGTGACTGGCGCTTATCATTGCAATCAGCGCCACATGATTGTTAATCTCAACCCAATGTGCATGTTGCTACGTTTCGTGATACCCGGGCATGCAGGATGGTTTGCATGCACGTACGTCCAGGTGATTTCTCTTCACTAAGTTGGTAGTTTTAGCAAGTGCAATTGACTGCGCGGCTCTGAGACATACACGAGTGGAAGGTGCTCAGTTCCAGTCCTGATCTGTTCAACACGTTCGTGGCCGCCAGACTGTTGGACTTTGATATATACACAGCGCGCATATACTGCGCGGCATAAGAAAGCATCCAGGTATGAAGTCAACGCTCTTTTCGCAACATGCTCAAACAATTGCCTTCCCTAGCACACAGTATGGACGGTGGGTAGCGTGCATCATCCAGTTTGATAATCGAGCGGTCTGTCTCTGATTCTGCTTTCAAGCTATGTACATCGCCGAAGTTTTGCCGTCGATCTTGTGACTCGCTATAGAAAAAGGCCGACGACGATCAAACACAGTAACGGTAGTCTATACACGCAAGCGGGTCTATCAAAGCGAGCCGGTGGTGGCTCTTCTGGTGATCTGTCGTCGTCTGCCGTCTCCTTGAGTGATCACGCTCTGCGACCGTTGCGGTTGAAGGTGTGGGTTGCTTATCCAAAACGGATCGGGGGGCCGTCGACAGGCCGCATGGCCGACTACCACTGCAAACAGGCAAGAATCCAGAGCTTCAGAATGCTCGACAAAAGCACAACGTGCTTTTTGAAGCGACGTTGCTTTAAAAATATGGACGTATGGATATAGATGGTCCGAAACGGGATACGCCCGGGGTTTCTTTCCACAGGACCGATATCCAAAACACTGCAGACGTGCATCCCGCCAAGGCCTCGTTTTCGCCTCTGTTTTGAGTTTGTACACAGCGCTTTGCAATCTCCGCTCCCCTCACGAGTGACAATGTAAGGGGCGTGACTCAGCACCCTCAGCAGCAGATTGTCGGGCAAAAGGAGGCGCCATCCAGAAGCGCAATTGCAGAACCAACTGAAAGATTCCCGCGAAGATACAAGGAAATATGTGTGCACTCACCCGCACCCCCCAACAGTGCCGCAACGACCAGCGCCAGGAGCACCTGAGAGAGTATCACCACGAGCGCCGAAACTGCACAACAGCAGGATGGGGAGCTAAGAGAGGGCAGCTTGAGTGACTGGCATAAGGCTGCTCAACAAGATCGCTCTGAGTAGGGTGCTGATATGTTAGAGCTCGAAGAGAACCAGTTAGGCTTCAGCTACGAAGAAATAGAAGACAAAGCAGTAGCCCCTGTGCACAACAATCTAAGCAGACGGTCTTCTTCCTGAGGGGGAGAGCTGTATGGTCGACCCCAGCACACAAACGCCAGTAATCTCCGGTTGTACCTTTTCAGAAAATCTTGGCTTGGGTTTCGAATGGCAGCAAGTTTGCCTGTGCTTACGCATTTGGAATCCCCAGCTCATATACTGGAATGTTGTACTGTACACGTTCACGTCTGGCCGCCGGCGGTACTTCAGAAACAGGTCCCAACATTTGACCAGCGCCACCATCGCCAGCAGAGCAAAGGGCCTTTTGAACCTGCGGACAAACCCTTTTGAGTTTTGACAGGAGCTTGGGTACCTCGGCCTTTTGAGGAGGCCACGGTTGAATGTTTGATTGGCAGTCGGTATTGCCAAAATAGAGCCCGTGGAGGGCCTTCGTTGCCCAGACATGGTTTTCCTTCAATCAGCAAAAAAACAGAATCCCTTTTGCAAGAGAAATCTAGAGGTCACTCAGGATGAACGATGGCAACTTCATTGCTGGAACAGAGCGCGGAGGTGAGTTAGGTTTCGCTTCAAAACACTATACACGAATCTCACACAAATGTCCAAGCTGGGACTGAAAGTCAACTCAAAAGCCCGATGGCTCTCGATTCCAATCGACTCTCGACCTCTCGAATGGAAGATCGATTCGACACTCACATGACACACACGAACGCGACGCACATGATGGCCACATAGTTGCCCAGGTACACGCCTAGATTGCCCTGTAATCTGCTCTCCAGCTCCATCTCAGTCCCGGGCAAAGCATACGACTCCCAGAAGCCCTGCATCAGGAGTCAAGTCAGTACGACATTCGGCACAGCCAAAACTCGTCCTAGCGCTGACTTCAATCTACTTGGCAGACAGTTTCGGGGGCACTTTTGCAAGGTGCTTGCCTGTAGCAAGTCAAAGTCATACTGATTGAGTGAGCGAAGCGATAAGCAGTATCTGATTGTGCAGGCCCCTGCAGCCACTTTCAAAAGAGTTGCGGAATAGCCTATGAATCTGAGCTGGGTTCAATCATTTAAGTATGCTTTTCAGAAGGGAGGGTCGATTGAGGATGCAGGCATTGGTTCAAGAAGATTTCAGGTTGAGTTTCTTCCAATCACAGGTTTCGAAAGGAGCCTTTAGTAGTCGCCACAGCTTCAACAAGCACACTCCCTCAAGGAATACAATCCATAGATCTTCTAAAAAACTCTCATGCGAAAGTCGCTGCGTTTCTATATTTTTCCAGCTGCTTCTCACGCTGCATGTCAACTTCCCCGCTAATGTGACACGTGCACCACCCTCATATACATTCTAAACAACAACCATAGCAGCATTGCTTACAAGCTCCAGGAACACCGAGATCAAGCCCAAACAACATGAGAAAACAAGGCAAGTAAAAGCAGACTCCTCAGGCATCTCACCAGCCCTGCGCTATTCACGAAGTCCCCCCGCCACGGGCGCGCCGGCGTCCTGAGGTCCTCCAATGTCAGGCCCATCACTAAATTTGCTAGGCCGCTCCGGGCCACCCCTTCCGATGTGGACGGGTCTGAATCATCGCCCCTGAGGCCCGCCCATCCCTTGGTCAGCCAGCGGTGGAAGTCACGGTCCGACACCGTGAGACCAATCGGGTTTATTAAGTAGTCGTGCGACATCGTGCTTAGCTCGTCTGTCAGTTCAAGTTCAGAATGTTGTATTTCAACTTTGAGAGTCCCTTTTTTCAGACCCCTGGTTTGATGAGTGCCATTTGTTGTATGCGCCTCAGGGAATCAAATGACCAACTTGAAAGCTCGGGAGTTATGGGGTGCACTTGCTATATGTGGTTCTTATGCTGCTGAAAGCTGTCCCAAAAGCATGTCATAGAGGAGCCCTTCCAACCGGTTTCATACAGTACATCGACCTTCAGTTACTCGTAATATGACACCCGCATTCTCCAAAAAAGTGGTGTATTGCTCAACTGCAAGAGCAATCTGAATGTTCATGCACAAACAGTTACACCGAGCATCCTGCTCAATTGAAGCTGCAGAATGGCCACCAGAACAGCTCCAAAAGTTAGGAGACGCCCCGCCCTTGATGCAGTGCTCCGCTTCTAGTCTTGCAATGGCATTCGACGTTCTTCTCGATCATCGCAAATCTACGGGCGTCTCCTTGTTTTGTAGCTGAGTAGCCTGGCCGTCCGATCCCAGCCTGGCCGTCCGATCGCACGCACATGAGAGACGCATTAACACTTGTGATTTCTATGAGAACGCGGCTCAAAGAGTGTTATATTACGCGCCCTGAGCTACAAGGCGGCTCAGGCCCGATTCTTCACAGCCTACCCCACTCAGAGTCACAGTCTGTCCCTACTCAATCAGGGATTTGCCACGTGGCTCTCCTTCGTGACCGGTGAACTCATCGTGTGCCAGCTGGCATGGTGGGTTTGCAGATTGCTGCATGGTCGGAGAAGTTGCTCCGGAGCTCATGACGAGAAAGGAATGCTGCACATGACGCATGCCAGGTGAGCGCCTGCACCTGAAATGCTACAGCCTCAGGAGACTTTCTTGAAACTTGGCAGCAGTCGCAGCAAACCGTGCCACCGATTCATGGTTAAGGGCTCCTTCCTCTTGCAGCTGGATTGCCAGCTCTCCTAGGAGCTAGCTGAATGAGCCAATCAAGTAAAGGCAGCAAATTCTAGTTTATCCACCTTCCTTGCTTGCTCACACAGGACCAGGCAATATCAGAGCACTCCTCCACTTGTCAAGGTCCGCAAAGCTAGTGGAGGTAGTAAGGGGGAAAACGCAGTTGCGGCACTCTCAATCAAAGCGACATCAGTCAATCCTTGTCCTTCTCTAATTCAGCATGGCACTTGCTGGCATGTCTGAAGAGTTCAAGCAGAAGCAGGCCCTGTTCTTCAATCAGCAGCACTCAGGGCTGCTGGACGTGACCGATGAGGTGGCGGCCTGGACGGAAGAGCTGGTTAAGCAGGAGAATTTTGTAATCACTTCGAAACCGGCGGAGTACCTGGAGGTAGGTCTGCTTAACATTGCAGTTTTCATTGTACTGAGGCTTGAATCTGATTGGTGATTGGCACAAATTCTCAATCAATGATTCAGCAATCAGAGATAACATGATTGGAGGCTTTGAAAGTGACCACCGCTTATCATAATGCTGCAGCATTTTGCATCCTGAGACAATGTAACAATCTGCGTGGAGTTCAGCTCGAGTCACCATGTTGTCATGCGTATCCATGGTGGCATCCACAACCTCCAAAGGAAAGCATGGCCAATTTCCAAGAAGGGCGTGCACTTGAGACTGCAAATGGATCAACGTCCAGTCATTTCTTTGGTCGTCCTGCCCCTGAGCTGGTCTTTGGTTACGGCCCCCTCAGTCGCAAAGTTGAGCTTCTATGCGCCAGTCTTTTTCACATATCAATAACTCAGTCTACGCCAGAGTCTGTTCTTCTACCTATCCATGGCGCAAGAAGTGAAGTGTCCCATCTTGCTCTCTTGCAGACAGTCCGAACTAACCTCAAGTGGGATCATATGAACATGGTAAGCTTCTTTTACTGTGATCTCTCCTGTCTAAGCCTGGTATTGCAGCGGCCCTTCCGAGCGGACTCTCTAGGATTTACCAGGGGCATAATCGTTGTCCTTGAAAGCCACATTGTCACATTTTGTCAGAGGTCGGATTGTCGTTGACATCTCTCTGCTCTTGAATGGTGAAGCTGAACGTCTTAGTTCACTATGCTTATTGTACTGTTACAAATACTATTATAGGCTGGACAGATCAGTCTACTACTCAGGAGCGGTAGGAGCTTCTTTCGAATGTGAAGTGTAAAGTACTTCACCATTGCATTGACCTCTGTCTCTCAAAGTCGAATGCAGCGCGTACGTGCTGTCAGAACATATATCCTTTCTCAAGCTTGAGAGAATCTGCGATCCTTCTCCTGTTAAAGTGAGCAAATGGTCTCTTGAGTTCCACGCAAGTATGGGTTCGTAAAATCTGGTCGTAGTCTAGTCAAGCGTACCAGCGATACTCCCTGGCTTTCTCAGCTCCAGCCTCAAAGACAGTCGACGGCTTGGCGAAGACTGCAGGAGTTAAGTCGCAAAACGTCACTCCTTTCTGGTCCTGCAGAAGAAGGCACTGGTGCGCTTGCAGTTGATGGACAGCACGCTCTGGTTCTTGCCCGCCCTTCAACGGGATGGCGAGCGAAACCAGCTGTGCGGGATCTGGAGGTATGCAGCATTTCCAACAATAAGCTCTGTGCGACCTACTCAAGAACTTTATAATTCAATATCTCCAGTATTCAAATGTTCACCTGTTCGAAGTCGTCAGGCTGTCATCGACAGAGGACTCTCTGTGAGATCAAGTCTATCCTAGAGGTTTCACATAGTCATTCGTTTCAATCTTCTTGCGGCAAGTAGAGCAGCTGTTGTCTTTGATGCGGACACTTCTCTCTCGATGTATTCGGAAATACAAAAGTAACACACAGTGCACTCAGATCTGTTCTTAGAATGATTATCCATGTGGGCGGATCTGCACAATCGGTGCGGCCGACCAGTCCTTTCAAATCTCTTTCCTGCATCGAAAATCTCGAGAAAGTATTCGGGCGGTCACCAAACGACCCGTGATATCGAGGTTCAGATTCGTTCGAGCGACTGCGAGCCGAGCGTGCAGCTATGTATGGTACCACTAGCGAAGAGCTTGATTCTCTTGGTCGACGAACGTTGATACAGAAAGAGCTCGAAAGTGCTGTTCACGCCACAGCTGTGAACGGTCGAACGATTGGTTGAGAAGATAATCCGCTGAAAAGTCCGAGCCGCCAAGTGTGCAGACGCGTGGCGACTCCTAAACGCTAACAAGAACTTTTTACCCCTCCAGGTTTGGTGATTCCATGGTTGGTCACCCGCACGTGACGCACGGGGGCGCCATCTCCTTTGCTTTTGACGAGAGCTTTGGGGTGCTCTTTGCGTCGGCCTTTGCATACCAGGGAGTGCTCGGCATGACTGCGAACTTGTCCGTCGACTACAAGAAGCCGTACCCCGCCAATAAGCACGCGTTGCTCAGGGCGCATGTTGAGAACGTGGAGAGGCGAAAGGTAAAACGACGATCTTCGACTTGGAAGGCTCTAGAATTGGCGCCTTGCAGTTCCGGGTTACGTTGACCGTGCGTTAGTTTATGGGGGACAGCGTTGTGGTCGACAGCAGAATTTGAACTGCTTTCGCTCGACTGCTGGTTTATTCCGGGGTCACCCGGACGCCTACGCTTCTTGAAGAGCTTTTGCTGCGCCACTTCATGTTATGTACAGCCTATCCTATTCAGAAAGTATGCAGATTAGCGTCTGCTCAGGCACTTCTATGTTGCCCAAGAGTTGCGAAGTTGCCGCTCTCGGTGGGCCCTATTCCTAACGCCAAGGCATTGTCGCCGCTGTCCATCTTGTTCTTGTTCTTGCGCTGCTCTTCTGTTGGCTGTAAATTCACTTCAGCGAGTCTCATGAAGGGCTGCCAGTACGTATGGTGCTCACCTTAATTGCGTGTGACAGGTGTTTATGAAGGCGACCCTTCAGGACGGGCCCAACGGCGCCATCTATGCCGAGGCAAAAGCCCTCTTCATTATCCTCAAGGATCCGCCTCCGCAGTCGGCAAAAAGGCCTGAGTCCTGACTTGCAGTGGGGTTGGAGCGCTTGATTGAGACTCGTCGACTACACGGACGGAGGACAGTTAATATTATATGTTTGCCACAGATCATGTGTTGCTCGCTTTCGTCAAATTACCAGGTTTTGGAGCATGGCTCTTCGAAGCGTTGTAGCATACACAAAGATAGGTTTTGTAGTATTGAATGCGAAGTTTCGTAATTTGCAAAAATGAGTACCAACTAAAACAATCACTGCCAGACGGTGATGACCCACTCTAATCCATGTATCGTTGTCTTTCAGCCCTTCTAGAAATGGACAACGTGACGACTGCTTTCTCATAGCTGTAAATTTGACACTCGCTAGCATTGATCTGCATAAGTATGTACGAAGCCGGCCGGCCGCGACTTCATGCCCGTATATTGAGCATATGTTGCAGATTGCTTGAACAGCCTAGAAGGGATATTGAAGGGTTCAATGTGTATGCATGCAGCGCCCACGTGCTGGCTTACCATGGATGAAGCCGGGATTACGTGAATCCACGCAACGATATATGCGTGTACATGCGCATATATATACGCTCGCGCTCTGCCAGAAGCAAGGTACATAAAATCTTGGATCTCAAGTGCAGTGTTTAACTGTGGTAAGTCGGAATGGCGCCGTTCACGTCGGCGAGGACGCCAAGTCATGCATCCTGTTTATATTGAAGTACACGCAGACGCACTGGGTTTGATTGTGGCCAGTTACCATTTTCGCTAACCTCTTATTTCAGCAAATCCTCAGGCGCAGCGGCACTGTCCTTACATAAAAGCAGAGTAAGTACTAGTGTCTTCGTGGATTCATGCTGGGGTAGCTCTCGATTGTCGATCAAGGGGCGGCGGCGGCCGGAT